TTTACTCCTCAAACCCAACTCGATCATGAATCACACGTCATCGGCGTCATTCTTCATTGAACAGCTACTGTGAAATCGAAATTAATAAGATGAGATGTGAAGGCTCATTATGAATCAAGGTCGGGTTTCTTATTGTTACTTTACAAAAAAAATCCCACAGCTTTTCAATTAACCACTTTCTATCAAGACCGGCTTATTCAAAAAAATCAATTTAAATCGAGCTGCCCGCGGAGCACGAGGATCACCTTTTGGTACGGTGAAGCTAATGGCCCGAGATGTACTACTATGCACGTAATCGTTCTCAGAAGACCTTACGAAGATCAAGGTATCCGAAGAAGAAGAAGACAATGGAGTTGAAAAGCAAGGATTCGTTTGTAGGAAGAAAACCGAACTGTTAACGGACCGTTAACGATTTTAGTTTCCTAAGAACTAATCAAATTCGATTAACACAACAAAAACAAAAAGGAGGTGGTTATATTACAGTTATAAATAACATCAAAAATTTTACATTCATAATTTCACATCTAATAAATAGAGTATAATAACAGAGAGTGAAACGCAAAGGAGTTATATTCTAAAGACAGGAAACATGACTTTGACATTTAGAATTTCCGTTTCCTCTTTGTATTTTTAAACCCACGTTAAAGAACACCTGCATTGAATATTGTTACCGAAGGAAATTAAAAGAAAACGACAATTTAGAAAAAGAATGTTGAAATGTATGGGGAAATAGATGAGTTCGTAATCGTTTTCACGACGATGACAACGCCTACGTAACGATTTTCTAAGAAATGCAAGCGAACGCGCCACCGGAGAGTTCGCATACCTAAAGTGGCCTCTTACGCAAAAATCGCGATTTTCTTTGTAATTTCTCGTTGGAAACGTCAAAGCAGTACAACGGCGTTGTTCACCAACTAACCGAGTGCCACTGATGCCATTTTTCTTAGAACGGTATGTAGCTGTGCTCTACTTTTACATTGTAATGGTTTCGACGACGACGCGCAAGATCGCGGAAGACTCTTTATGGTAATCGGAGTTACTTCATTGAAATGTGACCAACAACGATGATTTCCATGAAAATGATGTTGCGAAATTCGTTCTAGATAAGGCATCGACTAACGTCAACGTTGTTGGAACAACCTTCGGGGTTCTAAGAAAAAAATATAGCGAATTTAATTAGTAACCTTCTCGACCTCTTCACCACCTGGTTCTTTGTTTGTTAAAGTTAGATTTCATACGAAAGATATGTCGATCGATGAGTCTACAAATGCTTGCGAGAACGGACGCAAGGCTTGTGGAACGTGAGACGTCTTAACTGATTAGAGAAAGGAAATGGGTAGGTGTGGTGTAGTGGAGACAGGATGTTCACACAGGTGGTCTTAGTAAAGGTGTTCAACAAAATGAAATAAAACGTATAATATTAAAATTTAGTTTTGTTTTTTTGATCGTATAAAAATCCCTTTGGGTCATACGCGCTGATAAAGATCTTAATACAGAAAAGCTTTCGACCAACAATAAGGTATGTAATTTATGAGCGGGTAATAAATCTTAAAAGTCGTCTGTAGTCGCCTGAAAGAGGTAAATCTGGTTCGTGAATCGGAGTGGGTCCACGCCCTCTCGCGGTTCCAACGAAAAAAAAGGATTAATTGAAAATTAAAATTAATTTAAACGTACTTCCCGGAACCGTTTTGTACTTGCCGAGTTCGTTGTTTTGAAATTCATATCCGCCTAACGGATTTTACAAACTTTTTGTACACCGGATGAACCAGGATATCCTGTTTGATGTAGTAATTACAATTCTTTTTAATAATATTCGTTAGTTATCATCAACAAAAAAATGATTGAATGTTTTCCATACACGTCCTTTACATTTAACATTTTCCTAAAGATTAACTCAGATCTGTTCATTCAGTCTCATAGCATCATTTAGTTGTGCAAATAAACCACATTTGTAATACTCTAAATGTTTTGAAGACCTTTGGTCTAATGGTTGAAGTACAACATTGACATGTCGGCTAAAATCGCTCGGTAATGTATTGCTAACAAGAAGCATAACAGTCGATGGAGATTGTTTAGATTCGCAAGATTGTTTAACCTCAGGGATGAAGTACATGTCCAAACTTGCCCGTCAGAATTGTGTACGAACGCGCTATGTTTGGACACACCTTAACATTAACATAATATAGTCAGCTGCATTCGTACCATTTATCACAAATAATCGACTTTGAAAATCTTTAAGTCTGGAATTGTTTCTTTCAAAACAGTCCAAATTAAACACCGCAAGAATTTTTTCTTTATCTCTTATGATTCTTGTTATACAGGTTTACGTTAACATACATTCTTCTACTTAGTCACAAGTTTTCATTGTGTCAAAAGGAAGTTATCAAAATTCCAGAACTATGAGATCCTACGAGAAGGAATTGTTTAAATCAGAGTGTTATTATAATATGCTTGATACATTAAATAGTAGTTTCTGATAAATATGGCCTAATATCTGTGCCAAAAAGACAAATTCGTCACTCTCGGAGAAATTCATAAAAGTTTACTTTCTTTATTGGAAATAATGATAAGATCCGCAACAACTTTCTTGATGATAAATTCCTTTTACTTGACAGAATACATCCGCTCTACATCATAAATATTTAGAGTATTGTTATTCTCAAGATCTGTGGCATCTCTGAATAGGTGTGTTTTAAAAGATGAATTTGTTTGTTGCAAAAGTACAAATACAAGTTATTTTTGTATTGGAGGCGCAAATAATTATTGGTTTTAAATTATGAGGGTAAATATAGCTCGGCACGAAGCACTTCGCTACACGCGAGCTCTGTTTGGAATTTGATTAAATGTTTGACTTGAACAATGTGAAAATGTGTAATTCAATCAAATATTTTTCAGTTTTCCAATTTTGGTTATTGTGTTTGATGTAGTTTCCTGGTAACCTTATGGAGTGGGTCGAAAAGTATTAAATTGCGCTCTTGTTTTACTGCGTATCCTGGATTTTGTAACAAAGTTAAATAAATTATTGGAATATATCCGAACGTATTCCAGGATCTAGTATTATAACTTTGTAGGTAGTAATATTTCAAATTTATCTGCATAACTATATATTGCTAAATATTTTAGAGGAAAAATAGGATCAAATAAATACACTTCTAAAATATTAAAGGTCATATAATAAATAGTCTTATATCACCGTAATTTCAGAATGGATTATAAGAAAGATCACAAAGAAATATATTCTCAAGTTAAGTGCAATTTACTCCAAGATTTTGGATACTAGGTCATGACCTGAAATACTCCAAGTCTCATTATTCTCCTCATGAAGACATAATAAGCTGCGTCGAGCACACTATGTCTCTAAGGTCCACTTTTACCACCTCTTGAGAAATTTATCCGACTATTATGGTTATAATTTCTGGTACATTTCTGAAGTGATACCCTACATTGCCATATTATTGCGGTATTTGAAAAAATTGTCGTTTTTTTTCAAAAATGTATGTCTTATAAACTAAAAACGATTATTCAGAACGGCTTGTTGCATTAAAAAGAGGATACTTTAATTAGTAATTGGTGATATTTCCACAAGGATCCTCCAAGAATTTAATTTTATAGCGAATTTTGAAAATTATCGATGAAAATTGCAACATCGAAAATTTTACCAAAACTTCAAATATTGTTTTCTCAAAAACTAGAAGTTATATTTCAAAACGGGTTGGGTCAATGGAAAGAGGACACTTTTATTAACATTTTAGGAAATTCTCATACTCATATTCCAAGAACTGGATTTTATACGAATTTTTAATACTTAATTGGCGAAAATTGAAAAATTCGAAAAAATTGTCGATCATTTAAAAAATTTATTTCTTAAGATCTGAAAGTGATTTTTCAAAACGGCTTCTTGCATTAAAAAGAGGATACTTTAATTAATAATTGGTGACATTTCCACAAGGTTCCTTCAAGAAATTAATTTTATAGCGAATTTTGAAAATTATCGATGAAAATTGCAACATCGAATATTTTAACAAAACTTCCAATATTGTTTTCTCAAAAACTAAAAGTTATATTTCGAAACGGGTTGGTTTTTAAAAAATGGCCGGGTAGGCCGGATACCGGATAGTTGCCGGATATCCGTTCCACCAGTACTGTATATTATTTTCATGATATATTTCTTTATAGCTACAAGATAAGTTATCTCTTATGGCGCAGTACACATGAAATCCATAACTTTAATGTTTCTAGTTATGGAATATTTGTTTTTTTCTCATATTAGTTGTTTTTGTAAAATCTATTGTTAAACCAAAAGAGTGAGGTGTAACCGTTATTATTGTGAAAAGTTTGGGAAAAAGCCAAAATTATGTGCATAAACTGCACATTAAATTTCTTACATATAACGTACACTCCCTTCTCCGTATTTGTCCGTTATATTGAAGTTTTACTGTATTTAATGAACGTTGATGTTGTCGTAACTTCAAGATAAATGACTAATATGTACTCCCATACGAGGTCAAAATATATATGTTTTGTCATTTTTCACTTTCATTTTATATTTTTGTCTTTCACATTGTGTAATAACTTTTATTGCATTATTGTTACGTAGATAAAATAAAGTTATAATTATGAATTATAATTATATGAAATTTAGTCATTATTTAATCATTTCCCGGAGTTCCCTTTGCTTCAATGAACTCCCAAAACAATTTCATTTGAACTGATGAATGAAACAATTTTCTAGGAAGACCATCTGCCCCACGCGTATCTAATTGTTAAACCAATTAACCGTAAACCGAGTGTTTAATAAGGAAATTCCATTACGTTTTGTACCCTGATATATTATACTCTCAATAGAAAATTAAAGGGTAAAAAATCCAACATTATTATAGTGTCTAATAGATTTTCGATTTAATTGCAGCTGCCTTTGTAAAAGCGGGGCAGATGTAATTTTATCGAAATGAAAATAAGATTAAAACACATTGATGACGTTGCATTTTGTTTTGTTCCAGGTTGAAAGATGGCGTGCCTCACCCTTGGCCAGGAAATTTATCTACCTTCATCATTTATCCTAATAGCGCTAATCAAACGATCTACACGCACAATGTTAACGGGGGTGATAAGGGAAATTACACTTGCGTTCTAAAGAACGATACGGATATTATTATACATCCGATTCAATTAGAAGTATTTGGTAAGTAGATTAGTCTATCAAAATTCGATCGATATACATAATGTAAATCTGTAGGTGATATAAAACCTACATGATCCATTGTCTGCTTGAAAGTAAAAGAACGCGTTTCTGGTATGGGTCCCGTTGAGTTAGTTGCAGCTGTTGTCGTAGGTATCACCCACGGTTTAGTATTAAGGTGGATATGTACTCTCGACCAGAAGAATTTTTCTACCGGAAACACGTGGGTCCCGATAATAAAACCAGTCCGCGGGACAAATTGTCTTATTGATTTTCCATTTAGGAAACTTGCTATGTGTACAATTTTAACGAACCTCCCCATCATGTTCCAAATAGGACCGACAATGCTTTGTGCTAAAATCAATTTGGCACCGCGTCTGAATATGGATTAGGGAATAACTACAACACCGATAGAAAATCGCGTGCACACGTGTCTCCCGCGGTGGTAAAAAGAGAAAGCCATCGTGTCCGCGACTCTTTGGGATTGTATGCGAATGTGGCAATATTTTGCGACCACCTGTGCGCACTCGTTGGCCCATTACACGGCCGGCAACCGAGCGAGAATTGCGTGTGTGGCGAGTTGAGTGGAGAGGCGATTCGGGCTTTGTTGCCCCCGCTATATGGTCTCTTACACCTGGTACGGTGACAAACGCGCAGATGGTCAGGAGGACACACCAGATGACTATTTCCGATGGAGTCCCGTCGTGTAATGTCTACCGCCATACAAAAAGAATGACATTTTTTTTTTGGAATCAAGGTGTCACGTGAACGACATATTGCAGCCGAGAAATTTACTGTTTAACGTTTTGAACATTCACACACCCATTTTTATATTCTTTTAAGAGATGCAAAAATTTCAGTACATATTAGAAGATTTTAAAAGAAGCAAATAAAGAGTTGGTTAAGTTTCAGGTTATGTCTCAATATCGGTTGGACACTTATTAATTAAACCATATCAAGAGTGATTTAGCCGAGGTCGTTTGCGGGCGAGGCGCTACATTGATACCATACCTAAACAAAAATCGACCGGTTTATAACTATATCAAGTGTGATTAAGCCGAGGTCGCTTGCGGGCGAGGCGCTACATTAACAGCATATCGATATAAAAATTAATCGCTTTATAACGATATCAAGAGTGGGTAAGCCGAGGCGCTACATTAATACCATGTCAATTTAAAAACTAGACCTTGGTAGTGTAGCAGAAAAGATAGAACAAAGCTAACAATTGACCACTTGTGGTATCTTCTTTTACTTGACGAAAAAGTTGCCTTAACTTGATTTATGAGTTTTTGGTTGTATTGCGCTGGTTAGTTGTTTGTATGAAAGAATTGAGAGAACGAAAACAAAATTTATTCACGCCTACAAATAATATTTACAACATAAAAAAAAATATATATAAAAATAATAAATGTATATGTCACAGGTAAAGCGTGCATTTCAGTTAATGTACACATTAGCCAGTTAATGTATACATTAACGTAACGTTTTAGTGAAAGTATTTATCAGTCATAGAGTGTATACATTTACTAGTGAATGTGTACATAAACTACTTTTTTTAATGGAAGGGATTGCATGTGATGCAAGTAGTAAGTAAGTAAGTATAGTTCGTTATGTAATATACTAGCAAACGTACTTTAAGCTTTAACTGGGCGTCATTAGTAATTGTATACATCAACTATGCTCCAATTCCCAAGTGTTACTATAACATCTAATGAAACAACGAAATTCATCAAATTTGCATATTTTCGTGTTTATCTCGATATCTATGCATTTGAGCGCAAAAGTGGAACAGAGCAATATTATTAAGAATAAAATTTGTTACAACTTTTGTTCTAATAGTTTTTTTATATCATGCTCCAATTCCCAAGTGTTATCATAACATCTAGTAAAACAACGAAATTCATCAAATTTGCCTATTTTCCTGTTTATCTCGAAATCTATACATTTGATAGCAAAAGTGTAAGAGAGCAATATTGTTAAGAATAAAATTTACTACAACTATTGTTCTAAAAGTTTTTCTATAGGATGCTTTAATTCCCAAGTGTTAACATAACATCTAATAAAACTACGAAATTCATCAAATTTACATATTTTCGTGTTTTTCTCGATATTTATTCATATGAGAGCAAAAGCTCAAGAGAGCAATATTGTTAAGAATAAAATTTGCTACAAATATTGTTCTAAAAGTTTTTTTGTAATATGCTCCAATTCCCAAGTGATACCATAACATCTACTAAAACAACGAAATTCATCAAATTTGCATATTTTCGTGTTTATCTCGAAATCTATGCATTTGATAGCAAAAGTGCAAGAGAGTAATACTGTTAAGAATAAAATTTACTACAACTATTGTTCTAAAAGCTTTTCTATAGTATGCTTTAATTCCCAAGTGTTAACATAACATCTAATAAAACAACGAAATTAATCAAATTTGCATATTTTCGTGTTTATCTCGATATGTATGCATGAGAGAGCAAAAGTGAAAGAGAGCAATATTGTCAAGAATAAAATTTGCTACAACTATTGTTGTAAAAGTTTTTTTGTAATATGCTCCAATTCCCAAGTGTTTCCATAATATCTAGTAAAACAAGGAAACTCATCAAATTTGCATATTTTCGTGTTTATCTCGATATCTATACATATCAGAGCAAAAGTACAAGAGAGTAATATTGTTAGGAATAAAATTTACTACAACTATTATTCTAAAAGTTTTTTTGGAAGACGCTCCAATTCCCAAGTGTTACCATAACATCTAGTACATTCACGGAATGAATGCTGCAACTGTAACATATATATAAAAAAAAGTTGGCCTAAAAGGGCTATCGAGCGTAGTCTTTCTGTCCGGGAATATCTTTGCTAGAATCTTGGTTCTTGAATCTAGTTTCGTGCTAATCTACTTAGGAGATGAAGGGAGTGGTGGGATGATTAGGTAGTGATGAATAAGTTTTTTAAGGAATCAATAGGGAAGTCGATGGGAACATTATGGGATAGAGCTGCCTTGAGAGACATGCGGCTAATCCCTATACCTATAACTAGAATCGTTCGGGATTAGCCGTCTTGAGAGACATGTGGTAAAACCAAAATTACTATATTAAGGAATTAAAAAGTTGCATAAAGATATCTAAAAAGTGTTGTTCCAAACAAATACATTTAACTGAAGTTTATCTACTATTGCATTCGTGTAACTTATTACCACAACACGTCAATCAAGTCATACTCAAATGCATTCAACGTTCACTTTCGCTTGTACGCACACTCACACGCACACATACTACATACATATAGAAAGAGTGTGAAGCGAACATAAACATAAATAACTTTACGATTTCAGCCGGAAAAGTTGGCTTCGAGTTCGCTCCCCGACATTCGTCATCGATTGTTTTAGGACGTGCGGCGACAATGGCGCCTCGGCGCGGCGAATTCGAACAAAAGGAAACCAAAGGGAAAAAAAGGAAAATGAAAATAAGACAGGGACAAGGCGTAAACGCCGATTCTCGTCCGATTTTGCACGGTCGTGGATATGGACCCCGTACTTGGAACGCGATGAATACGTATATCGCGGCTGCGTTCCCGGAATCCCCTTTGTGCTAAGGCGAGGGGTGACGCGGGGTCAGTCCCTCTCAACTCGAAACGAATCGACGTGGTCGTTGTCGTCCTGCAAAATGCGTTCTTCTTCGAATTCTAAAGCGGAGGGCGTTATCCGACCTCTTAGATTTGCATTTAAATCTTTCCTTTAATTATATTAAAATTTAAACGGAAATTACTTTCTTTATTCGATGTATCATTGTAAAGTTTTTTTTACTCTTTCATTTGAGCGAGAATTATAAAAAGAAAAACAACGTTTCATTAGTAATGATATTGTAGAGTAATAAAAATGCTCTATGTTTACTTGCAATGTCCCTTTTATTATAGAAACACGATGTTCATCTCCTCTTTTATTTTTATTTCAGATTTGTTAAACAATATATATCTTGTTATAGAATTTTTAAATTGGGAATTTACATATTAATCAAAATTCGTGGAGAATCGATTAATTCATTATAACCATAAATTCATCAAAAGCTTGTCGTTGGTGAGCACTCCAACAAAGTTATATAACTCTGACGAAGATCAAAGCTCTCTCAACGGGGTTATTCAATTGTTAAATGAATTTCAACAACAAAAAAAATATTGTAGCCCTAAATTTGAAACTATTTCTTTTTTTTATAGAACCAGGATTTACACCAGATGATCCAAAAATAACATACGTTTCAAAAGATGTAACCGCACGGATTGGAAATTACGTTAGATTGTTCTGCGAAGCTTTCGTAGGTAAGTTGAAAATGTCCATTAATAATTTCTAGTCATCATCATCACCGGTCAGAAGAAAACGCGTGTTGGAGTCATTCTTAGAAATCTAAAGCATCATCAATTTCGATAGAATCAGCTGTCATAGATATTAATGGTTCCCAACTTTCTAACAAAAGGACGCAAACAAAAAAATCAAAGTAACCACATGTATATCAAGGGTCCATAACCTTTTTGAATCATATATTTATACATTAAGATACAATTTAAAGAATAAAAAATAAAATAATTTATTAAAATTATTATTATTAAGCTAAATTATTAAAAAAAAAGCCTTTTTAAGTGTTATCTTTAAGGTAATTAGTAATAACTTAATGAGGACGGAAGTCATCTATATCTATACACATCTATTTACGTTAGAAATGCAGTAATCAGCCAATTTGGTTCCATTAGAATCCTGTATTATCCACAATTAACGAACAAACATGCAAACGTTTTGTCATCGCTCGTTAAAATAAACTTATGGATTCTTGTTTGTTTGTTTTTTTCTTTATTTTAATTATCTTGTTTTATTTCAGATAAAGTGAATCTACCAGATGCTGAAAGTCAAGTAGTTTGGCTCAAAAATGGATCAATACCCAGTGGAAATAATATTAGGATAGATGCAGTGAGCAGGTAAGATTTGTTAAAAATCGCTTCTCATCAATCGGGAAATTGTAGCTGATACGCTTTGAACAAAACTTCCTGTGCGAATTCCAGGAAACTGGGAAGCCGCCGGATGATTATGCATCGAACGATGCCGTGCGAAACGGATTCTGGGAAGCGCATCGATTTTTCAAACAGCGACGGCGCCGCGTTAACCGTTTCACAGAAATTTTTATTATATTATTAGTACTCGAATTTTATTGTCACAAAATATCGTGTGAATAATGTTTAATCACAATACTTGCTTTATTATCACGAGGAATTTCGATTAAAATTTCAAATATATAATCCTATAATAATGGCTGGATTGTTGCAAACAAATAATGTTTTGCGTATACAGCAAAGTGAAACAATTTGCTATTCACTTTCAGGAACGTTGATGACATCAACTTAAAATATTTTGTTGCTATTTTCTACTATTTCTGCCTATGTTATAAGTAGCTGATACATCAACTTTACCATTAGTGATGTTATAAAAATCTATGGCTTCAAGTTTAAGCAGTTTTATGGCAATTTTTTAAGTTCTTTGCCCCAGAACTGATACCATTGCTAGAGATTTCTTTATTTTTAGGGATTTCCTCTTACTAACGTTTGGGTTGGGTATGTTCTACAAATCTCAATATATTTTCTGACTCATTACTACTTATACATGACGGTTCATCTAGCTGTTATCCTACGTAAACTTGTAAGTTCAAAACAACTTCAGTATCAGATTGCCAAGTTTTGGCAAAGATCTTGAAAGGGTTCTAATAGGTGCTAATTTCCTCATGCAGCTTCTATTCTATATTTTGCTTAGGATCAAAATGAATACATATAAGCAAAAATTAAGCAGTTTTTGCAATTGGGACCTAAGCAATGAGTTTTTGCCCTAGGTATATTTTTTATTAGTGTTGGATTGCTTCATATTTACAATTCAATTTTCGTTCTCATTAACTTCATATTTACTTTCACAATTAATACGCATTCATTTAAGTGGTCTGGTCAGTCACTTTCAAAAACTAACAGCAATTTAATCCTCAGATACTTAGATACTCAGATACCTCACATGCTTTTAATTTTTGAGAAAACAATATTTGTAGTTTTGATAAAATTTTCGTTGTTGCAATTTTAATCGATAATTTTTAAAATTCGCTATAAAATTAATTTCTTGAACGATCCTTGTGAAAATATCACCAATTATTAATTAAAGTATCCTCTTTTTCATGCAAAAAGCTGTTTTGAAAAATTGCTTTTAGTTTTTTAGAAATAAATGTTTGAAATGATCGATAATTTTTTCGAGTTTTGCAATTTTCGCCGATTAAGCTTTAAAAATTCGTATAAAATCCATTTCTTGGAATATGAGTATGAAAATTTCCCAAGGTGTTAATAAGAGTGTCCTCTTTCCAATGAACCAACCCGTTTTGAAAAATAGCTTTTAGTTTTTGAGAAAACAATATTTGAAGTTTTGATAACATTTTCGATGTTGCAATTTTCATCGATAATTTTCTAAATTCGCTATAAAATTAATTTCTTGAAGGATCCTTTTGGAAATATCACTAATTATTAATTAAAGTATCCTCTTTTTAATGCAACAAGCCGTTTTGAAAAATCGCTTTTAGTTTTTTAGCAATAAATGTTAGAAATGATCGACAATTTTTTCGAATTTTGCAATTTTCGCCGATTAAGCTTTAAAAATTCGTATAAAATTCATTTCTTCTTAGTATGTAAATTTAATATACCGAATAATCGGATATCCGGCCGAAGGGGATCCCGAACATCCGGTATCTCGCTTTTCGCAAAATCACTATCCGTTCCATCGCTAATCTAAAATGACGCGCTCTCTCAGTATAGTTGTTCTAAAGTCTTAGGAATGAAATCATACAGCATTGAGGTTGGGTTGGGTTAAGAAGTGTTCTTAAATATGGTTGGATTCACCAATAATCTATATAAAATTTGATTTCTACTAAACCCGGAAATTATTTTTATCCAGCAAAATGGTAGTAATTCCAAAATAAACAATTTATCACAATTTTATATTCGAAAAAGTATCTGTTACTGATGGTTACAATTCCCGTTAATTGCTTCCCGGTGGTAGAGCTACGCTAGATACAAAATAAATATCAGTGATGTGGTTTCATTGTGCCCAGTTATCCCTTTTTACCCGATTTTACATTGTTGTATTTTTTGGGTCGTGATTAATCTTTCAGAGGATTCGATTATAATGGCTAGTGTAAAAGCAGATTTATTTTTAAATTTGGAAAAAGATTTTAATAATGCTTCCCTTTAATTAGCATCATGACGAAATGTTTTAAATTAGTATGACAACGCAAAAATTTATTGTATTTACTATTAACTAGCTCAAGGATGAATTTTAACTCGGTTCGACCTAATTTTTGAAAGAAATGGGGTGACTCAAGTACCGCCACACATTCTCTATCCCTTATAATCCCTCATAAGCTTAAAAAGTTTAAAGGCTTTTTTTGTGTAACTTGGATAATTAAGCTCGTGGGTTGTTTTCTCGTCAACTAACTACTTGTAGTAAGTCCAAACTTCATAAATTAATTCTTTTATGGTTTCCCACTGAACAGTATTGCTCAAATATTAATTAATCGTAATTCATTGTAGTGAATTCCACTAATTGAATGATTCAAGTTCAATAACTTTTGGCCACACCTTAGAAACATTTTTTAATAGAAACAAAAATCATCGTGAATCACAACCTTTTTTGTAGAATAAGTTTTATCGTGATTCGTTACTCCATTTTTCTGATTAAAACTAAGATAGTGTTGTTATGGCTCTACAATAGCTGTGCAATAAAGATTATTATTGTTAAAAGGTTAAAAAAAGATAAACTTAAAATTGTTTAAAATCGAAAATAAATTTTGCTGTTGACATGTTGAAGGATTATGCTCGAGCCTGTCGATCACCTCGCAATCATCGGTTTCACTTAAAAGCCCTCATTAACGTCGTGTCGGACCCCGCTCCCGTTTTACCATTATTAACAATCGTGCCGGTTGTAATTACCACACCTTTCGAAAACGCCGCCATCCTCGTACGAGAAAGAGAACGAAGAGACCGGAACGTTCGTAGAACACGGTTACAAAAGGAAACAATTACCGGACGTATTAAGACAAAACGTCGCTCATTACGTTAATCAGTCACGCGTTTGCCCTCCCTTCCAAAATTCGAAAGAATAAGTCGTCATGCGGGATTCTTTTAATATTTTTTCGTTTAAAAAAAAAGGGTCGGTGACAATTAGGGCGTTTTTACTGAGCGATCACGCGATGGCTACCGACCTTCTACGAACCCAAAATCGAACTCAATTTTCCACTTCTTAGTAGTACCAAATTGTTTCTCCCCTAGGGCTCCTTCCATAAAGTCGCTCTACTTGGAAACTGTTTCTGTTTTTAGGCTTTTAGGAATCCCGTTTCTCCTTTTTAAAACTTTTTTTAACGATTAATTCATGGATTAACGATTTACTTTAAAGAATTAATGATTTAGGTCAAGATTTTATTATTTCAATCGACCGCGGTATTGTTTACGCCCAAAAAGATTTCTCTTTGTGATGTAATAATCGCCTAAAGAGTAAATTACCGCGGAAATCATGTATTAAACCGTCAATTCTATTGTTAAAGCCTAAAGGCAGGCAGTCGATGATTTGATGAAAACGGTCGAGTCATTTCTGTATTTACTTAATCGAAACCAGGAAAAACCACCGATCAAACGCGTTTTCCTTGAAGAAGAAACGACTTAACGAATGAGTGATTCAGTTAGCAGATTGTTTAACAGTAAAATCGATTATTTCATTAAGACTTTTATGCTACAAATTATGTTTTAATTAATTTATATACAGTAAGATCTGCAATAAAATGTACAACAACCTAACTAAAACTAGAATTGGACCGCGTTATACTACATCACTTGACTAAGCGATTTTATTGTTTTTAGAGATTTTCATGCTGTCTGGTAGGTGTAAGGTATCTTGGAAAAAATGTTGTTTATATTCGTAATCTTGGCGCAAACATGACGCATTTATCTCAAAAAACCAAAAAGTTCTATCTTTCAACTATTAATTTTGATATATTTGTCAATTTTATAAAAAATCCTTTAAAATGAGTCCAAACTCGACATATTTAATTTTGATATTAATGGAGATACAATCACTTCCGGTTTGAAACGTCAACGTCAATTTTGACATATTTGTCATCTTCATTAAAAACCCTTTAAAATGAGTCCAAAGATGACGCACTTATCTCAAAAAACAAAAAAGTTAGAATAAAAAACATTAAACCCGAAGTTAGCAACAATGAAGATAGCAATTTAATTTTTAAATATTAATACCAACCTTAATTTTTTATTTTTTTTTTTTTATATTTTTGTTTTTGTGACAAATATTAAGACATTTTATAAAAATTAAGAATATGTCAAAATGACATTGACATTTCAAACCGGAAGTTGCTTATATCTCGAGTAATATTGGAATTAAACGTATCATGTTTGGACTCATTTTAAAGGATTTTTCACGACGATTACAAATATGTCAAAATTGACGTTGACATTCTTAACCGGAAGTTGACCATAACTTCATTAATATTGAAGATAAATATGTCGTGTTTGTACTCATTTTAAAGGATTTTTAATGAAGATTGCAAATATGTCAAAATTGAGGTTGACATTTTAAACCTGAAGTTAGTTATCATATAATAGAAGTTTTATAACTGAACTTAATCTAGTGTTAGTCGATTTCCGCATTTTCTTTTTATTTTTAACGTGGTTTTTGTGTTTTTTAAACCACATGATGATTCTTGAATTTTTCCCAACTTTCTTAATATTTTTTGTTAAAAAAGAACGCTCTTAAATATTAACCTGTAAACTTGTAACACTTCGTCCTTAATTTCATTTTACAACTTTTTAAACTTTAATTTTGTAAATTAGTAACTAATAATCTGATTTCGACTTTGACATGTGATCTTTTTTAACAAAAGAAAAAAAAATAGTAAGAAACTTGTTTGTAAAATGGGTAGGATGAGGGATGTTAATCTATTTGTAGAGTTCCTGAAGATGGCCGAAATTAGTTAGACTTAAATTCTATATAAAATAAAAACCAGTTGAAAAGTACAAAATCAAACTCTAGATAACTTTCTTCAAAAATTTTTCACGAAACATTATTAATTTTGACTTTAGTATTTGTGATTAAATTTATGCCACAACTTACAGAAACGCCTGTATAATCGTAAAACGACTGGCCAAGCGGATTCTGTCCTTGTGATGGCTGTCATCAGTGTTTTGTGATAAAAATAGACAGGCACCAAACAATTTTCAATAGTTTGAGCCTGACTATTCTGAGAAGTCTTATATTTTTAGAGAGATGAAAACGAAAAACATTGTTCATTTGTCGCTTAGTCAAGTGATGCATAACATGGTCCAATTAATACTCTCACTAGAACTAATACTATACCTAGATCTAGAATCATTCGAGTTTAGCCGTCTTAAGAGACGTGCTGCTAAACCCGAATGATTCTAGTTCTAGGTATAGTGTTAGTTCTAGTAACAGTGCTAGTGTAAAACTGGAAGTAACACTAGATCTAGAACTAGAAACATTCGGGTTTAGCCGCACGTCTCTCAAAACGGCTAAACCCAAATGTTTCTGATTCTAGGTCTAGTGTTAGTTCTACTTTTTGTTCAATAAAAAACAATGTAGCACTGAATAACAATTAAAACTAGAACTACGGTCCTTGATTTATACATCATATAGAAAACTCGGGGAATCCGAGGTCCGTTATTATTTATCAAGGTGATACCATATACTTAAATTACTGTTTAATATTTAAAAAAAATACATTTTGAAACTGCTCTTGGTTATATCTGTTGTTTAATCGTCATCGTGTGCGTCCCGTTTGTTGGTTGCGTCCGCGTAAGTGCACGCGAGCTTGCGACCAAAGCAAAAAGCGTAATTATAGATAATTAGTCGCGATTCCCGAGGACGGGTCCGGTAATGGTTGCTCTTCGCCGCGATCGACAACAAAAACGGCGCACCGCGAACCGTAAATGCCTCCCGGTCCCGGACAGACCATGAGAAAGAAGAAACGGAACGTCGATTCCTGGTGCTCTCGAAGCCGCCGATTTTCTTTATCCCATTGTTCGGTTTCCTTTTGTTAATGCTACACCGCGAGATACCTACAATTTTTCCTACAGTTACAATTAAAGCAATTAAAAGAAAAAATAACGATAAAAGTTAGGAGCTACTATAAAAATTGTGGAAAGATTTATTTTAAGTTATTAAAGAATTTTTTTTTGTTGCAGAGATAATTTTACAATTGGTTCCTATTTAATAATAGATTCAATCAATGAAGAAGATTTCGATACTTATACGTGCCGAATTACCACGCCAGGAAAAGTAGAAACAATCGCAGTGACCATAAGCAAATGTAAGTCATACTTTATTTTTTTTAAATATCTTCTAAAATATCTTTTCTTTTTTCAGATACACCATATTATTTAAATCCAAACCCCGTACCTCTAAAAAACATCTTATTATTAACAATAATCGCATCTCTAATCATTCTAACCTTCTTAATCTTGTATAAAAGTTTTGGTTTAGCAGCGAGAGTTTACATAAAAGATCATTCAATACTTGAAGATTATGTTCCATACATCACCGACGTTTTAATAGTTTATTCATCAGATGATGATGAAACCTTCGTTTTTATGTTGATGAACGTGTTAACAACTAATTTCCATTACAATTGTAAAATGATTAAGTTGCCAAATTACATTGAAAATAAATGTGCTTCGATTGAAGAAGATATCACGAATAGTTACGCCGTCATTACGGTGTTATCGCCAACTACTATGCAAGAAAATTGGACGGCGAAAAGTCTTTATGCTGCGTTAAAAAATATAGAACATTTAGGAAGAAAACATACTTGCATCGTTTTGAAAGAATTGCCAAAATGTGAAATGGTGAAAAATTCCATTGGGGAAACTTTGGAAACTTTAGTTAATAAAATGAATGTAATCCAGTGGAGAAGAAGGCAAGAAGAGAGCAAGTTTTGGTTAAATCTTAGACTTAAATTGCCGCCTATTCGAAGAAGTTATTGCAACAACCCGTCATAAAGAGTTAAGACTGATGATAAAAAATAAAGTTGCCAGTCAACTGATCTGCTCTCAATGTAGTGTAAATATTTATTCTATTCTTGGATAACTGTAAAAGTTTTAATGAAATAAAAAAGATAGGAGTATAAAATAAATAAACAAAACTATCTGTGAGAAATAGCTTCGTCTCGAACTTTCCTGTTTTTATTTAATATAATTGTATTTTTTTTTGATATACAATATAAGTATATGTTATGTTATTTGTAGGTTATATTCAATAATCACTAAATACTGTACATTTATCAAAAGTACGTAATAAAATTCTTGTAATAAATCTAATTAAAATTTGTATGGTTTTTCTTTAACTTGTATTTTCTGAAACAAACGATATGTATCAAAAATTTTGAATTTGGTTCTTTATTTATTCTTGTACATCTACAATCTGAAGATTATTCATAGAAAGATTAATTAATAAATGTTTTTTTTGATAGCAAGTTTTAAGATAATTTTGGTGTTGATGATCATCAGATATTGATTATGCAATTTGAGAGTGGGTTTTGTTCAGATTAATAGTTTGTCAACCTAAAAAATCAGCAAACTGTAATCTGCATTGATAATAATTTATAACTCTTCTGCAGCATTCTGGATAACACTCCTGCACACCACCCATTTGTTCTCGACACTCTTTGAAAGCTTTGTTTCTGTTAGGATCTCCCATATGTTGTATTTGTCAGCCTTTTTCTTGACGTTCAAAATTTTTCTTCTGACTACTCAATACTAAGTACTATGCAATATGTCGTCGTTAATATCACAAACTGACGTATCTCAATTTTACCAGCAATAACGCTTTCAGATTCCCGTCCACCCTCTTTTATCCATTTCAACAATTCCAACCTCGTTTACTTCTCTAAGGCTGTTCTCACTGTCCGTTCTGAAATATCCAAAGTATTCAAAAAAAACTTCTTGCAAACAGGAACACTAGTTTGGTTTATCAGGAAATAATATTTAACAGTCCTCACATTTCGTCTTTTTTTGCTTTGTGTTAGTAACTTGCGTGTTTCTCACAATAAATTCTCGTTTTCGATTTATGTCTGGCGCCTCTTCTATTGTTGAACAAATCCTTCCCAACTTCATGCAAATAGTGCTGTTACATCTTGGTTTCATTCTCCTACAAGGTACAAGTTTCCCTTCCTTTACTGTTGAGTACTCCTTACCTAAATTTCTTAAAGTCTCTGCATTTTTTTGTTTAATAAAACGTACTTTCTTTGAGATCTGTCCTTCTCTTGCAACCCCCTCTACTGCATGTTGCTCCGGGTTATCATCAAGTTTAGTAACCTCTTCAATATTACTTTTTTTTGCTCTTTTTATGTGACTGTCACAATTGGGATTTGTCATGAAAGGGGCATGACACAGTAATCTCAGACAACGAAAACAAGAAGTAAATACCTCTTCTTTGCAGTCTTTTGCCTCACATCCTGGAGAATAAGCTGGATCCGCATCTGAATTGTAGCCGTCATCAAATTGAATGCAACTATCAGATTCCTCTTCTGTCGGTTCTTGCTGTGCTTGTTCCCACTTCTCTGATGTTTGTTGTGCTTGTTCCTGTGCTGCCGATTCTTGATCTTTTTGTTCTTGCTCTATTAGTCGATGCTCTAGTTGTTCGCGCTTCTCTAATTCCTGCTGTGCTGGTTCTACCGATTCATGATCCACTTTGTTTTGCACTGAACATTTTAATTTGCAGATAATCCGAGCTAAAGGTACGTCTTCCGACGAATCACTCTGGCATTGATCCCCACATGGATTAACTACCCTGGATTCTAACTGAGTTAAAGCATCGTCCTCATCACTTCTTGTTGTAAAACATTTTTACTTTGGTTTCTTTTTTAAGGCAACCACGAAACATCAATTCTTTCGGTGCAAGAACAGTTTTTGAGCCGTCTTTCCACAAAACTAAGACATCAGCTGAGTTCAAGAAGCTTTCCTGTATCTCCAATACCACTGCGAATTTACGTACGCCGCTTAGTGAGAAGAATATCTATGCCTACAGAAGTGCACCTACAGTCTTATCTAAACAATCGTGGTATTAACGACGATGTATGCACAGAAAGGTTCAGAACTGTTTGGAACTGCAGAACTCTTGAACGAAAACAGGCCTATTGTCTATCGTGTTGACTGTATTACCGTTTAGAGATACCCAGCTTCCTTTATTTTGTTCTAACCACCATGTCAATTGAAGCCGCTAAGTTTATTAGCCTAGTGCCATTATCGTTAGACTCGGTATGTAGGCTGCACGGCTAAATAGTCTTTTATTTTCTTATTTTGTATAAACAATGTATTGAATGTCATATTTAACATTCGATTATCATCATTGACATTTTATGTCATGTTATTTAAATGAATCTTAAAATAACAATTTTTTTAGACTGCCGGAACGTATGGAGATATCTCAAATCAAACTTTTTTTGATATTTATATAAAAGAATTATTTTATTATTAAGGTTGTGACAAATGATGATGCATCGTACAAGAAGAAGATCTTTGACCGATATTATAATACAAGAATTAGATGACGATGAGACCGAAGGAGAAGTATCTTATTATGATGCGAGAAGAAATTGGAAAAACTGCATATTTTTGCAGTTTAAATTATTTTGGAGAGTTTTTTTGTGTTTCGGGATCCTTGTGAATATAGTGGCAGTACTTTATTTTTTAATCTTTATCAAACACGAAAAGACTTGGATTTTTCTTTTTCCTTTTTACGTTTTTGAAATGTTTTATTTCGTCGATGTATGTTTGGCCATAATGCACAGGTTTAAATCAAAAAATAATTTTTGTTTAATATTATATTTAATATTATTTTTTTTGTAGATGTATGAAAGTTCATCGGAGTTCAAGACTTCATAAATCGAGAAATCTTTTACTCCTTACAATCGATATAATCAGCATTTTGCCATATTACGAAATTTATTGCATTTTACTTAGAACTTCGATTGGGCCAAGTTATTCACCGGGAGCTGATTATTTCAAATTAAAAGTTTTATTACGGCTTCAATACGTGGGTTATTTGTATTTTATATTGAGGAATCAACCAACTGGTAACCAATTGGTTGTGGTTGTTCTTGGTCAGATGTACTTCTTTATCGTTTTTGTAATGATAATGGCAAGTGTGTGGTATACTCTTAAAGATGTTTTGGCGAAATCGTGGGAGTTAAATTTGGGTAATTACCATTTTGACAATAAAAATCCCGTGCATTGGTTAATTATTTGTATAAATATAATCGGGTGTTGCTTCATGCATAATTGGGCCGGAAATATAGCAAATGAAAGCATTTATGATTATCTCGCTCAAAATATAACAATGATGGTGGGATATTTATTACATATGATGATATTTTTTGGCGATTTAACCGCTCAATACATAAGAATGTTTAAACAACAAATCGGATTTTCATCGAGATTAAATATTATAGTTGGTACATTAAACGATTGGAAAATAAATGCTCCAACAATTAAACGAACTATAGATCATTACAACAAATTTTGGGAAGTTCGACGATCGATGATAACGATCCCCACAATATTCAAAGTACTTCCGTTAGCTTTACAAAAAGAAGTAACTTTAGACATGTTTTGGGAAAGCTTAGATCATTCGCATTTTTTTAAAGACGCCGATTTCAACTTCAAACGTTCGCTTTGCTTAGGAATGCAACCAGAAATTTATTTACCCGGCGACGTTTTGGTACAAAGAGGTCGCTTAAAAACGAAAATGTTTTACGTTTCAGCCGGAGTAATACAAGTTTTAACCCAAAATGAGAATTCGCCGATGATTTCGTTTTCAAGCGGAACGATAATTGGCGAAATTTGCAGCTTATTACCGTTACAAAGTCCGGTAACGATTCGGTGTCAAACTTATTGCGAAATTTCTTCGCTAGATTTCAGAAATTTATCCCGAACTATTGCGCAGTATAAAAAATCGGCTTTGTCATTAAGAAAATGCATGAAACGTAGAATCGCTCACGCCCGATTATTACAAGACCCGAAATTATTAAAAATAAGAAGTCGACAAGGAATAACAACGTTACATTGGTTTAAATTACATTGGGACCTTATATTACAAAACACAAAAATGCGCAAACACAAAGATTTTATGGCTTACATGCAAAATCCGGCCCACACATCGATATATTTAGATCTATACGTTTTGAGTGACGACGTCGAATTAAAAGTGGACGTGATTTGTTTAACATCGCATTTCCCTTGTATTTTAGATGAAAATAGTAGTTTTAGGAAATTCTCGTTTTATCTCGTTTTAATCGCGGCTACGATTCAATGCATTTTGGTGCCATATTTAGTATTTTTTGCCAAAGAATTTTCGATAGCGAGTAGCGGGGCTTTGTATATTTTGGATATATTTTACATTTATGGTTTATACATCGAATTAACAACGGCTATAAGAAAAGATCAGCGGGTTATAACCGGTTGTAAAAAAATCGTTTTGCACAAATTGAAAAAAGTTTCAACGATGCTCGATATTGTTTCCTCATTTCCCATTGAACTATTTGCTGCCATGGTTAAAACGAACAGTGAGTTGATGCCTAAATTGCATTTAAATCGAGTTTTAAAGGTGCAAAGATTGTTTACTGCGATGCAACTGGCCGAAAGAAATTTATGGTTGAATCCGCTAAGATTAAAATTGTTTCGGTACTGTTTAATTACGGTTTATTTGATTTATTTGGCAAGTGCGATTTTGTACGCGGCGGCTTGCCCTTTGGATTGTTTGAGGTATGGTTGGTATAAATACAACAGCTTTTTAGAAGAACAACAATACAATATTATAATCCCTGAAAAATATCAGCCAAGTCCATTTTTAAGTAGCCTATCTTACGCGGTGTCGATATTTATGAGTCTCACGGATAGTATGTATATTTCTTATGTTGCTTTGGAGATGGCTTGCGAGGTTGTGGTCAGTTTTATTGGGTATTGGGTGCATAGTTTTACATTTTCCGAATTAGCCGCTTGTGCTGTTGTTCAAATGATGCAAAACACGAATTATTTGGAGTACTTAACAAGGATTAGATATTTCATTGGTTTGTATGAAATTCCTTCTGACATAAAAAAAATGATTTATAGTTTCACTCAATGCCATTGGGATTACTCCCAACGATTAGAATTAGCCGGATCTAGAGGATTTTTAAACGACGCCCCAGAAAATATAAAGAACTCCGTTTTATACGCTAGAATAATCGACACATTAAATAAATCGGTTTTGTTTAAATACATAACCGAAGAAGTTTTATGGAACATCGCCCCAACAATTCGCCTTCACATCGCCCCACCTGGAACTGTTTTATGTCGAGAATTATCGCACGCATCTCACATACAAATTATTTTACGAGGATATGCTCGCGGTGAATCAACAATCCCCACAGATGAATATCACGGGTTATCAACAATTCTTAAACCACACGATGTTTTTCCTTTATTAGGATTAACACTTGGAGTTAGAACGTTTATTAAAATAACCGCGATTACTTACGTTGAAGTAGCCGTAATTCCATACAACAAAATTTTGGCTCAATTAAAAAATACTAACATGATGTTGTATAAACATTACATTCGATCGCTTGAAGATCATCGAAAATCTTACGATATGATTTTGATGAGAAGAAAAGGAAGATTACCCGAAATGGTGTCTTCTAAAAAATCTTACGGTAAAGGGGAATACTTCGTGTACGAAACGAACGAAAAATTCGATGACAGCCCAATTGATCTAAACGTAATGGGACCTTATTTGAAATTAGGAAAATGGAAATGTATCAGATACTTTTTTTTGCCACAATCGATCTCCCCCACGAATAAATTTTACACAATCTGGGAAAGTATTCGTTGCACAATAATCGGATTAAACGTTTTATACGTTTTCTTTTTATACAAATATTGTAACGCAATCAAAGTTTCGCAATACTTCGAATTGTTTTATTTCACAATATTCATAATCGACACTTACCTCCGTATGCATTGCCATTATTACAACAAAAATGGGATTTTAATTACTCATCCTTTATCGACATCTTTGCATTATCTAACCCATGCTTTTGCGTTAGATTTATACACAAATGTTCCATTTACCATAGTAAAACTTAATCAATTATTTCATCGTGATATCGAAGCGTATGTTTCTCATTTTTTAATGTTATGTACAAGGCCATGGGGAATATATCGCATTTATTGCGGGATTTCATACATTGAAGAAAGATCTTTTGAAGTAAAATCACAAATGATGAATCGTCTAAAACATATTATTGTTGTTTTGGTGATATTAGGAGTTTTAAGTTGTATTTTAGAACACTCGACTTGTCGATTTGATAAATTTGGTAATTATGCCTGCGCAAACAATTCTTGGATTGCTCATTCGGATTTTGGGAAAGATGCATCTCACACGAATATGATCGTTGCTGCATTTTATCAAATTGTAACGATGTTTTCATGTTCTAGTTCGGGATTATTTATAATGCGAACTTATGGCGAATTAATTATTTATAATTTTTTCGTCGCATCTTTAGTAGGACTTCGATGGTACATTCTCTTAAAAATAATCGCACTTTCAATTAAAGGAAACGTAAAGTTAGTTGAATACCAACACAACGTAAACGTAATGATAAAATTCATGAGGGATAAATTATTAACTGACACAATAATAAAAGAAGTAACCGATCATTACGAAAATTTATACACAAAAACTCAAGGGTGTGATGCAAACGAGATTTTATCGACATTCTTTCCAATGATGACGCGAGAAATTGGTAATTACATGTATAGAAATATGTTGAGTTCCGCACAATTATTCGCAGACGCGGATGCGGCCGATATTCGATTTCTAACCAGTTTATGTAAAGAAGTTCATTTTAAAAAGGACGCGGATATAATCCGTTGTAATCAAGTGCAAAACGATATCTACATTGTTTATAAAGGATTGGTGAAAATCTCCGTTGCCGATATGAAATTGAAAATTTTAGAATCAGGCGGAATGTTTGGTTGTTTTAATAAAACGAAAATAAGACAAACCATAACTGCTACAGCGTTAGTTCACGTTGAATTATTGGTGATGAATGGGAAAATCTTGTGCGAAATTTTACAAAAATATCCTCAAATTAAAACTAATCTCAAAACTATACAAATGATGAATGTTGAGTTTATTACGTCGGTTAAAAAGGCGACTAAGAAATCTTTAAAGAAGTTTGTTATTTCGGTAAGGAAATTCATTTTTTTAATTATAAGGTTGATAATGTTACTATTAGGTGGATTTTATTAATATAATTTTGGATAAGGCGATTGAAACTTGGTCTGCTACTCAAACTTATTTTGTATCCAATTAGACAACTCCGAATACAAATTGTTCAAATTGCTGTTCAACATATTCTCTCAACATTTCCAACCAAATAAATACTGTCTAAAAGTCATGATCCTTACAAATCCTTGTGCAGAATGGATATTTATATTCTAAAGGAAAATTTTATGTCAGAACGAAAAAGACCTTATGAAGCAAACACAAAGTGTAATAAGGTTAACAAACAATTAGTTGAATCGATTTTGTAAGCAATGCCGTTAATTTCACCGATGCATCATTGTGATTGATGCGTATTAGCATTTCAGCGACCACCGAAATTCCATAATCATAATAGAATTGTGGCTGTTTGTCGTGAAATGCACGCGATACGATAGTTGAGAACTCGATGGTCACTACGACCTGGTCACAAATGCGTATCTAGCCTAATTCATATTATATATTATTATATGTCAGCATAATTGCCTGTTTGCCATAATCTTAATTACATCCCTATTTAATGATTTGAAAGGTTTAATAGATGCGCGGGATTTTGACTTTTTGTTTAATATCCAGTCATTGATGTTATCTATCCTGTATATTTGTGTAATGTTCTTACTTCCTTTTTTACGCAGCTTTTTCATTTTTGTAGTATCTAACATTCTTTCTGTTTTGGGTGTCTCAAGTCTGGTTTTTGCTGTATAAGATAGTATTGCAGTCACTGCACTGATTTATTAACTAGCAAGCCTGTCCTTTCAACCTCATTTTTCTTATTACATATTCCAGCACCAGGTTAAAAAGGGTGCAAGCGTTGTTTTTCCCAAACCCTCTGCAGCAGTGTATAAATTCTCCTTGCCAACTCCTCACCCTCAACCTTCAGCACATTCCGCTGGTATGCCATCGATCCCTGGCGCCTTCACGTTTTTATGCGCCGTAATTACGTCTTGAACTTCATCGATGGATATGTATCCGTGGTCTTCTCCTCTTCTTGGTTTGTTCTGGAAGTAACATTTCTAGGTGTTCTTTAGCTCACCCTCATCGCTCAATATCTTCTCCGTTTCGTCTCTGCATATAGCTGTGTGGGGTTTATATCCTTGTCACAACCGTTTAACAAACTTATATGCACTACTAATATCATTGGCTTTAAAATCGCTTTCATGTTCAGTATTCGGTTGTTCTGGTATTCCCGCTTCTTCCCTCTGCATATCTTATTCGCCTCCCTGAACAGTTCTGTTAATGAAATGTTAAACTCAAATTCCATTATCAGCTTTTCAAAGTTATGTCTCTCAATTTTTTTAGAGCGATTTAGAGTGTTCTATGTAGACTGGACGTCGCGTCATTATTTTTTTGTTGGATATGTCAGTTTTGTTTTGAAATGATAAATAGGGAGCAGTGTACGCGATTAAAGTAAATTTTATCCATATCTTATTAAAATGACTGACCTATTGAGTTTCAATTGCTTTATACAAGTTATCAGTTATAAAATGTTGAAATCAAAACTGTATTATAATGTTTACTTGTAGTATATTTAAATATGTTTTAGCAGCGTCCTGATGACAAAACAAATATGAAAAAAGGAAAAATGGATAAATTTATGATAAATCCATCGAGTAAATGGTTCGGTTGGTACGAATATTTATTAATGATGCACTTCGCACCTCTTAGTTCGATATTTACAATCGCTTGGATAATCATACAAGATTTAAAACTCCGACAAATTCTAACTCTATATTTTATCGATTTTATATTTTTATCAAAAATGGTATTTTCGTTCTTTTTAACATACACTGACCACGAAACCGGATTGAGGGTAAAATCTTTTCGGTTAATAATAAAAAGGTATTTTTTAAAATTCGATGGTTTCGCCACCGACTTAATAACATGCGCACCAATTGATATCGTCGCATCTGCTTTCGGATCCGCTTATATTACGCCGTATTATAAACAATTTTACATGTTAAATCGAAGTCTAAAATTCATTCACATGATTAATTATTATAACATTTGCAAAAATAAATTAACGGTGAGCAAATCGTTAAAATGGACTTTCCTGGTTTACGTTTTATCCCTTTTAATACATTTTATGAGTTGTATATGGTTTGTAATTGCATGTCCGAGTCGTGTATGTCCCATAATAACGATAGATCAAAATGAGCAACAGATACTTTCAGTGGATGTTGGATTAAATTTTCGTGTTACATATCAATACGTTATCAGTACATTTACATCGACCGGAATTCGAGATCAAACACCGTCCACTGTAACTGAATTACTTGTAACGGTTGTAATGGTTTTTATATTTCAAATACTTATGATTGCTTTACAATCGGAATTTGCCACATTATTATCTGTTGGGAAATATACTGGGAATCGTTTTGGGGAAATGGCGGAAAATTTAAGAATATATTTGCAGGTAATAAAAATATAGTAAAATTTCGATATAACAGACCTTTGAGTATTAATATTATCTATTTAATACATTAGTATATTTAAATATAAATGTTAGTGCCTATAGATAGAATCCAACTCGAGTTATTCCTTAAGTCAATTCTAGTTTTATTTGTTATTCAGTTTTATTCGTCTTAAGAGACGCGCTGACGTCACGAACGGGCCTTTGAGCACTGCACTTCTTCTTGGAATGTAGCACACCTCTTAGATTCTATCGTCTTTGCTCGAATGTTTCTAGTTCTAGAAATATTCAGGTTTAGCCGTCTTGAGAGACGTCTAATCCCTCCGGAATGATTTTAGTTTTAGGTATAGTGTTGATTCTAATAACAGTGCTAGTGCAAAACTAGAACTAACACTATACCTAGAACTAGAATCATTCGAGTTTAGCCGTCTTGAGAGACGTGCGGCTAAACCCGAATAATTCTAGTTCTAGATATAGTGTTAGTTCTAATAACAGTGCTAGTGCAAAACTAGAACTAACACTATACCTAGAACTAGAATCATTCGGGTTTAGCCGCACGTCTCTCAAGACGGCTAAACCCGAATGATTCTAGTTCTAGCTATAGTGTTAATTCTAGTAACAGTGCTAGTACAAAACTAGAACTAACACTATACCTAGAACTAGGAACATTCGGGTTAATCGGGTTTAGCCGTCTTGAGACGCTAGGCTAAATCCGAAGGTTTCTAGTTCTAGGTCTAGTGTTAGTTCTAGTGAAAGTGCTAGGTAGCGCTAGTTATCACTATGCTGTATATTTTTATTGAACTAAAACTAGATCTAACACTAGACCTAAAAAGTTTCGATTTTAATTTTACACACACTGTGACTAGAAATAACACTATACCTATTCTAGAGCTAGAATCATATAACGTACTTTTGGCTATAAAAGACACTCTCTCCTCCATATTAGTCCATTATATCGAGATTTTACTGTATTTAAAAAAAATAAAAAAGAATTTTACTTTTATTTTTGTAGAGTACCCACGTATCAATATCATTAATTGATAAAGTAAGTGTTTATTTATTACAATTATGGGTTGGTTATTCTGGGCATTGTATCCCAGTGCTTATTACGCAAGCACCTTATTATTTAAGACAAGACATAATGTTTCAATTATACGGAAACCATCTATTGAATCACGTTTTATTCGCTAAAACGCATATAGACTTTATAAAGCAGTTGGTGACACATATGAAACTAGAAGTTTATTTACCAGGACAATATATAATTCAAAAAGGGGATGTGGACAACACAATGTACTTTATTGTTGATGGAGAAGTTAGAGTGTGGAAGAGATTAATTGGTAGAAAGGAACATCAAAAAGTTTTAAAAGCCGGTGCTAGTTTTGGCGTGAAACAGGGTTTTTTAAAAGAGGCTCATGTAAAATCTGTTGAAACGGTTGTTTCAAGTAATATTTTGTGTTTGAATACAAACGATTGGGAGTATTTAATGGAATCATTTCCAGCTTCAAAGGAAACGTTATTTGATGGAATTAAGCAGTTATTAAATTAATTTTCTTATTAACTTAATTTTTTATTAAATTTATGTGGAATAAAAGAAATCTTATTAATCTATATTTGACACCATCTCAAACCATTGTCTTAAAGCATCACTTAAAACACTTGGTAAAGAATTAATATCCCTTAAAACTATATAAAAAGGAAATGGAAAACTATCCATATAAGATTGGACATCAATTGAATTGTCACTTTTAAATACAGCCCTTCTTATATCAAGAATTGAAGAATTATTATCCGGATTATCAACAATTATAAATATCGTAAAAACGTTTGATAACTTCGCGTTTCGTATTGCGCTATAAACCAACGATTCTCCTTCAGAAAATATTCCCCGACCATCGCTTACAACGACGATTAATTTCGCATTTAACGCACTTGATTTTCCAGGACTTGTATTTAACATTTCCGTGGCAAAATTCAACATTTGTCCAACGTAAGTTTTCTTTTCAGCAAATTGAAACTTTTGTAACAAACACCCTCCTGTTCTCTCAGTGAAAGGGTCGCTTAATTTGTGTAATATTTGAGTGGTCTCACCAAAACTAAGAATTGATAATTCTCCCGATTCCAATAAATTCAACGCTCTCGATATTAAAGCTACACTTTCAAATGCTAATTCCTTCGAATGATTATCGGCCATACTTGAAGAATCGTCGATCGCTAAAACAATTTGGTAATCTCTTTTCGCCGGTTTTGTACGTCTTAACCAAATTTTATCCTTTCGAAATTGAGATGCTATGTAAGGAATTATTTTTCGCATGTTTATACGTTTTCCAGTTTTAAAATCGCCTTTCAAACGTGACGCTTGGGTTGGTTCAAGAACTAATCGTAATTGTTCGGCTAAATGGTGAGCTAAAGATGAGGTAACTGCGGAAATTTCTTCCCATGTTTTTTGGGCTGTTTCGTTTGTGGGGGGCTAAAAATTTATTTATAAAAGATTATTTATAAAAAAATGATTTTGTTATTACCTGAACCCAAGTTGATAATTCTTCTTCAATATGTTGTCGAAGATTTAATAATTCATCATGACGTAAATTAGCTGTTTTTGTTGATAAATCACTTAGATTTTGATTGAAAAATGTTTCATTACCTCTTGGAACCGTCATAGTTTGAGTCACATCTCCTTCAACTTCAACTTTATCAACTTCTTGTAGAACTTCGCCTTCAGGATGTTGATTATTTTTATTTATTGATTTATCTTCTTTATTATTAACATTTTCGGATTGATTCTCGTTTACATTTGTTTCTTCAGAATCAATTTCCATCTCATCATCATCAGGTATATTTTGAGTTGATTCTAAATTATCATCTTTATCTTCATGTTTGTCATCATTGTGAACTTTTTGCTCATCAACTTGTTCTTTTGTAGCAGCATCGAAAATTTGCGTTTTCGACTTTTGGCTTTCTTTAATATGCTGATAAATGTCGGAGTCTTTGTTATCTTCTTCGTTATTGTAATCATCTTGTTTATCTTGTTTATCATCAGCGTGAATTGTTTTTAATTTTTTCTTAACGGGTAAATTTGTGTCACCTAAGCTTCTATTTGAATCGGATTCTCCCATTCTTTTATTATTTTCAATATTTCTTTGCTCGTTAACGTTTGATAATTTTTGACTAACGGAAGTATCTTGATGTCCACCTTCATTTTGATCATTTTGACATTGTCCTTGACCTTCACAATCGTTTTGATTTTCTTGTTCGGTAGTTTCTGTTGATTCTTGATTAGTATTATTTTTAGTTTCATTTGTAGCAATCTAAAACAATTTTTTTTTAATTTATTTTATTTAAATATTTTGGTAACAAAAGTAAATACCGTGCATCTCTTAAGATGGCTAAACCAAAATGTTTGTAGTCCTAGATTTAGTATTAGTTCTGCTATTAGTTCAATAAAAAAAAAACAATCTAGCGCTAAATAATATTTAAAACTCGAACTAATAGTAGACGTAGATCTAGAAACATTTGGGTTTAGTTTAGCCGCACGTCTCTCAAGATGGGTAAACCCAGATGTTTCTGGTTCTAGGTATAATGTTAGTTCTAGTAACAGTGCTAGTGTAAAAGTAGAACTAACACTAGACTTACAACTAGAAACATTCGGATTTAGCCGCACGTCTTTCAAGACGGCTAAACCCGAATGATTCTAGTTCCAGCTATAGTGTTAGTTCTAGTAACAATGCTAGTGTAAAACTAGAACTAACACTAGACCTAGACTTGAAAGTTTCGGGTTTAGCCCGAATGTTTCTAGTTCTAGTGTTAGTTCTAGTTTTACTCCTATGAAAAGTGTTCAATAATCTAACGCTGGATAATAACTACAACTAGTACCAATACTAGTATTAGAACACTGGACCTAGAACTAGAATCATTCGGATTTAGCCGTTTTAAGAAACGTACGACTAAACCCGAATGTTTCTAGTTCTAGGTCTAGTGTTAGTTCTACTTTTAGTTCAATAAAAATATGCAACAATTTAACGCTGAATAACAACTAAAACTAGAACTACCCACCTTGATTTATACATCACATAGACAACTCGGTGAATACCCCGAATTTATCTAAGAACATGAAATAGAGCAACTTGGGGAATAACCCAAGTTGAATTCTATCTTTAAGCGCTAACATTTATATTTAAATATACCTACTGATGTATTAAATAAATAAAATAGTACTTACTTTATCACTTGATTGATTTTCTTTATCATCAACATCCATAGCTTGTTGATTTTCTTCAATTTTCGAATTTTGATCTAAACCTTCCGATGGAATATTTTCGGCGTTACTTTCATTTTCATTTTCTTTAATGTCATTTTCGTTTTCATTTTTATCTTCAATATCCTTTTGATCACTATTTTCGAGATTTTCTTCTGCCCCATCAGAATCATCTTGGTCTTTATCATCATCAACTTTTTCTTCTTCCGATTTTTCTGGAATATCTTCCGAAATTTCATCCGGAATTTCCGGAGGAAATTTATCTTTCATTTCGTCGATATCAAACGGATTTTCTTCTTGAGTTTCTTCTTCTTTCTCTTCGCCTTCTTCAAGATTGAAATCATCAGGTAAATCCATTGGTTCTGGTTCTTCAGGTTCCTGTTGATTTTGATGGTATGGATCAATTTGTTCGTCGTCGTAGTCTTCGTTTAATTCTTTGTCTAAAGGAATATCTTGAGGTTGGTTTGATCTTTTTTCGTCGGATTCGTTTTCTTTTGAGCCGATTTCTTCTTCGTTTAAATTTTCTCCGCCGTTTCCTTTTTCATCTTTTGATTCTTTACCGTTTTCTTGCTCATCTTTTTCATCTTCTTCATCGGAGCCCCAAATCTCTTTATCTAATTGATCAGCCCCCGTTTCGGTTTCTCCCATTTGCTCATCAGCGTCTGAGTCATTATCAGAGGCATCTTCATTTTCTTCATCACCTTTTTTTTCGACATCTTGTAATTTACTGTTAAAATCTTCGGACATTTCAATTCCACCTTCTTCTTCTTTACAATCTTTATCTTCATTTTCTTGGTTATTTTCTTGTCCCTCTGGTTTGGCGTCTTCTAATTGATCTTCAGATTCGATTTTATCAGAAACGTCTTTTTCGCCTTCACCATCACCTAAGCCCATTCCTGAAGATTGTTGAGATGATCCTTCTTTGGAAAATTCATCGGAAAATTCAGGGGGAATGCAAAAACCTTTTGTAATTAATTCAGTAAAAATATTTAATAATATTGAATTTATTTTTGATGATATTCGATATGTTGATACTTGTTGGGTGAAAAGAAATTGTTGAAGAAGAACAAATTGGTCGAGAATTGGCAAAGATTTTTTTAATGTATCTTGAAAATTAAACAGGTTTCTTTGTTGGAGATCTTTGTTAATTTTAGTAATAATTTTAATGATTTCTTTGGTGTTCAATAAAGATATAGAATTAAATATTCCTTCTGTTGTTAAAAGATTTAAATGATTTGTTTGTAAAATTTCTTCGTAATTTTCCGGTTGATCGATGACGTCGAGATTTTTTAATAAAGTCTGAATCGAAAGGAGTACTTTTGTGATTAATTTTTCATTTCGATTTTTGAATAAATCTAAGTCTTTGTTATCTATTTCATCAAAATTCGACGTTATTGGAGTTAATTCTTCTTTATTAATAATAACTTTAGAAGTAATCCATTTTAAACTCTCAGAAAATGATGTATCCCCAAATAAATTTAATAATTCGTTTAATTTATCCGCCAGATTTGTAACTTTGATTATTAGATCGTTTAAATTATTCATCGGAAAATACGTTATGTTAAGTTCATCATTTTGGATTTCTTCAGGAATATTTTTACAAATAATTTCGATTTCCTCCAAGATTTGATTTAATAATAAAAATGATTTTGTCCAAATTTCGTCGTTTTTATAGCACAAGCAATTTTTAGGGTCGTTTAAAAGCGGTGTGTTCGTTTCAAGCCCATCTTTTTCTGGGCAAGTATTTAAGATGATCTTGTACTCCTCAATAATTATTACAGCATTTTTTAAACTCTCAATTAAGTTGATTAGATTTTCAAGTTTAATGAAGGTTTTTGAGGCAGAAAATTCTTTAAAATAATTTAGGTAGGTTTTTAGTTGCGTTATATCGTTTGCGGAATCAATTAATTTTTCTTTCTGGTCTAAAATATTATTCTAAACAAAAACATTAAAAATATTAATAAAAAAAAAATAGTAAGTAGTAATCATTAAATGTGAGCTATCAATGAAATTTGTTGAAATTTATCATCATTAAATCAGTGGTTATTATTTATTATTAAACAGTCAGTGTGAACTTTTTCTAAAACTAAAGTTGCAGATTAGCTTACAATGTTTAGAAGAAGCAATAACCTTGCGATCAGAATTAATTGATGAAGAAACATTTAGGGAATGTGAAAACATTAAGAAGTTCATCATCATCTACTGGTTTGCAAAAAGTTGAAACCAGGGAAAAAAACTTTATAATTAGCAAAGTGAGAGAGGAATAAAGAAGTCTTTAAGAAAGTTTTCTAAGGCAAAATTCAGAGCATTCTTAATTCTAATCTATTAATTAATATTTTTTGTTTTAAACTATTTTCAAATATTCAAAAATTAATAAACTTAAAATAAATAAATTGCTTATGCCCAAAAACGGTAGAATCTAAAAGGACCTTTGTAACTCAGAAAATGACGTCAGTATCAGTAGTTTTATTGAACTGAAAGTAGAACTAACAACATCACAAAGCAGGAATAAAATAAATTAAGCATTTGCTAATTCATAGTGTGAAATAGTAGTTGCCTAACCAAGCGTGACGTCACGAACGGGCCGTCGAGCTGTGCACCTGTTCCCAGGATGTAGCAGTCCTCTTAGATTCAACCATCCTTGGTTTCTAATTTCATTAACGAATTAAAAAGTCACAATTAAAATCAATAGATTTCACTGTGTGTGTTATAAATCCTTGTTTTATCTCTTAATTAATATAAATTAATTCTAATAGCTCAAATTTAATAATATATACATTTTTAATTTACTTACCATTAAATTGATTGGATACCCTTTACATCTTTCAATTTCTTGAGGACCTAATTCTTTTGAAGGATTAATTAAAAGGTTTTGAAGTAAATCTAAGCGAATCAACGACTTAGTGTAGTAAATTTCACTAGATGACCATGATTTTAAAATGTTTTCATCCACCAAACTTGAAAAAAAACAATTACAAATTTATTACAAAAAATGAATTTTAAATAAAATTCTTACCTTTGAGACTTATTCTTCAATAATAACTCTAAATCAATAGGATTCAATTTAAATCTTTTCAAATTATCGCCTAAGTCGCCTTCAAGAATTCCTTTTTTATAAGACAACCCCATTTTTGATAGAGCTTTAAATAAATCGGCTAAACCCCGTCGTTTTTGTTGTAATATTCCTTTCGCTTGAGATTTCTGTTTTGATTGTGTAAGAGTTTTATCAACCTCTAAATTTTGTAAGTGTATACTCGATTTTAAAACTTCATCAATAAATTCTTCCATGTTTTCAATTAATTTTGGATATGGCAAAGAGGAAATTATTTTATGACTAATCAATTTTGATTTTGAGAAATATTTATTGATGTTTTTATCATCTTGATTCGAAGAAATATAAATATCGTAATTAATTTGGGCAATTTCTTTTTGTGGTTGATCCCAAACGCCTTGAACATTATTTTTTTCAACAGATAATGTTAAAAATGGGTGAACTGGTTGTTGCAAAACTGTTTCGTATTCTTTCATGTGCTTGTGGATAATTTTGTGCGTTTTGATTAAAGTGTCTTTAACAGCCCAATAAGAAATGTCTTTCCATCGAACGATTTTAACGTAACCCCTTAATTTTTGTTCAATTGGGTTTCTTAAATCTTTAATTTTTAAAATAACTCCATTTAGGAATTGGGAATAATAACAATAAATATTCCATAAAATATTTTGAAGAATTCTCGATTTTTTAATTACCACACATTGACAATTAAACGATTTTAATAAACCCAATCTATTTTGAAACTCTGCAATATTCGATTGCGTTAAAAACTTTTGAATCGCATCGATAAATTCGATTTCGGAAATATTATTGGTTTCAAATTGGTCGATTATGTTGTAAATGAAACACCACCATTTTCCAATTGGTAAATTCAATTTTTCGTATACAATATTAAGGGAATTTTTCCACATATTTAATTCTAATTTACGCCAAGTTATTATTTGATCGGTTACGTTTGTTATTGAAGATTGCAAACTGACTCCAGAATGGGCGTTTTGTTCCCATTCGTTACATTCGGTTAATAAAATTTCGAAACCAGTTAAAAATCTTGAAATGGAACTGTTTACGTCGAAATTATAAATCCGATTTATTATTGTATTTAATTTTTGTAAAGTTGGATGTTCTGGCCATTCGTTTAAATACTTATTAATTTCAATTTGCAATTCTTTTAGTATGTGGAGAGATTTCTTTATTTCCTCTATGTTTGAATCGTGATAAAAATTATAATTTTTTTTGTTATGATGAGAATTTCCGAAATTTTTCGCATAATTAATTAAAACTGTTAAGCTTCCAAGTAATTTTTGATCTAAATTGTAATCTATTGAATTAACACAATTATCTAATAACACTTTAAATAATTTATATTTTTCAATTAATGGGGTTACGTGGTCAAAGTTATCTTCTGGGTTATTCGACTCAATCCAATTCGTTTTTGTTAAAATATCAAAGAAATTCTTTTGTAATTCATACACGTATTTAACATCGTCTAATTTTATAACGTCTTCTTTAATTGTGACTTCTTTTTCTTTATGAATATGATCTAAGCTGTGTTTTTGGAATTCTTTGAAATCGTCATCGTGATAACTTGGAAATAGCTCATCAAATTCTTCTTGGATTATTTCTTCCTCGGTTTTATTCTCTGATGATTTAAACTTGTATAAAGTTTGAGATTCATTTCGTTCCTTCTCGATCATTTCTTGGTGTTTATTCCAAACACCAATAAATTGTTTTATTAATTTTTCAAAGTAAATCGCTAAATTATCATTTTTAACTTTAAATTTCGATGAAATAATCGCATAATTATAAATTTCTAAGATACCACATTTGAGATATTTAAATAATTTTTCTGAGCAAAAATTTAATAAATTTTCGTTTAAATACAAATTAGTCAGTTGAATAAAATTAGTTTGTTCATCATTTAAAATTGGAAATGCAACTAAATTTTGAAGCGATTTTTCGAGATTTAATCCTTTCCTTTGATGGCTACATTTCATGTAAAGTTTTTTAGCTAAATCTTCTTTTAATTTAATCCCATACAACAATTCTAATACGTTAGAATAAAGAGGTTCAATAACGTCTGGATATGTGGCTCTATTTTTACCCAAAACTTTGCAAAATCTTTCAATATTTGATGAAACACCTGTTGTAACCAAACCTTTTTCAAGCGCATTTAAGTATTCTCCCGTCTCGAGAGACTTACGAAGTGCCTTTATAGAATTATTTAACTTTTCGCAGTATTCCAGAATATTTTTGCTTGAAAGAATTGTTGAGAATGCATGTTGTACAACCTGCAAATAAATTATTCATAAAAAAAATCAATAAAAAAGCAAACTTTACCTGAAAAATACTTCTATAATTTAAGTTTGAAGGTCTCACAGCTAAATATTCCTCCAACTCAACTTGTTTGCGCTTTAAATCTTCTTGTTTTTTCTTAAAACATTCAATAATTGGGTACTCATCATTTGTATAAATTTCTCCTTGACATTTATAAGAATATTCCAAACACTCAATATTTTCAATTTCATTCAATAAATATTTTCTTTTAATCTCTCGTTTTAATTGTGAATCAATCGGTGGTAATTTACTGTTTAATAACGCTTTCAAATAATTTAAATAAATAAACGAATCGCTAAGATGCCCCAATTTATCTGTTGCATCGAACGAATCGTTTAAATCGATCACGCTTTTTAAAGAACATTGTAAGAGTTGGATTAAAATTTTTAATTCGTCGTCGGTTTTGTGGTATGATGTAGATATCGTGTTGATACAAAAATCTATCATTTCTTTGTAATCGTTTTGATTAAATGAAATTCGTAACGATTTTGAGAAATCTTTTAAAAACGATTCAAATGAATTTAAAATGTATTTTTGGTCTGAGACACTAAAAAAAGTAAAATTAATAAAAAAAGATACTTTTAATTAATGATTTACTTTATGTACTAATAGAAATGTGTCAGATAAAACCCATTAAAAGTATAACTACTATTGAGACCCGAAATTGGTAACCAGAAATAGTACTTTATGCTGAAGGTTTTGTAGTATTTTGAAATTAGTGGGTTTTTGCAAAAAAAATCGCTTTCAACTTTTTAATGTCGAAACCATTAAAATTGGCATTGGAATATCATTTCAAAATCCGCAGGAGCGCTTGAAATTCATGCAAATATTTATTCAGTCAAAAAGCATTTTTAATTTGACCCTTATTTCTAAATGCATAAATTATTTTTGTACTAATTTAATTTACTTACATAAAATCAAAAGTTTTCGCAGATAAATCACCAAAATAACTCCAGAGGATAACCATAAATTTATTATACAAATTATAAGAATCTTTGTATTCTTCCAATTTAACTTGTATAGAAGAATCTTCGTTTATTAAAAATTTAGTTAATAACGAAGATAAAATTGGAGAATATAAACTTAATTGCTTGTTAATTTCGTTATCATTTTCGTTTAATTTGTTTCTACAAATGCTGTTTAATAAATAGTAAGTAATGGAGCTGTTTATTTCAAATAGTAATTTTTCATCATTTGATTCTTGGTATCGTTTTAAAACTCCTCTTAAATTAAAGGGAATTGTAATTAAATCAATATTTTCTAATTGATAATAATCATTTCTTCTTCTATAAACGTTAAGTAATCCAAAATAATCCAAAAAAACTAAAAATTGTATGTCAAACTTTTTATAAACACTTTTATCAGTAGCTAAGACGATTTCTTTCGATTTCTCTTTAAGATATTTTAATTCTTCGGGTTCTTCTGTAATATTTTTAGAGGTTAATTTGTATTTTAACGAACATAATTTGTAATAAATTTCATTATTTGTGTGTAATACGTCGATTATTTTTATTTTGTCGTTGGATGTTTTATAAAAATTAAATATATCATCGATTTGATCGAAATTTAAAACAATTTCTAAATGTTTTTCGTTAATAATCGGCGGAGGAGCCGGAATTAATTTCTTATAACGCTTTCCTATCTTTTGTAAATTCGAAAAATGATTTGGAAGTAAAGAATTTATCTTTTCCACGTTTGTAAGTAATTCATCTGACGTTTCTTTTGGTAAAATTTCCGTTATTTTAGAAACGCAATATTTCGCAAACCATTTGTAATGAACGTAAAGTAAAATGAAGTTGTTAGAATCGGTTTCGTTGTTGTAAGTTAACGTTTTTAAAATCTCCGGATAAATATATTTTCTCCATTCGACTCCAGATAAAAATTCCATGAAATTATCATTCGGTATTTTAATAAGATTCTTTTTTAATACGTTTAATACGAAAGAATCAAACTCGTTTAATAAAATCACAATTTTTTTGATGATTATATTATCGGTGTCATTAATGGAAAATTTGCGTTTGTTGTTTTGGATAAATTTTAATGTTACTTTTAAATCCTTCCTTGGTGGTTGCTCAACTATAAATTTCGATGTTAAATAATACAACATCAAATAAAAATTGTTGTGGTCTTTAAAAGAAATCCAAGAATCATCAAGAGGGAGCTTATTCGCCATAGTTTTTAAATTTTCATAAAAAATATCGGTGAAGTTATTTTTAAAACAATTTTTAACGAATAAATGACGCAATTCCAAATCATTAAAAGTGGACATTGAATAAAAATGGTTTAAATAATAACAATTAACAACAAAAAATCGTTTATCATTCCTTTCCAAATAATTCCCAAAACAAGAAATTTCTTGTTTAATTTTCGCTACGTTTGAGTTTAAATTGATATCGCCGATTTTTAAGGTGCAATTTTCATTGAAAAATTCATCTTCTTTGTTATACCCCAACATGATTTCATTAATTCTTATTTTTATTTTGTTTCCAGCATCGTTTATGTTAAATTCATATTCCGACCGCATTTTATAGTAAATATCCATAATAGAACATGTTACGGCTTCGTTAACATTAATTCCACGATTGATCTGTTGTGAAATTAAAAATGCTGACTGTAACAAATCAATCGTTGTCGGTTTCTCTCCAACAATTAAATCGGAAATGTATTTATGCATTTCGATTAATGTATTGATAACGAAGTTGTTTTCGATTCCATTTGAAAATATTAACGATTTAATATCGAGGGTGTTTTGACTCTCGATGTAATCGTGATTTAAAAGGAACAATTCGATTCCGCGATTTCTCATAGCACGCGAAATTTCGCCGTTTTTCGGATTCATCGTAAAAAATAATCTGAAATCTTTATGCGGTTTGATTTCAATCATTTTTCCTTCGGGATCAATACCACGTTCGCTGATTGTAAGAACGCCGTTTGGTTCTAAAAGTCCATTTAAACGATCCAAAACAGCCGGACTACATAAATTTACGTTATCTATTAACAACCAATACCCATTTATTAAAGACTAAAAAAAATTAAGTTAAGTGTTAATTATAAAATATTTCTTTTTTTTATACTTTAATCAAAACGGAATCGACCCACTCAAATTTTCCCCCAGCATTCAAACCGCCTTCATTGTTAACGCAAGATAGTAATTGGTTTCCTTTCTTTCGTAATTCCCTTATTTTTTCCTCTCCTTTCTCTGGCAAACGATTATTTTCTATTTCTTTCCATAACGCCATCAGGTATTCAATCTTCTTTATAAAAAGTTTAGTTTCTTCTGCCATCGTGTGTTTTTCCACGGCTATGGAGAAGAGACACAAAACATCCTTTATAAAAAGGAGGAAAATTTAACATTTTTACAAAGCATCGTAATTCACTGAAGACAAGCGTGGGTAAATCGAGCACGTTTGAAAGTGATTTATGATGGTGGTAGTGAAATTTGAGGAGACTATATATATCCCCTAAAAGAGCAGAAATAAATGTTATACGCACCCAATCCCGGTATTTCGCGACACTTCTCCAACGCTTTCAGTAATTTCCTCGACGAAAATCCTTCATGTGACAACAAAGATGAGTGGATTGTCGTATTTAGAAGGGATTCAGTTTGTTTGAAAAGATCTTCTAAATGACGAGTATAATCAGTCTGTAAATAAAAGAAATAATACATCATTAAAGTTATTTATAAGTTAATACAAAGCTAGAAATACATAAAAGAACTATTCTTTGTAAAAAGCTCTAATTATTTCTCTAGAAAAGAGGTAACAATCGCTCACGCTTTTAAAAGTCCTCTCGTGAGCTTGAAGCTGAAATCATTACGTAGAGTTAAAGTTGAAATTTTAGTATAAATATTCTTAACTTTCTTAAAAAAGAAAATGAAATTTGTTAAGTTGAAAGTGGTGCAATCAGTAAGGAATTTTGTGAATTTCTAAGATCTACTAAAAAATTGAACTATGCAAACAGAAGTAATAAATCAATGGCTCTGTTAGTATATCGTAACTATAGAACTGTGCGAAATATTTTATACAAAGAGCGCAATCTCAATATGATTGAAATCGTACTGCACAACATTGGGTCTACAAAATGAGCAACTACAAACCCAGCCGAGACTGAAAAACTGCCAAACTGAAATTGCTACCACCAGAAATATTATGAGCATCATTTTCTTCAAAATTTGCAGTTCACCATCATTATGAACACCTTTATAGCTTTATAAAATGATTACATCTTCCTTTAATAATTTCATCTTGCATTGAACGTAGTTTTAGATTGCAATATACGATGTTCAAAAACATGGAATCGAAATAGTAAGACTACACTAGTTTTGGCAACCTTAAAACTGGAAACGTTCTAGAAAAAATCCTTGTATATAAAATATGTATTTATCCAAAAAATGCATTGTTATGTTATAACTAATAAATATTGGTAGATATTAAATTATTATAAAAATATATTAATATAAACAAACATACAAAAATAGTTGTATTGAATAGTCAATGAATTATTTAAATGATAAATACTATGTTGGAATCAAAAACGCTAAAATGTAAATAAGTCACAAATCGGTGAAATAGAAAATAGTTTTTTGAATATAAAATATTTACACACTAGATAGTTGTTTTAAATAATTAAACGTAACGATCGCTTTTGCTGTTATTGGGTTGCGTTGCAGTTACAATTCTCTTTGTTGGGTGAAAATTTATTCTCTTGTATAAACATACTATAATGTATTCGGTATTGCGCTCGTTCTTGTTTCTCTGTCAAAAACAATCCCGCATTCACGTTGTGCGAAAACCGACACGTGAAAATCAAATAACTATTCGTTTATTAATCATTAGCAGGTAGAATAAATTAATTGGATATAATTAGATTTTAAATAAATCCTATTACAATTTGTGTTAAATAAAAACGTTTATACATTTCTTTAAACATCAAAGAAAATTAAATTAAATAATGTAATAATAACCATTTGGGAAATTTAACGGGTTAATTTCCCCACAATTCTCCGTGAACGCCATGCTGGCCTTGCAGTAGTAATTTCCAGCCTTTTTACGGGCACAAGTCGAGTCATCCGTCTTCGCTTTTTGCCCCGATCGTCCTCCCGGGCTTTTCCGCGAGTCTAAAAATAGGGTGTGTCGTCCTTTGAAGCGTTTTTGTCGGGCGTCGGTCACGGTAAGAGAAGAACGTAGGAGAGAGACGAAGACGACGAAAAAAAAAAACAATACAGGAGAACAACTTGAAAATCACCATCATGATAGATTTCCTCCATATACAGGTCGGTTCGAAACTTGCGACCCTCCGTACATTAGTTAATACCGGATACCAACAATAGAGCCTTTGTGCGTCTGCCATTGTCACCCAGTTTAATAAATTTTCCAGCCTCGACCCGCCGCGTTGGGATTCGTGATTGATGGTACTGACCGGGAGTGTTATGGAAATTTGTCCGGAGGATGAATATATAGGGGTAACTACCACAACACTACTGTGGATCTACTATGTAACAGATCGTGTAATTCACTTTAAACGAGACTTTAAGGGTTTACATTGAATTAACGCATTAATGTATTAACGTGAGAGAAATTTCAAGTACTTTATTGGGGGGAAATAACCAATCAATCAAACCCGCTTAATTAATTATTAAATTTGGAAGATTAGTAAATCGTGTAATTAACATGTACATAATAGTTAATTGTAACACAATTAATTTTGATAATCTAATCTAATCTGGTATAAATAAAGATACTATTAAATTTATCATTTTAGAAAGATTAACTTACATCATTTTCAATTTAATTACATTTGAAGAATTATTATAATATGTTCTTGGTTGAAAAAAACCTATCTTGCATTAAAAAATATTGTAGATGAAGAAAACATGGTACGATCTGAGTTATTGGCTTTGATAAAAGCACATAAAGCTAACCATGATTTATGTATGCGATGCGTTAAAAAAAAAAAGAAAAATAAAATTGTATTGCGGCTACCACCATTCCAAGCGAAGTTAAATCGGATCGCATTGATATGGGCTCAAATAAAAATGAAGTGGCTTCCAAAAATACCGCATTTAAATTGGTAGATGTTAAAAAAGCGTTTTTGGGAAGCAACCCAAAATGTTACCAGCAAAAATTGAAAAAGATGCGTTGATCATATTATTTAAGAGAATACACAAATGAATTAATTACATGGATCAGCTATTAATATTAATGCTGATAGAGATACCAACACATGAATTCTTCAGATGACAATTTGATATAGGACTCAATTATACCTTGCCTAACTAAGAGGACTGCCTTAGATGGCGTCTAATTGTAAGAGAATCATCGTCAGCGTTGAATAACAATAAAAGCTAGAACTAATACTAGACCTAGAACTAGAAAGTTTCAGGTTGAGCCGTGCGTCTTCAAACGGACGCTTCAGAAGTTCTAGGTCTAGTGTTAGTTCCAGTTTTAGTTCAAGAAAAATATACAACAATCTACTGCTGAATACCAACTAAAACTAGAACTATCGTCGTTGATTTATTCATCGTACAGACAACTCTGGGAATACCCCGAGTTTATCTATCAACAGGGAATAGATCAACTTGGGGAATAACCCGAGTTGGATTCTATCTATGAACGCTAACATTTATATTTAAATATATTTATATATTAAATAGATAATGTTAATAGTATTACTTAAAAATATTTTGTCCGTAATATCCGAAGTCTGTTCTAACGAGGTTCGTTATATAGAAGTTTTATTGTGGTTGTAATACAATCTCGCTTCTTTATATTGGAAATTACTTACTTGACAGATACCGTCTAAATTGTATTACAACACAATTACCGGTAGTTCTTTTAACGATTGTAAGTACCGGATATTCTGCGGGATGCGTTCTTTATAAATCTTTAGTAGTAGCTTAATAAAATATTGGCTACGATCCAGCTTGTCCAATACATCTAATATGTTTCGAATTGCGTACTTCAATCAGTTTCAGCTCAATTTTCTATAATCTGTTCTCCTCCGGTGTTTCAATCAGCTATCTTTTTGTGTGGTAACTATGTGTACGGAAGTGACCCACGGAGATATACTCCATAATATCTTGTTTCGAAAGTTCCGAGACTTGTTTCTTAATTTGTTTTCTTAAATCAATTTGCTGTCGGTATTGTTTTACAAATACGGATTGATTATTTTTCATCAAGTGTTCCTATTCCTTCAATACTTTTATTACCCTCATCAGCAAATTCATCGTATATCGGGAATTTCATATAACTCGCAATAATATGAATGCAGTAACCATAGTTACGAAACTACTATGCACTTGCACTGTTCCACATAAAATGCAACATAGCTTAAAAGTAGAGGCATTGGGTAGTTTTGCAAAGGAAAAGCTTTGCTTGGAAAAGGTGATGTCCTTATAATAACTCTGAGTTTTCGTCTTAAGAGACGCACGGCTAAATCCGAATGTTTCTGCATGCTATAATTAGGGTTTCAAAACAAAGCTGACTTTTTGCAACATTCCTTCCGTGGACATTTATAAACAAAACTAATCTTATCCAACATTCTATCTGAAACTGGTCATCATATTGCTACAGATATTGCAGTGCTTCGGCCTCAAGCGGCCTTGACTTTATCAAATAAAACTGCAGAGCTGAACTGTTGATCAGGTGTAGTGGTAGAACATTTGACGGATTATGCTCTCTTCCTACATACATATAGTAGTTTCAGATTAATATGAAGTATATCACTATAAATCTTTCGAATTACATTTGTAGAATTACTTGCTCTAATTATTTTAACTTCAATTTATCCTTTAATTGCTTCCTTTAACATCTATTTCCATTACTGCAATAAAATCCTATTAGTCTGATAACGGGATATTAAGCGCCTTATCTTCCATTTCAAATCCGTGAGGTATAAAATCTTTAAACTACACATTAAATTAAAAAATTTTTTTTTCTATTCACATTCCAGAATTCCACGGAATACCGTTCAGCACTTATTTCATCGACTACAGTATTATACTCAGATGTCTCATATGGGATCTACATTTACAATCTCATTTGAATATCCTTCCCGGGTCTTCATTTCGCCAAGTTGAGGCACCTTAACTTCCATTTCCAATTTTTCGTTTACCATACCAAGATCAAAGAAAAAAGACAATTGGTAGCGACGAGATGCATTTAAATTAGATAAATTTGTTAAGAAACAAAATTGTCGTTAAGAAATCCATCAGTTTTTACAAAACCTTATTCCTGCATATGAGTTTCGATAGCTGCCTCGAAGTTTTTACACGTTTATTTGGGCTTAGACATGAAGTCAAAGTGTTCTTAGAACCACCCTCCTTCACTTTTATTTAAATTTGATGATGATGAATGACCTCAAAGCCTTGCTCCGATATTGTCCCTGCAGAACAATGCAGAAACCATATTCCAAGTTACTGACAAGGTAGACTTTAAAAGCAGTTTTCAAGACAAATATTTTTGCAAACGTGGAACAGAAAACTATTATTATTGCACTAATAGTAAAGTATTAGGGCAAAGTGAAAAGAAGAGCTATCTTTGTTGATCGATTTGCTACGAAACTCCGTTGGGAAACTTCAAAAGACGGAAAACTTCAAAGTACAACGCAATTTTTATACAAGACATGACGGGGTTATGTTTAAAAATTGGCAATTTTTGATTACTTCTTGATAAATTTTTCACAATTTATTCTGATTGATGAATTATCATCAAATGGTACGAATCATCGATTATTGTTAGGAATATACGTTTATTTTGGTTCTGAAAAGAATTGATGAATGATTGTTGATAAATCGGATACATTTACAATTTTTATCACCACACATTTTGAAAATCGATATCCGAAACGTTTCCATATTTTAGATCGTAATATGAAGTTTAAAAATCAACTGGAGTAACTGAAAACTAATTAAAACCGTTAAAATTTTATCAAAGAAAAACCAAATAGATAAATAAGAAGATTTCCTTTTTATATTCGTTGCACTTCTTGATAATCTGTTAGATGATATTAAGAATGAAAAAGAAATATGAAAAATCTAATGATCACACGATGGGTATTATAAACGTGCGCGGTTCCTTTAGTGTGGCACCACTGGGGAAAGTCAGAACCGTGATACGGGTGCAGATTACAGCATCCCTGCAGTAGACCCGCGTAACTCGACTCGAAAGCACCAAACGTTTCCTCTCGGTCGTTTTAAACGCTCAGAAAAGACGACGACAGTCACCCCATAGTTTGAAAGTGATTAAAACTTGTATAAAAGTCAGTTTTCGAACGCCTTGCGTTCGCCAATTAAAATTTGGTGTTCATTATATTAATTAACTTGTGTAATAATAAAGTTTTCTAAAAAATGTAACTTAAAAATGAAATAATATGTAGTCATAAATGAAATAAATTATTATATAAGCGTATCAAATTGTAAGTAGGGATTTGAGTTGGCTTCGTAAAAGTTGTATTTTAAGCTTAATAGAAGATGATTGATTGGGAGCTTATCTTATCCCGTCAGCTTTAAAACTTCACTTAGGGCTGAGTAAATCGCCGCTGCACACCAAAAATGCCCGACGAAATGTAATTTATCTTTTCCTAAAGGAACAAACGTCTAAGCGACGAGTTAAGAAAAACAACGCGAAGCGCGAATGTTTTATGGCTTCGAGATAAATTTATGATTCCCTTAAAAATTCGAAATCTAAAAAATTTATCTCGACCACTTTACCAAAATTTCTAATTAAAATTTAGGTTGCATTTGTAGCAAAACTCGTTAGAAACTACTTCACTTTACTCGTAGTGGTAACATGAAGTTTAACCCTACCTATTTACAACTACAAAACTTAAATTATATTTAAATTCATAAAATAATTATTTCAATCTAAAAAAAAAACGAATAATGATGAAAGAATAAAAATCTCTTTAAAATCGTGACCTTCCACCTTTTCTCAACCGTAAAATTAAATTGAAGCAATCCGGCACAATGCAAATCCTCAGAAAAGGTTTCAATCCTGCAGATTGCATTTGGGTTATTTAGGTCGAGCTTTAGAACGATTGTAACAGGACAAGTGTTTTCCTCTTAGAAGTTTAATTCGTTCGTCGAGAGTGGATGTCAAAGGACCCGACGGCAGAAACAAACCTGAAAATTGTTCACCCGATTATAGAAATGATCAATAAATACTAAAAATAGTTTAATTAAACACCATTATTGATTCTGATTCGGTTCCGTAAATAAACATGAATAGAAACCGGAATCGCTTTAAACGAAGATTAATTATTCATCCCTAAAAGGAACTATCATTTACATACTATGTTTTGGTGGGTGTACGTAGCTTAATAAACATTAATATTAATAACGAAATTGGCTTATTACGAAATTTTGTGGATTTGGAAGTTATCGTTAATAATTTACATTATGGCAGCGGGTAAGTAAATGAATTTTGTAAAATAAACTTGTTAAATATAGAACATAGTAACATAATATTTTATGGGTCTTATATTTCGAGAGTTTGAGTATAGCATCAGAAGCATTAACTCAGATTCTCGCAGTTATTTTGTTGGCCGTTACGCGATTACGACCTTTGGTAATGTGTTTTTTGGGATTACGGTGTAATTTGTACATAACGATCTCGTACACTGTCCGACAAAGAATTCGCGAACGTTTCCTTTTAGATTACATTCCCCTTTACGGCGAGTTAATTTGGGAATTTTTCCAAAATTTTCACCAAACAATTTTATATTCCGTACGCATTCCAGCGGTATTATACTGCTTTATTGCTCGTAAATTTCCACAAAGAACACCCTAGCCAGGAATATTTGATAGGGGGATGGTAACTCTATGGAGGAGACGTGTATGCATTCTCACATACTTCAATAAATCTAGACAAGCGTATCAACGATTTTGCTGTATTCCACTTGAGGCGATCTTGTGTGAATTAGCGCATCCGATGATTGTTTTAGCAACTTGGAAATAGCTTCAAGTAGAGTACTAAATTGTCTAGTTGAACAAACATTCCGTAGAAAGTTTTATCTAAATAACAGATATTTCAAAAATTGGGTCAATATAGATTCGATCTAAACTTTATTTTCTTTAATCTTTTTTTATTCTGATTAAAATGGCGCAGCATAAAGTATACACCATTAAAAATGCATTCATCAATTCCCAAATCGGTACTCATTTCAATTTCAATTAAATCCAAATCCAATAAATTTTTGTTATCGCTCCATTGACCAAAACCTGACCAAACCACCAGTTATTTATTTACTGCTAAATTATTCTCGCGGGTCTCACATTTTATTCAGAGGTGCCGCTCCGACAATGAATAGGAAACCGTTCTCACAATAAATAACAATGTAGTCTATCGTCCAATTCACAAAAGCAATGAGAGAAAATACAGAGATATTCCGGTTGTCGTGATGTCTGGAATTTGGAAAGTGTCACGTAGCTCTTTTGCAAAAATCGTCAACGCGAAGAGTTCCGCCACCGTGCCGTATATTCACGACTTGTCAGACGGAACGATGGTGCAAAACACAATTACTGTCAGTGGACGTTGTAAATTTGATTTACATTTACAGCACCCTGTTCACAGGCCGTTACGAAACGCGAATACATCGATCCGATCAAACCAATTTTGGGGCGCATTAGTACTACTTTCGAAGCGCGACATCGACCGGACCCCTATTTAAATAATATAAGTGCCCCCCATTACTGTGGGGTTGTAATAGGGCGAAGGATACTATGCCGCTAATGCTGCAGGAAGTTAAGCTGCAGCAGGGAGACGCCCGGCGCCATTACGTCTATCTCTGCGTCTCGTAGAGATATTGAGTTCACGAGATGTGCTAGCAAACAGAGATAAGATATCATCGCCTTGTAGATTATCCAAAAAGGTTTCTTACGTCTACACTTCATTTCCTTGATATAAAATGTAAGCTATTAAATAAAACAATTCCAAAAATTATTACCAAAAAAAAAACTTTGAATATGATGAACTACGAAACCAGAAAAGCATCACAGTTTGAGATGTATCGTAAGAGTTGATAAATCGATCAAATTTGAAAGTGAAAACTATACAAGAAAGTTATTATGAATAAAGTTTGGGCTTGTACTGGTTATTTATTGATTTTATACCAGCGGGTGATTTTAAGCGTTTTATAGGAAATATTATTACAAGTGTCAAGTAAACAAGTATAAAAAGCCTTTGAAGAATGCTCACAATCGCTTATCACCTGAAGAAGCCATATCTTTATTTGTAGAACCTAAACTAACAAAACGTTCATGTCAGTCACAAAGGAATATGTCCAAATCAAACTATTCGTAGGAAATCAATTTCAACAACAAACAAAAGTCTTTGTAACAATTCAAGTGGGGTTGCGATGGCTGTAGTGGATTTTATAACCCAGTTAGCCCAAAAAAAGTTAATTGGAGAGTAAATAAAAGAATTGATTTTGCCTAAAATTGGGATCGAATTTGAAATGAGACACAATTTGTTCAACTAATTCAACGCCTAAAACAAAATTAACCTTAGAGTGGGAAAAAAGAGCAAATTGAGACTTTTGAACTCTGAAAATTAACAACAATAGACGAGCACAAGAGCAAGTTGCTTGTAAATATTGTGTTAAAAAATAAGCAATAATTATAAAGACAAATTGTCGCTCTAAAAAGGCCGCAAAATTTGTCAAAATCAAACATTTGTAGTAAGCCATTTATTTGGCCCGTAGTCTTAGAACGAAAAAATAAAATCTTTACATACAATTTTTTGAATTGTGATAAGTACGAGTTTCCATACATATTCATGATGAGAAAAGAGATACAAATATTATGAAACCAGAAAACGATATGTCAGAAACAACAATGTTAGAAAATTATCGATTTTCAAAAGCTGAATATAAATCGCGGTGGAATCTTAAAAAAAGACAGAATGGTTAAATCAATAATAAAGAATGGCTACAAACAAATATTTTATTTTTAAAAAAATTGGAAGTAGATGTAGATGTCAATTATAAACCAAGCTCTAAACGGACAAACCGATTGACAACGAATCTGGATAATTCTAAACCAGATATTATATGACACACAAATGATTTTGATATAAAAGAAGTAATGGAGATGGATTACGTTAACTTCCTCTATGCGAGTATTGAGGTGTAAAACTATGGTTGTAAGACAACAACGATTTTTTTGAATTCCTTGCAACGTTTCGGAATCAAGCCAAACCTAACAACAACCAACAAGAGGTTAAGTTAATTTTTACAGTGTGTTTGGTGCAACAAAATATCAAGATCAAATTATTTATAAGCTATAAAACATTATCATATGACACGGCGAAAAAATAATTCAGAAATTGTTGATTTAAATTAACATTCTTTAATTATAAACATTCAGATTCAAAATGTCAATCAAATCGTGCCACACCAGTTCCTGATACTTTCTCTAATCTCATACACAGTGTTTTTAAACTCCACACACTTCAAATTAAGCCTTTATAATCATTTTGAACAATTTCGTATTAGGCTTGTATTACATATACAGACTACATGTACAATAAAGTATTTCATAAACGTACATACTGTTAAACAATCGGTAACATAATACATAATACAGCATGAAATGAAATGTCATTTCTAGCGCATTCGAACTGAGTAATTTCGTAATTTTGAGGCTACATGCATTGTCGATATTTATCGTATGATTTATGTCATTTAATAAATCAGATAAGCCCGCTTGGCACACGGATTACACACACACATTCGCAACAACTTTTTCAGACCTAGTGCAAAAAAGTAAGAACTGGGTCCAATAAATTGATTATACTTTTTACCACTAAAACACGAAACTTGTACATTTTCATTTTATAATTAAAAACACCTACAAATGTTAATAAAAGCTACATTAGCCAAAAAATTTATTACGAAGTGCTCTATTATTCTTCTAATTTACTTTATATATATTAACACTGCCACGTAATAAATAATCTTGAGTTATTTTTACCAAAATATTATTTTTAGTACTAATTTGAAACATTACAAATTCAACATTAAACTACTTTTATTCGAAATACCTCTTTGGAATACTAGTTAAATTGCAACACGAATTTCACTAATTACTTCCTTTATATCTGCATAATGTTATTATGTTATTTATTGCTCATTTATAATTATGTTATCTATTCAAATTTGTGATGTCTTTTTCAACACAAATAATAAAGTTACAAAATTTCCTTTTTAATTGGCGCACTCTAATTATCACGAATTTAATAAATTAGACTTTGTTTATACAAAAACAAAGAATTTATTGTTAACAACGCCGTTATAAGATTAGACAAATACCAAACCAACAAAAAAAAAAAAATAAACAAAGCCAAACAATAGTTGCCCAATAAATTGAAAAATTCGATTGGACCTTTTGGCGAATTTTTGTTGGCCGCTCTATAATCGGATTTCCCCTATCACAAGCCGCCCCCGAGGGCACTGCGCGAGGGGTTTTAAAGTGGGACCGGCAATTTGCATTCGCGACATTCTCAACCATCCAGGCCATTCCAGACGACTTTTTTCATTCCCCTTACACCGCCATCAGCAACCGTAAAGCCGGAACATCTTTCCGGCCCCCTTTTCTTTCTCGCGTTGGCTTCGATGATAAAGGCGGTGGCGGGCGTCGCGGTGCTCGGTGTAGACGACGGGTTATTGTGCCGGATCCATTCATTTCCCGAACGTATAAAACGCACTTACTGGGTCAAGGAATTGTGCGGGACACCGCCTCCGGCTCTCTTTCCCTCTGTAAGCGATATGAATCTGGGTCGACGAAGAAAAAGCGTTTAACCGAGTAGTTGCAGCAGCTTACGGTGAGATCTATTGCCAGATCTCGTCCGGCGTAAACCAACCTCAAAATGGACCTGAAGAATTCTTACCCGATAAAACATATAAAAGAGGAATAACATTTGTTACTTGAGATATCAAAGATAACAAACAAACGATCCCACGTTGAGTCCATAGTCGTGAACCTTTTCTGTATTTTTGTTTCGACTTGGAAACGTTATGAATCCATTCAACCCAAAAAGCAGTTTTTGTCAGTTATAAAAATAAAGTTCAGCAAGCTCATAACGTTTTATTTCCCTTTTATTGTTGTCCTACCTTACACATTCAAGGATAGCCGCGAAGAAAAGTAAACTTGAGTTATAAAAAGAAAATGGGTACAAGAATAACATTTGCTATAGTTGTTATTAAACTCTCATTGACTTTACAGAGATTTTGTGGTCCAAATCGATTAAAATGATTACATTCACATAACCTAATTTTTCAATTGAACAGAATACAAAGAATGGAGTTAAAAGAAGCCATGAGTTGTCCCATTCCGAAAGATGCAAATTCACCAGGAACCCTGTCATTTTTGTTGTCACGAACAACAATGGGTTCCATTAAAATTCAAATTATAATCGTTTAAGGCAGTTTTGTTTTATTTTACTTTTTCAATTCAAAATTGGCTCTTCAATTTAATTACATTAATAACATCTTTATAAATGATACACAATTAGACCCACAATTTAAACCTAAAATGAGTTAAAATATAGATCTAATCTTTAAATTGTTTGTCATAAATAAACGGGGTATGAAGGGATTGGAATACGGTTTTAATTGTGTGACCCGACTCTTTTTTTTTGAAAGCTTGTTAGTATCGAGTTTAAACATGTTTAGTTTGTAACTGTGACACAAAAAAAAATCGTTATTAATCAAGGATGGGATCCATTTGTTTTAGCTAAGTGGGTCATTTGTCGGTGTTTCAAAAACAAAAAAGGGAAAAAGGGAATTTTAAGCGATAATTAGTTGCCACCGCAACGTGCTTGAACACGTCCTTCGCGGTTTTTTCTTAAACCTTAATCCTTAAAACCGGCGACAATCTCCTAACCGGGATTAGAACCGGAAACTTTATAACAGCCCTTCGTGGAAACAGAAAAAAGTAGGAAACGCCGACGTAAAGCGTCCGATGCCAACGCGACGCTAATTAGTTTTGGCACGGTTTGTAATAAATTAATACCCGCAAAGTGGGCGACCTCGTTTCCGAGTTCGCACTTCCTTCTTATCCATATTCATGCCACCGGTTCAAACACCATAGCCGGGGTCTAATCGCGGGCAACGTCTTAACTATAACTCGAAACTCACATCATTATTTCTCGCTTCCGTTCCAGGATCGGCTGTGGCCATGATTGGGGCCAACTTACGATTTGGGAGCATGGCCGCAAACGCTACATCCAACGCTACAAGAGTTTTTCAGTGCCATCCTGGTGGAACCGCCGAAGCAGCATTAATTTTTGCATTAGGAAGTATGGGAATGGCTGCAAATATTGGGCTCATGGCTGTAATTCTTGCTAATCGACAACTTAGACGGTGAGTTTTAATTTAATTTACTTATTTGATTATATTTTGACGGATTTGCATGAAATAAAAAGATCGATACCAAGGGAGAGTCTGCACACGTATATCGTATAAAACATGGACGTTTTTCGCCGATTTACCTGCTTGTCACGTCGCGTAGATGAATTATGCAAGCCCCAGATGCGCTAATTGGACCGCGCGAGCCTGTGAAATTCGCGGAATACAGAAAGCCCTCTATCTTTCTTCCGCACTGTTCTTCGCCATTTACGATTAACGTAACATCCTATTAATTTTCCTGTGTCGTCGCTTATTCGAAACTAACGACCCATCACGCATCGTTTTTCAAATTGATTGTCATTTTATAAAGATTCGTTTCGCAATTTTCCTTGCTCCCTTTAATAACCCTCCCTGAATATCGTTCTATCATCACACAAGCTAAGTAATTGAATTAGGGAAGTTTATCAGGCCTGTCAGAGCTGCCAACAATTCTACCGATATCGGCCCGTAATTACTGGGTGGCCGCTGTTATAGCGACATGTGTACTAGATATCAAAGCGTAGTTTAATTCCGATTGCGTATATTGACCGCGATTAAAAGCAATCGAGTTAATAACGTCAATATTCAAACCGACGAAATATTTTGCGGACAACCTAACAAAAATAACTATCATGAGATTTCCGTTTCCGTGACATTCAACGAATGGTAAAATTTATTGTTTGGGAATCTCTGCTGCCAGCGTGAACACGTTACAAAATGTCACCTATACACATAGCGTGGGGATCGCAAAGATTTCAAGGAGGCTTATCTGTCTCTGTTGTATGAGATTTTCGAGACCGTACGGTTTCGAACATTCCCACAGAGGCCATTTCAGATCTCAATGCGATTTATCCACGAATCTACGAAGCCGTATACTTTCGCAATTTTCCCCCTAAACTTTTACAGTAAAACTAACGTATGAATGTGTATGTGTTTTCCCCCCTTTTCCTTTATGTATTCTACACCATGTTGAAACAACATAACCATATTGTACTAAAACTGAATAATAAATCCTTTAATTAATGTTGTCTTTGTATAGTAAAATTTCGATATAACGGACTTCAGTTTATAACGTACAGCATATTTAAATATAAATGTTAACGGTCATTGATAGAATCCAACTCGGGTTATTCCCCAAGTTGCCCCATTCCATATTCATAAAGAAACTAGGGGTATTCCCCGAGTTGTATATCCGATATATAAATCAAGGATGGCAGTTCTAGTTTGAATTGTTATTCAGATTGTTGTATATTTTTATTGAATTAAAACTAGAACTAACACTAGACCTAGAACTAGAAACATTCGGGTTTAGCCGTGCGTCTTCAGACTTTTTCAAACTTTCTAGTTCTAGGTCTAGTGTTAGTTCTAGTTTTATACTAGCACTGTTACCAGAACTAACACTATACCTAGAACTAGAATCATTCGGGTTTAGCCGTCTTGAGAGACGTGCGGCTAAACCCGAATGTTTCTAGTTCTAGGTCTAGTGTTAGTTCTAGTTTTACACTAGCACTATCACTAGAACTAACACAAGACCTAGAACTAGAATCATTCGGGTTTAGCCGTCTTGAGAGACGTGCGGCTAAACCCGAATGTTTCTAGTTCTAGGTCTAGTGTTAGTTCTAGTTTTACACTAGCACTGTTACTAGAACTAACACTAAACCTAAAACTAGAAACATTCGGATTTAGCCATCTTAAGCGACACGTGGCTAACCCCGAATGATCTACTTCTATAACGGACACTCCCTTCCTCGTATTAATTCGTTATATCGAGGTTTTGCTGTACTTTCTCTATGTAAATCTTTTAAAATTTACAATTCAATGTTGGAATTGGTAATTTTATGATGAATATTCCATCCGACTACATAAAATAAGAATTACTACCAAAAATTTTTCTCGTATTCCCCAAAGGCAGTGAGCAATTTTAGCGGTAAAATGTGTGTTTACGCTCCGTGCGTTCAAGTGAAGTGCAGTTCGCTGTACCCATATTTCTAAAAGGAAAGAAGAGTTGAACCAATGGACTCAATTGTAGAAACATTTACGGGTATGTTCCCGAAGGAATTCGTTCCCGCGCGATCGCAATCATAGACGATTGACCGAGAAAGCCACGATTCTTGTATTCTTTCTTTCGCAATCTTCTTTCGTTATTTTGTATGAAACGTTTAATCCGGTATACTCGAAACTATTTCATCAATGTCGGTGATAAACGACTCGTGTCCGAGATGGGTAATCACCGGAAACAACGTCAGCTGATAGGGAGACACTAATGGGTTCAGTGAGAAAAGCACTTTCTGTAAGAAGGTCAGAGCTTAATTTTTGATATCACCAACTCTATTTGCATGGAACTTTAATTGAGTTCAGCACTCTGACGTGGAGATTTATAGTACTTTTTGGTCGTGTACATTCTTTAAACTACTCCCTTTATTCAACGTCGAGCCCTTAAAAACGGAGCGCCGAAATTAGGTTGGGGTGCGAAAAATAAGAGGGAAGACGCTGTATTTAAGGGAAGAGCCTCTTACGGCGTGCCTGCTTTAGTTAAATTACCCGGTGAAATGGATGTTCCCCCACAATCCTTTGTAAAGGTCGACGTATTCGTTTGACTTTGGATTTACGCCTTCTATACGTTTCCCTTAAAACCCTTTTCCCCTCAACTACTTCATTGTAGTCATAAATAAAGTCAACAAAGACACGGTTAAAATCACCGTTTAAAGCAATTGCGCACATACATCTACTCGGTTAGTTAAAAGAAGGATTTTAAAGACTTATGTGAATGTTATACTTTAAGCCGATTACGAATTGTTGAAGCTACTTTTAAATATACTATCTGAGTTACTTTATTACTGTTTCTTTCTGAGAATTTAAAAGCAATTTTAGCGTGAAAGTTAATCTCCTGTTGTTCCCGAATGTTCTTCTAAACTTGCATTTTAGCCGGTCCAGCTTTTTACTCAGGGTCGAACTTACAAGATAGTTTGTTCCTATTTCAAGACGACCAAAAGCCCATATCGATCTTCTATTTCGGTAACTAAAAAGAACAACAACCCCTTAACCGCCAACCAACCAAACTTCACAAACAGGAAAAAGTGCCCATCGGGACGACCGCAAATCCCGACAGCATCGATTCCATCTCTCTCCCCCAATCATATTACTCGCATAGAACAAACATCGAGTAACGTCAATATCAATTAGATGGTATTCTGCGAGAAAGTTTTGCGACACTCGAAGGATTTGGAGTATGCCGAAAATCGGCACCGCTCATTAGGTGTTCGCCAACGATACGACCTCTCTCGCGACGCCCCATCGCACTCTCGAGAGGATTAATTTCGATCTTATGATCAACGGACTGAAATTCATTCAGCACAGACCTGAAAATTAGGTCGAAATTCCTCTCTCGCGACTAGATCAAAGAAGGCCCCCGAAAAACAGCCGCTATTGATTCTGGCAACGGGCGGTGCCAACGTTCAATTGTTATAAATTAAATTACCCAACCACTAAAATGTAATTATGAGAAGTAAATATACACTGTCCTAAGTTGTTGGATAATAATGCAGCTTGTTGATTAAAGTATCTCATGTTTTTCAATCTTCAATCATCGTTTATATCCCTTGTACGCCCGGGAAACATCGTCCGATGTCGAGTAAATCCGGGTCGGACGTAGCTTGGTACGATGAGCATGCTATGCATATTCATGACTTGCTCAATTATACAAAATCCTAGAGAAACGCCGCCGAATTTTGCGTCAGTACAACGCTCGAGAGTCTTTAATCACAACGGAAAGTTGCACCTATAGATTGAAGAATAACATAGGGATAGAGAAATTGTGCGATGGAAACGTTATGTGTTCCCGTTACATATGTAATCGCGTACCGTACCCATAAACAGAACTACGGGGGGTTGGGGCATTCGTAATTACTCGCAGATAACTCGTAAGCTACTAATCACTGGTCCCAGCTGATGATAATGCTGGTTTATTGTTAACCGGGATAATAATCCAGTACAGGGATTATTTTTCAACTCCAGTTTTCTTTACTTTTTATTCTTTTCTGTTTGTACAAAACTACCTAGAAAATATTTCTTTTTCGTTTTGTTCCAGGTGGTCCCAAGGGTTACTGTTTCATCAGGGAGTTGTGGACTGTGCGAGGGCCGCCCTATTATTACCCTTAGGAATGTCTATATTGCACTGTCAACCAGTGCACAAGTGCTCGCTGGTTGAGACAGCATTTCTACTGTTAGTGACCGTCGCCACAGTTAACATGTTGACGACAGTCTTGAACGACTCCCCGATATTTCCAGACGACGAAAGCGACGATTCCGAATATGCGGAGGCGCCTCTCTTGATGGATTCGCCGCAGTGTGTTCTATTCGGCACCTTCATGATTTGGTTCGCCTCTATTACCATCAATTTAGGTCCGACGTTCCTATCGGGTACGTGTGGCAACGAAGAGCATGTGCACTTAGGGCTTGTCGAATGCTAATAAGGTCGAGAGTGCTTAAGGAATGCTAGATTGTTGTCGGGAATCTATCATTTCAACTAGGTAGACATAGTGCGAATTTACTGGGTAAGGTCGAGTAACACAGGTATTTTATTATATATCTGCGGATGAATGCCAAGGATCGTTTTGAAATTTACTGGCCCGGATGGTATAAATTTTCAACCGGATTCGATGCCAGGAACCTGCGGTGGACTTTATCGCAAAACCGATCTCCACACACAACTGAACTTCTACAAATGTATCAAAGTTAAAATCGCGAGCTTTCAAAGTGTTTCAGTTTTTTTAAACTTTCAAAATATTAAATTATAAATGCGAAAGCCACGAGATTCTAACAAACTTGTAAATAATCCAATTTGACGGCGATAACGAAGTTGTAAAGCGTTTCGTTTTAACGATGTGGGGTTTAAAATCAAACTTGAGGATTTCTGGAGGGCTTTTTTGGGGAAGGACACGAGCCGACTTCGCGTGTTAGCAAACAGCCAACGGCACAATTGCCCTGACGAGGTGAGTGGTCGTCGTGAGGCCGCTTTAAACCCTCCGCGGGCTTAATTGAAACGCCTCAAGTGCTTAAACGACCCGAGCTCTGAAAAAGTTGACGTTTTCCCGCACGAAAAAGCAAAACTCGAAACTCGGTCCAAAATTAAACTACAGAGTTAATAAGTTTGTTAACTGATACAATCAGCAATGGGAGCGAAAATCCTGAAACCCGCGACGCGCCCTTATTTTCATTTTGTTTTAATGGAAGCGTCCGAGGATTACGCGGTTGTCACAAATTGGATTTCTTGTTTTTGGCACGAGAATCCAGCGGAATTTTAGCTTGTCAGCCGTGAATTATTCCGCATGTTTTTTTCAGTCTTTTAAAAAGACCGTACGTAAAAATTTTCCCCGTTATAACACTTGCACCTTTTGTTCCTTCCGTTCTCATCTCTATTCTCGCGACGAAATTGTGAAACTTATTAGGGATTCTCTCACCTTTCTTTTTTTGTGTCTTAGGTGCTTTGGCCGCGCCGGGCGAACCGGGTCACAGAGCACCCTCTTGCCCTTTGATTCACGGCCCTCTGCGACACTACATCCTGAACGCGCTCTGGATCGCCGTAAATATAGTGTGTGTCCTCTTGACGCTATTCCACTTGCGAAAGCTCCACAGGGACTTGACGAAAGCGAACGTGGAGGCCGTACGGGTCGCAGGCCTGGTTACTACGCTCGTTAACGTGACGGGTGGTGGAAGAGTCCCCACTATACCCGGGGGACCCATCGGAAACGACACTAGTGCATCTCACCAGACCAACGTCAACGGTGAACGGGTAAGCAAAATGCAATAAAAAAATACTATTGATACGTTATTGATTGATTTCTCAAAAATAGTAACTAAAAATAGAACCAGGTTACAAGATTTTTATCAAAAAAACCTTTTACAAGCTAAATGTTATTAACCACGTTTTAATTAAATTTTAAAAAGAAAAGCGTTTTAGTGGCGCGTTGAGTTTCTCTCTTTTCTAGAAACTAAAACCCGCAATACAGGGTAAAACACTAAACGGTCCGACGTGGACCAAGTCGTTCAGTTGGTTAAACGTGTAAAGTGTAAACGTAAACGGCGTCGACGTCGGCGGGGCGTAAACCAGAGCTCCAAGACCCCTTCCACTTTACTTAATGAATGAAACATAATTTAGAGGCCTGCAGGAACTTAATACGGCGTGGCAGAACAGGAGGGTGGACGATTAAACCTGCATAATATTAAAATATTTCACGTAACTTCTGTCAGGTGAACAGGTATGATGACTACGTACTTAATTACATCGGGGAGAACCCTGCTTAACACTTCATCCTAAGTTATAAACCTCGCTAAACAAAAATACAGTAAAACATGGATTAATACAGGGAAGGGAGTGTTCGTTGTATGCAAAATTTTTAATTAATAATCTGCAAAATTTTATTCATAATCTGAAGATGCACCGCTAAACACGAAACGGTCTAGTTCTAGTGTTAGCTCTAGTTATAGTACAACGAAAAGTAACAACAATATAACGGTGAATAATAAATAAAACTAGAACTAACATTAGCACTACAACTAATACAAGACCCAGAACTTGAAACATTCGGGTTTAGCCAAGCGTCCCTTAAGACGGCGAAACCCGAATATTTCTAGTTATAAGTCTAATGTTAGTTCTACATTTAGTTCAAGAAAAATATACTAAAATCTAACGCTAAATAACAACTAGAACTAACACTAAACCCGAATGTTTCTAGTTCTAGATCTAGTGTTAGTTCTAGTTTTACAATAGCACTGTTACTAAAACTAATACTATACCTAGAACTAGAATCATTCGGGTTTAGCCGTCTTAAGAGACGCTTGGCTAAACCCGAATGTTCCTAGTTCTAGGTATAGTGTTAGTTTTACACAAGCACCGTTACTAGGACATTTTAAATCAAAACACATTAATCATTGAGTTAATATTTGATGTTTGGAAAAAAGTAATAAATCGGTTGTAACTTTTGAAAGGACTGGTAAATCACCAATATATCAAACCATCAACGTTTACGATTCGAGTGTAAGCTACGAACATTTAGAGCGCAAACCGGGGATAAATCGCGTAAATCATATGCTCATCCAAGGCCCGAATGAACGTATTTCATCCCATATTGATTCCGGTACAGGAGGCGGCCGCCTCCGATTCGCGTGTAAGAGAATTAATCGGGTTCGTACCCGAAATCGATTTAAATCACCACGTCCGTATCGTCTAAAAGGCAAGGAACGAAGGCGGTTTCCGAGCGGACGCGCGAAACGTGTAACACGGGTCCGCTTTGTTCGAATGTAAATTTAGTATCGAAACAGTTGACAGTTGAACGCAACGGTTCAATTGTGCCGTCCGCGCTCAGCTCAGATTTCAAGACTTATAAGTAGGAAAAGTTCCAAAACAAATTTCGCAGGATATTTCATTCCCCTATCGCATAAATTATGCGAAATTACAGCATAAATTTAAAGGGGAAAAGTAGGGAACAAAAACCATCCGTGAGATAGCTTTAAATTTATAAGGAAAAAGTACACCAAAGCAGAAATATTTTTATCAAACAACATATCATTCCAGATTTATACATTTCTCTTCTCTGTTCCTTACAGGTATCAGGTGCTTTAGAAGAACACAGAAAAATGCGCGAATATTTAGACAGAATGGAAAGAGACGGAGTCCAACGAGTGAAAATGTTCGTTATTATAACGGCTGCTTACGTATTATTTTGGGGACCACTGTTTTTCGTCACGTTAGTAAACCACCCGGTCCTTGGAAACCCATTAGGACACGAGGTAAGAAATCGGTCCAAAAACGATACCACAAAAAAGTTCCTATATTCATCATCGAACGCCCAAGGGTAAAATTTGTCAAATCTCCAAAACACCATTTATAACATCTGCCGATCAGAGACGAAATTTCGATTTACGAAGCCACCCTCGCGGTACCCTAAAACTCCACAGACACAATGGCGCTATAGAACTTATTAAATTCTCCTGGAAAACACCTGAACTCGGAAACGACGATCGAAGTTTGATTCTAAGTGTTTATGCTCTCACTAAGACCTCCCGAACATGAAATTATGAACCACCCGAAACGAATTGGCAACTCATATGATAAGTTTCATTTTAATTTAATATAAACGTTCAATACATATTTCAAAGAATCATCCAGAAAAACAAATAAAAGCGAACTCAAATGTTAAAAACGTACATCCAGGCCGTATTTCCATATTCATGAAAACCGGTCACGTTCCATACCCAACGCCGCCGCTCCCTGTATTTTTTATTCCACGCGCACAAGTTCAAGAGAGTCAAGCCGTTATAAAAAAACGAGCAATCCCTGGTGCCTAGTCGCAAACAAATGAATACGTGGCCGATGACATATTCGAGGGTGAAACCGACAACCCTTTTAAGAGCGTCATTTCGGATTTTGAGGGTAAACGCACGATCTTAACTCGTCCAGAAAATGATTTATGCCGATACTTTCTAGCGGGCTAATGCCGTAATCTGAGCCATAAATTTTAATGGGGGGGCCCATAGTCGCCTTCGTCTGGATGAGTCGAGCATTTGGGTCGCGGGGATGTTTGCGTACGTAATGGGCGTTTGAAAAGAACGACTATCACCAAGCCTTCGGCAACACTCGGTAAATTGAAGTAGACACGTTGCACAATATAAAATAAACTATCCTGGGGCATATTATTTTTTTTCTGCAAAACCTATCTTAGTAGACTTTGCTATAAAAAGTCATTCTCATTTAAATAGATAGTAGCGGTTTAGTATATCAGCCTTAGGGTTTTCGGCTTCTAGATGCTACGATCGATAAAAAAGCATTTACTTATACAAGAAAATATTTAAATAAATCTTAAAATGAATAAATAGTATTTAAGTACCATAAAAACAAAAAGCCATTTATTCTTTATCATCACAAAAAGAAAAAAACTCGTTAATTTTACGAGGGTCCGAAAAAATCCCGTTGTTGGTAAAACCCGTTAAGAGTAGGCCAATAGTGACAGTAATCGGATAAACGCGTCGTCCTAAGAACGATCCGCCCGGATCCTGTACCTGCAGGGAGAGGATCCTTTACGATGTGGAATAAAAGAAGCCCAGAAAGATAACGTACGACCACCCTTTTCGTTCCGTTGTTTCAGATAACGCTGCACATATCATACGTTCACGCCATCGTGAACCCTACACTCTTCCTGGTTCTACATAGGGGACTTCGAAGGGCAGCCCTGGACCTTTGCTGCGGATGGCTACCCCACTGGCTGGGCAATTCAAACGTCCCCCCGCCGCCTGATCCCCCCAGACAAGCCGACATATCGCTCCTCAAGACGCCCCTTCCGATTCCCGCCCACCCCGATAGCTCTATGGTAATTAAATATTATATGTAAGTGGTGTGAGCATGACACATTATTCTTTATTTTGTACATTTTAAAATCCACAACATTCAAACAATAAATTTATTTAAAAATCCAAAACTGCTAAAAATTAGCACATACTACAAAGAATATCATAGATCAAACCAATAATTTCTTTTCATTCCTTATTTTAGGGAGACACCGATTTGAGTCCATGGACAATAGAACCGATAAATGGTACATTGTTGCCAACGCCAACAGTCCATTATTCAAGCCCAGATTTGGGATCACCCAGTGATAATGGGTAGCCCGATTGGGACAAGTCCACTTTAATCTAAGAGGTGGATCAAACCGACACGAGACAACATGAGCCCGAAACGAGGAAGCACCAACAACACGTAGTCATTTAAGCATAATAACACCTTCTCCTAGTGTCCATTTGTCTCTATCTTAAAAGTAGTGCATGAAAATCATATGTTATAGTTCAAATTCGATCCTAAAATGAAGTAACGAATTGGCTTCTATAAATAAATCTTTTTAAAAAAAAAGGAAGAAATATTTTTTAAAAATATCGACCAATCAAGGGAATTATAAATTAAAAGTTGAGTAGATACAAAAAGTCACATTTGAATTACACGTATTGATATCATTAGCTAATCGCACAAATTTGTGTATAAATTAGCGAAAGAAAATCTGAGGTAGGAGTAATAGTGGGTTAAAAAGAAATAAACGTGAAAGATTGCTCAAAATGATAGTTAAAAAAACATGTTTAAAAAGACTAAGATAAATTTTTTAAATCACTGCCTAAACGAATAAGAAGGGTAACTTAAGAAGTGTCCACTAAAACTAATATAGTACTTAAAAAATCTTAAAATCTATGAATCGTAAATAAAATTGGAACGTTCCTAAAAATACAAGTATTGTAACGAGACACCCAGCGAAATGGAAATAGGAATTGACTATATGTACCTAAATAATAATAATTGTTCGTCTAAAATAATTTTAATTTCTTTTCTTTTTGTGATGCTAAAGAACTGATCTGATATAATAAAATATTAAGAATGTATTAAATGTATCTAATTTTGTATAGATAATTATGAACGTGTACAAAAAATGAATACTTATATGGAAATGTACTGAGAGATTATTTTGTAGAATAATAAAGAATTCAGCATAAATCAGATTATGTTTTTTTATATATTTTACCTAATTTATTAAAAGATAAAAAATCATACCTGTTCGAAGCCGCCGAGTAGATCCGAAGTATCCATAGCTGACGTAACAGGTAAAGTGAGTAATGTTTTTCCAGCCAATCCAGCTAAAGTTCGCACGAGACTTGATTTTCCACTTCCAGTACCTCCAACCTGAATAAAACTTTATTATAAAAAAATCGAACGTGTGTGAAGTTAACCAAAGATTTGGGAATGAAAAATTTTCTTAATCATTTTCTATAATGTAATGAATTAATCTGTACGGCTTTTGGGTTCGTTAGATTTATTAAAAATCAATAATCAACAATAATAGGCGGTTTGGGGCGACCTCAGGTATAGATGTAGCTCGAATATTAATAGCAATGGAGTGATCATAACCTCATCCAAGCTGCTCGAAGTATCTGTCACGCATCATGGAACACAGAATTACAAATTGGTGGGCAAAAATGATAACGGCAGTACAGACAATCGATCAACAGCAACTGCAACACTTCTCATGTACTCATTAGGAAAAAATTCAGGATACCAACCATGAAAAATATGCTTCATGATTGATATTTAAATTATAGGAAGGTGGGAAGGAAGAGGAAAACCACTGATTAGTAAAAGGAACCAGAACATCGGATTAAATTTTCGCGCAATGTTTAGACACCCTAACATCTCTACAGACTGGTCAGGTGGTAAGATATCTTTACTTGTGAGACGGTAAGCCATATGTATGGTTAAAGAAAAAGATGCATCTAAAAAAACTGAGACCTGTAAAGAACTGTAAAGCATAATGGTAGATCATGTGATGGTGTGGGGGTTGTATTTAGTTGCTCGACTGAGATGTTTGCACTTGATTGCAGGAATAATGGATAAACTATTTTTCAGACTCTATCAAGATAACAACCCAAAATAATGTATAATTATTCTTATATAATGAGAACCTCACTCCAAACCCTAGACATAAATCCCACCCAAATATTGTGGAACTATTTGCATGAAAGGTTAGGAAACATGACGTTTCCAGTAAAACCTGAGATTAAGGGCGCTTTGCTTTGCAGGAAGAAAGAGAAAAAAATCCGCCTAGTATTTGTAAGAAATTGGGGTAGTCAATACCTAACCAATCCAAAAATAGTGGTGTCCGAGTTTACCTTGGAGCCACAGTATTAAATAAGGGTTTAATTCTTAGCCCAGCATCACAAATATGACACAAATAAGAAAATTACCCAGTTTTTATAATAACCTCCTTCTCAACTTTTCAATTTCCTTTTAATTAATGTCATAATCCATTTGAAGACTCATTATTTCTGTTAACATGGAAATTTAGGTTATCAGGTATAAATAATTGACAGACAAATTATTCCTCAAGTTCCGCGCTTCCGATCTTCGGGGAATACCTCAGCAACTCTGACGTAATTAGTTAAACTAAAGTTTTCGTGTTCGCATTGCGACACTAGTTTGTAATAAAATATTCTTTTTGTCATGAAATAATTATTCCTAGTTTGGTACAGTAAAATTGCATTGTCATTACATTTTTTGGAGACATTTCACATAAAAAGATTAAGAAAATTTTCACTTTTATTTTTCATTCTTAAATCTATGGCTGAATGTATGGTGAAATAAAACTTACCAGAATAGCTAGCCAATTCATTTTAACACAATAACATAAATCCCTCAAATTTTTCATTTGACCTCTCAACACCAATAAATTCGAATCTTTTTCAGATAAATTAAAATTGAAAATTTCCCGGTTCATCCATGTATCACCAATAAGAATCTTATCAAAGGTAACATAAACAATTCCATGTTCTAAATTTGGATTTGTTTTAAAAAAAGATTGGAATAACTCTCTCATTAAATTTCTATCTTCTTCTTTTCGTAATCTATTCGCGTAAATCAAATTAATAAATTTCTCCGGTTCGAATTTTCCGGTTTCTTTAAAATCGTTGTTGATAATTTCGCACCATCTAGTTAAATCCCTTAAGTTATATTCCCAAGGGCCGCCTAAGTGTCCAAATAGATGTCTGTTTAATACTTTTGCTAATTCAATATTAAACCTAACCATGGTTTCTATTAATATTTCCTCGATTTGGGGAAATTGCGATTTTAGAATTATTTGATAATCATTTAAAGTGAGCGATTCAACGTAAACTTGTGTAAAACGATTCAAAAATGATTTTGGGAGACCTCTTCTAGATCCACCTTGTCTTATTGGATTTTGACATCCAAAAAATTTCGTTCCTTCTTTTACAACAAAAGTTTTTCCTAATTCGGGGATAAAAATCTCTCCTCTATGATCTAAACAAGCGTTTAAACCTTCTAGTACTGATTGGGAAGCCAAATTTAATTCGTCCAATAAAACCCAATGACCTTTCTTTAAAGCTTGAAGTAAGGGTCCATCTCTCCAAGAAAATTGGCCACTTTTTCCACCTTCCACGGGTAAATCAGCACCAAATAAATCAGAAATGTCAGTTTGATCTGATAAATTAACTCGATAAAGTTTATTTTGTGTTGCATTTGCTAAAGCTGTTACTAAACTAGTTTTTCCAACACCGGGACTACCTTCCAATAATATCGGTTTATTTAATTGCATCCCTCTAACAACTCTTAACGCGTTATAAAACGTTGTTGGTGCTTGAAAAGAAAAATATGTTTCCGGAGTTTCAGCGAATCCAATTTGAATCGAAAATGGGCCAATTTTAAATTGATCGTCATCGTTGATATTTACATTAGTTTTTAAGTCGGGTTTAATATTATATTTTTTTAATGTGTTTAATAAAAATTGTCGTGATTTTGATTTAATGTTTGCAATAATATCTTTGTTTTCAATGTTAAGAACTCCTGAACCTATACTGTCTAACATTGTTATGTAAGCCCCATTTAAATATAAATCTTTAATCGATATTTTATTTGAACAAGCGTTTATAAAGTTCACCCAGGTTAAAACGTCACGAATTGTTAATGAAAATCTAAAAAAAAATAATTAAGGTATTAAAAGAAATAAAAAAAATAATTTGGGTGTAGTAAAACCTCGATATAACAGAATATAATATAAATAATTTTAATGCTCATCAATTCGGATATTTATCGGACGGTAGAATCTAAGAGGTGCATCGCTCGAAGGCCCGTTCGTGACGTCACATATACTACTATTTCACACTTTGAATTAGCAAATGCTTAGTTTATTCAATTCGTGTTGTTAGTTTGAGAGGGGTTTAGCCGTCTTGAGAGACGTTGGACTAAACCTGAATATTTCTAGTTCTAGGTCTAGTGTTAGTTCTAGTTTTACACTAGCACTGTTAGTAGGATAGATAATATTAATAGTGACTTAAAAATATTTTGTACGTTATATCCGAAGTTCGTTATAACGAGATCTGCTATATCAAGGTTTTACTATATTAATAAAAATACGAACTGTTTTCCTATATCTTCTTTTTGAAACCAATCAATAAAATCCATGATTAGCTCTCCAAAACCAATATTATAAGTTTCTAAAACGTTGGTTTTCACATTATGATTGATTATGTTAATAAAATCTTGCCGATTTGAGCAGGGTTCGCTCCAAATTTCGGTGAATCGATTTCGTAAAGCCGGGGAAAGTTCCTTCTTTCCATAATCACCGCCCGGATTCATCGTTCCGATGAAATGGAAATCGCGATGGGCAATTATCAATTCGGAATTGGCTTGATTGTTGATATCGATTCCCTTTTCGGCTAATAGTAGCGATCTTTCTGGTTCTAGAAGCGAATTTAATCGTTCTAAAACGCTATCATCGGCTAAAGATATTTCGTCCGTTAAAAATAAACACCCTTCTTTCATTGCTTCGATTAAGGGTCCGTCGATCCACTCGAATAATTTATTAACATCGTCGGTGTGGTCTCTTACTGGTCTTAATCCGCCGATAAAATCACTACTTTCCGTGTGCATATGGCAATTTATTGTCATTAATTTTTGGTTGTTAATTCTTGCGATTACATCGCAAATGGTCGTTTTACCACATCCGGTTTCTCCGACTATTAAAACGGGTTCATAAAATTGTAAAGCTTTTGAAACTAAAACTGCCATTTGACGCATATTATACGTCCAAACTATGTTATTGTATTTTTCGTTATTTTCGTAAAGCTTTTTTAAAATTTCTTTCGTCACAGTTGAAGTTTTATCTGATAATGTGAATAAATTATTTGGGATAACATCTCGTTTTAAATACTTTTTTAACACCGCAATAATTTCTAATTTCTCCTCTAATTTTCTCACTTTTCCAGCTAGTACTAAATAACCTTCATCAGCTAAATGTTGATCCCAATCGTATAATTTATCCGATTTTTCGGCCAATCTATACCGCTCACCCCACCTAAATAAATCTCTTAACGTTATAAAACCATATTTTCCAGCGAAAGCAGCCGAACCCCTTCTTCTTGTTTGTAAATCTTTCATAACATTTATTATCTTTTTAGCGTAAGATGGAGCTAAAGAACAACGTTGTTGTAAAATCGTTTCTAATTCGACGGCGGGAATCTCATTAAAATGTAATTCGACGAATCTATTTCTGAAAGCTCGTGATAACATTTTCCTTCCGCCGTAAGTACCTGGTGGATTTTGTGTTGCAAATAGCATAAATTTATGGTGAGCTTTTACAACTTGTTGGGTTTCGGGTATAAATAGTTCACGGTTGTCGTCTAAAACCCGATTTAAAGCTTCCAGGACATCTGAAGGGGCTAAATTTAACTCGTCTAGTATTATCCAGTGACCGTTTCGCATCGCCTCTACCAAAACACCCTCTCTGAACACCAATTTACCGGAAACATCCGCAACATACGAACCGATATACTCTTGCAAGTCGGTGTGTTCGTGGTTGTTGATTCTAACGCATTTATTTCCGCTTGATTTCGCTAAATACCCGATTAAACTAGTTTTACCAACCGATGTATCACCTTGTAATAAAATGGGGAGTTGCCCGATTGAAACAATTCGAGTTAAATCTTTTAAATTTTTTCTAACTGATGGTGTTAAAATGTAATTTTCGGGGACTTCCACTTCTAAATCGCCTTGACTTATCCAATATCCCTCAAATTGTAAAAAATTGTAAGTTTCTCTTTGTGAAATCGGTTTTGGAATTGGTTGTTTTATAACGCTTTTTAATTGATTTTCTGAGCCCACGATGTACTTGGAGATCATTCTTTCGACGATTTTGTAAGAAGATAAATCGAGTTGGGTCAAAAAACTTAAACAAAAAGCTTCGTAGAGACTTCTTAAAACGGTCCCACACGGATTTTTAGAGCCTATCATTAAAGCTCTGCAAAGGGAACGTAAAGAAAAATGTGGTTTATGTCCTAATCCATCGCATAAAATCATTTGAGCTTCTTTACGAACTTTCGAATAAAATTTAACGATATTTTCGGTTTTAGTACTTGTTGATAAAGTTTCTAAGTAACTATTTACTAGCATAAGAAGATCTTTTTCGTCAGTTAATTCATCGACGAATAGTTCGGTAAATCGATTTCTTAATCCGGCGGGTAAATTTTTTTTCCCCACATCAGTTGACGGATTCATACATGCGAATAAAGTGAAATTATCATGTCGTTTAATTGGTTTTTTATCGCCCCTCTCTAATAAACTAATCGAGCTATGTTTTCCTTCTAAAAGACCCGACAAACAATCCAACGTTTCAACGGAAGCTAAATTAATTTCGTCTAATAACACCCAATAACCATTTTCTATAGCTTTCACTAAACTACCTTCAACGAAAGTAAACGCTAAAGCGTTTTTATGTTTAAGTTGTTGTTCTAATTTTTCAATTTTTTTCATAAAATTGTCCCATTTTATTTTAATATCATCGTTTAAATTCGATTTCTTATTCTTTTTTGTGTGTTTTCTTTTAGCCCCCGTATTTATTTGTTCGCCGTTTTCAAACTTTTTTAGCGCTGATTTACAACAAGTTTTCATTAAAACAACTAAATCGTTATAGCGTTCTTTGCTAAAACAGTGATTAATATGACCCAAAAACTTTTCATTTTCATTCGCGTTGTAAAAGGAATGAAATAAATTTTCAAATTCACTCTTTACCGGTCCAATTATAAATTTAATTTCCGTCGGTTTAAACCCACCGAATAAATCTGACGAATCCGATTGTTGATTCATGTTAATTACAATTAATTTTTGACCTAACATTCGTGCTAAATATTGAACGGTTGATGTTTTACCAGTTCCGGTTTCTCCTACTAATAAAACTGGTTCGTTTGCTGATATACAACACATTATTCGTTCTAATAAGCACGATGCCATTCTTGTGAAACAAAAATTAACTTTTCGTTCGGTTAAGTTATTGATGACTTTAAGCTTTGCTCGCCCGCAATTAATCGATTTTGTTGAAACGTTTAAATTCGGTTTGTATTGATTAAAAAAATAATTAACTTTCTCTGTTATAATTCCTAATTCAGAACAAATCGATTGAGCCAATTTATTTCTATCGTCAATGTTAGAATATGAGTAACAAAACACGTCTAAAGCATCTTGAAGTAGTTTTAAACCGCTGGTTGGGCTCGTTACATCAAAATTAACAACAGCTCTCGAACACCATTTAAATAAATCTCTCGTTGTTATACAGCGACAATTTCTATCGGTTGAATTCAAATTAACGTTATCGTTTAAATATTTAAAAATATTAATAATTCTAGTTGAAATTGTTTTTAAGGTTGGATGCAAAGTTTTTATGATGTATTCTAATTCCTCTAAACTTAAAGGTTGGATATTTATGTTTAATAAATGTTTTTCTAATAAAACTGTTGATGGTGTTGTTATTCGTTGGTAACCGGAAACGCTTGGTAGTAATCGTTGAGTGACAAATAATTGAAATCCTTGTTTAATTGGTACATAATCTCTGTACCCGGGTACTGTTAAGTAACCATTCTCTAACAAACCGCTTAACAATGATGCTATATCGATACTAGCGGAATCAATGTCTTCTAATAATAACCAACTACCGTCCATAACGGCCTAAATAAATAAAAAAATAATAAAAAATCGTTTGTTACATCAAAATCTGGAAAGTTGTTAATTGTAGACGAGGAACAATGAGTTTTTTCTTAAATTCTGAGTCTAACAAGTCAACTTTGCAGATGTGGATAGTATTAAATTTTTCCTGAAACTATTAAAATTGTTGTTTAACCTTCCAGTACACGCGTTTATACATCAGATGAGGCGGATTGCATTATTTACTGTTTTTGTATTAAATCACTAGAAAAAACACTAAACCTAGAATTAGAAACATTCGGGTTTAGCAGAACATCTCTGAAGACGTCTAAATCTGAATGTTTCTAGTTCTAGGCCTAGTATTGTTTCTAGTGATTACATGAGGACAATTATATAAGAGCCAAGAACGTACTTTGTACGCCTTGCGTTTTGGATCATTGTCTTGGTAGAATCGTTAGTCGCTTCCAAGAGATAGTTTAGCCACGTTATGAGGTAAACTGGTTTTTAAAACATTGAGATACGCATTTTGAACGGTTTTCTTCTCGCCTTTCTACCGTGTAAATTAGCATTATGGAGCATGTTTCTGATGGCTGATCCACTAGCTTTTTTCCCTAGTTCATTCTCAGTAATAATGGCCAGCTTTGGTGCGCTAAGAAATGGATCCGCTTTCATTTTTCTTATTAAATATCGTTCAATCGGTTCAATAAAAATTTTATTATGAGCGCCCTTTCGCTTGTTTGCCACCCGATTGTGGATAATGAAACGCTTTATTATATTGTGCACCGTAGAATGGCTTCTGTCTATAATTTTTGCAATTTCTTGTACTGATTTTCCTTCCTGGAAATGTTTGAACTAATTTTCTAATTTCAATAGTTGTTTGGCCTTTTTGTCTAGACATTTCGAATAAAAAGCTAGATTTCCACGGGAATAATACAAAAAAATTAATAGGGAATTCCCCCTTATCTATTGTAAAAGCATCTACACGAAATTGTTTCCAATTTTTTGGCTTGTGCCATAGTTTTTGTACTCTTTTAGTTTATTTTTATATATTTTTTTATTACAGTGAATAAATTTTTGTATTTTGTGTTTATTTTTTGAATATGCAATTAATAGATTACTAAAAATCAATTTACTCTTTTTCCTAGGTGTTTTAGTTTGAATATTTTTTAGTAAGAAGCCACTATATATTTCTAGTTATAGGTCTAGTGATACTTTTAGTGACAGTGCTAATGTGTATTTCTAGTTTTACGTTTACTTTTAACACTGATAGTTTGCGCGCGTGTATTGAAAGGTTAAAGAACCACTAAAATTAATAATAATTTCATTAAAAAAGAATTGTTCAAAAAACCACAACGCATCGTCATCGATTGTCATGGTGTCAAATTTGAATTTGATGATTACATAATAGTTTCAGGAAAAATAGTTTTACATAATATAACATTACTTGTGTTAACACGCCAGGTTGCCAAATAAATTCCCCAGGAATATCTGTACATCTATAAGTTCCCAATAACATTTTGCTATCTGATTGATCTCCAAGTTGTATTTTAATAAAACTTTCGCCTAAAATTCTTCCAGTTTTCGACGCTAAATATTCAATTAATGCCGTTTTTCCCGATCCAACGGGTCCAATTAAGTTAATGCGTTTATTGGAAACAATTCCCAAAGCAATTTTTTTTAAATTGTTGTTAGTTGAATCAACTTCAACGATTTTTTGTACACTTTCAATTGGTTCTCCAATAACTGGTAAATATATACCGTTTATATTAGTTAATGATGTTACTTTAGGTGTTATAAAATCATCAAAATTATTAAAAGTTATTGAAGTTATATCTTTCTCTAATGAGTTATTAGTTAGATATTTAATTGAACATTGATTAGCTTGAGTTTCTGTTAATTTAGTCAAAATAAACTTTCTTAATGTGATTTCTGTCATATTTGTTATAATTGCTAAACAATTACAAAAAATCCTAAAACAAATAAAACTTCTAAATATTAATAATTAAATAATAAAAATAATCTCACCATTTTACTGTTTCATCAACATTATTTTCATATTTTTCTATAAACTCAGACCAACACCATTTTCTCTTAAAATAATCAGGCATCTTTTTCAAAAAACTATAAACCATGCAAATTATTTCTTTATCATTAAGAACAATCAATTCTTTATTAGTTCTTTGTTTTTTTGGTTGTTGTGTATTGTGTAAAGAAATAAAAGGTGATGGATTTTTTTCGAAATATTTTATAACAAAACTAAAACAATCATAATTAATTAAATAATTCTTATTTTTGATGTGAAACAAACCTCTCAACATCAGGGTGTACATCAAGTAATTTTGAAAGAATTAAACAATTTCTAATATGATTTTCATTGTTTAATTGAACCTCCTCAATGTTTATAGCTTTTGTAAGCAAATCTGGAAGATCTTGTGGAAAATTTTTCGCCACAAAAATTGTTGCATCAGGGTGTAATAAATACTTTACAAGTATTTGTTTAATATGATTTATTTCATGCTTGGACAAATTCTAAAATATCAAAAAAGATGTATGTTGGGTTTCATCCGTATATACAACCCAATATACACCAATAAATTGTACAAAAAGTTATTATAAACAAATTAATATCTTTTATCATAATTATTCGGTAATAATAACAATTTTGTACAATTTATATTAAGTTTTAGTTCCATTTTTAACACAAAACCTACCTTCAAATCAAATTTGTTCAAAACTTCACCAAATTTCCTATTTAACGTGGCAAATTTACCACAATTCTCGGCAAAGGAGTCCATTACTTTATTATCCATAATTTACAAGTTGTCATCACATATTAACACAAATAAACTTAATAACCACATGTCCAGCGCCGTATTGAATATTGATAAAAGATAGGTTAGGTTTGTTTTTAATCATGTCAACCAACTCAACAAAAAATAACAAATTATAATTTTTACAAAACGAAACATATTTTATCCATAATTTTTACGTATATCATATAATAAACATTTTTATACAAAACTACATATTTTTAATAATTAAATTTAAAGTACTCTCTCGTTTATCGCATATAAAAGTAAATAAAATTTAGGGACTTTTACTTTCAAATATTTATTACTAAAACATAACCTCACTTTTAAACTTTTAATTGGCAAGTTAAGATTGATCCACGTGCGGTATTTTCAATGTATAATTTTCGAATTCCTTTAAATGAGTAACGAAAAAGTGCAAGTACATAGGCCTGGCGCCTTTAAGCAAATCAATAAACCTCATAAGCATGGGGCTCATCGATCAAAAGGGGCAATTGATCTCGCAAATAAAGGTAAAACTGACTGTTTTAAAAATTTTACATTAATACAATTTATTTAATAAGGACGAACATCTGTTAAAAATCTTACGAAGAAAAAGAAAAATGAATTAAATAGGGAACAAAGAAGACTACAAGCAACGCAAATTCGTAAAAATAAACGAGAGGAAGTTTTGATTAATAAACGATTGGGAAATCTTGATGGAAATTCATGTCCACATTTAGTCTGCATACTTTCGTTAAATAGAGATTATGATCCTATTCCTGTTTTAAGTAAATTAAAAGAAAGTGATCCTGAAAATATTATATTAGAAACTAAATTAAAAACAACCCATCTCACGTAACAAAATCACTTTTTAATTTCTTCTTTTTATAATAATTTTATTTTTTTAGGATTCCACGTTTCAAACAAAAATTTACTTTTATTTTACCAAACCCAGATAACGAATTTGGCGTTTTGGATGCCCTTAAAGTATCTAATACGGTGGTTTTTGTAGTTTCTGCAGCTGCTGGTATTGAATTTAGTTCGGAGTTAATTGATAAATATGGCTCGAGATTGTTATTATCAAGTTTTGGACAGGTTCATTTTTAATAATATTGATTAATTAATAAACTTTATGCTTTATTTGTTTAGGGTCTTCCAACACCGGTAATTATTGTCACAGATTTAGAAACAATTCCACAAAAAAAACGAAATGATCGAAAAATAACGATTCAAAACGAAATTAATAAATGGTTTCCAAATGAAAAAGTTGTAACATTAGATAAAAATAGTGATGCCTTGAATGTTTTAAGAAAAATTGGGAGTCAAAAGCAAAAAGGTGTTACTTATCGAGATAGAAGACCTCACTTATTAGTTGAAAATTATAATTTTATTGATGAACAAGATGGCAAAGGGACTTTAAAAGTATCTGGGTTTTTGCGAGGGACTCCTCTTTCTGCGAATGATCTAGTTTACATTCCAGGATTAGGTCATTATCAAATAACGCAAATTGATGCCCCTCCAAATCCTTTTGATACTAAATCATCATCAATAAACACATTAATCTTACAAAAAGCGGATTCACAACAATTACAAATCCAAGAAATTAACCAAGACCGACCAGAAACTGAATCAGAACAAATGATGGAAACAATCCATGAAATTGATGAGATATTATATGAAGAAAAACAACTTATTCAGAAAAGAATGATTAAAAAAGTCCCAAAAGGTTGGTCAAATTATCAAGCCGCTTGGATTCCAGATGAAGAAGCTGAATTAAAATCAGATGATGATGATTTAAGTGAAGATGATCAAAACGATTCTAACTACATGGATGCAATGTCCGAAGAAATTTCTGAATATTCCGACGCTGAAGAAGATAATTTTGATACCATGACTGTTTCTGAGGTACCTCTAAACGATAAAGAATACGACGAACAGTTTGATCTAAAAGCTGAAAAGGCTGATTATGAAAAATTAAAAGCTGCCAAATCCGATTTAATGTTTCCTGATGAAGTTGACACCCCAATGGATATTGCAGCAAGAAAACGTTTTGAACGATATAGAGGTTTAGAAAGTTTTAGAACCTCACCTTGGGATCCACATGAAAATCTTCCTGAGGATTATAGCAAAATTTTTAAATTTAAAAATTTTGATCAAGCGAAGAAAACGATTTTAAGTAATGTTAAAGATAGGGAAATTAAAGATGTAAGTTAAAATTTAAAAGAATTTTGTGATATAGTAAAACCTTGATATAATGGATTAATATGGAGAAGGGAGTGTTTGTCATAACAAAAAGTCTGTTATATGAAAAGTTTTTAATTTGTTTTTTAAACTGTTTGAATGAATAATTTTAATCCACACAAATTTAAGAACAAGCACTAAAGCTAGAACTAGAAACATTCGGCTGTATGTCTCTCAAGACTGCTAAACCTGAATGATTCTAGGTATAGTGTTAGTTCCAGTAACTGTGCCAGAGTAAAACTATAACTAATACTAGAACTAGAAATAGTCGGATTTAGCTGTGCGTCTTAGTGTTAGTTCTAGTTTTGGTTCAATACAAATTTGCAACAACCTGGGGCTGATTTACAACTAGAACTAACACTAGCACTGCCACTAGAACAAACATTAGACCTAGAACTAGAAACATTCTGGATTAGCTTTGGGTCTCTTAAGACTGCTAAACACGAATGTTCCTAGATCTAGTGTTAGTTCCACTTTTAATCCAATAAAAGTATATAATAATTTAGCACTGAATCATAACTAAAACTATGCATATTGTATAGACCAGTGTTCCGCAAAGTGTGTGCCGCGGCAGACTGGTGTACCGCGGAAAAATGTCAAGTTTTGTCAGAAAGTTATGATATTAATACACCTATACATAACTGAGAGTTATACGAGCAAGAAGCTTCGTTGCGATAGGAGTGGGACTGCCTTACTGCCGCTAAGGCAATCGAAAATGATACCTGCATCAGCAGATACGATTTCACGTCGCATTAATGATATTTCTTGCGACATTGAATCAACCTTAATTGAAAAATTAGGACTTAGTGGAGTTTTTGCGCTACAAGTCGCGAATCTACTGATATTAGTGGTCACGCGCATCTCATTTCAAATGTGTGGTACACTTTTTGTCTGCCACTACCCGGTTCTGGTAGGAAGAGGTAACAGACCAGTAGTTCAGTGAGCATAATTTGGAATGCCACAATTGTATAAGCATTTGCATAGACGGGGCAGCAGCTATGACAGGAAAAATTAAGGGATTTGTAAACAGGGCTTCTGAAAAAATCCTAATATTAAAAATTTACATTGCTTTTTACACAGGGAAGCACTGATGACGAAATCTCTGCCTAATGAATTGTTATCTGTCTTACAAGAAGTTGTCAAAATTGTCAATTAGATAAAGTCGCCACCTCTGAACTCTCGTCTGTTGAAAGCAATGTGTCAGGAAATGGGAGCAGATTATCAGTCACTTCTGTTTCATACAGAAGTACGATGGCTATGTCGCGGAAAAGTGACACACTTTGATAGTGAAACACTTGAAGTTAGCAGAAAAACATGAACTGTTATTTTCCTAAGTATGACCTGCAACCTATGTAGTGGGTACGAAATCGATTCTCAGATAGCATTACCCAGGAAAAACTCATGGAGCTAAAGACAAATCAAACATTAAAACTAAAATTTTCCGAAATGGAACTAGCATATTTTTGGCTACATATAAAATATTAGTATCCGCTGCTTTCAAAGCGTGCTATTGCAATTCTCTTACCGTTCGCCACGACCTACAGTGTGTTAATTAATTATCGTACCTGACGTCATCTTTGCAAGTATGCAACCATACTTACGATTTGCGTATTGCAATACCAATACTGTGATATTGGTTGCACACTGTAATTAACACACTGTACTTATACTCTCACTACGATTAAATAAAAAAAAGAGAACGCTTGAGAACGATCGACGAGATGAGAGCAGCCTTATCAAAGCTTGCTCCAAATTTTGATCGCTTATGCTCAGTTAAGCAGACTCACATATCTCATTAAACATATTTTGATATTATATTAATTTTTATAATAAATATAAATATACTCAAGGGTGTACCTTGAACATAAAAAGTGTGCGGAACACTGGTATAAACAAATCGTGGAATACCCCGAGTTTATCTATGGACGAGGTCCGTGATATCGAGGTTTTACTATAACTCCAAAAAAATATGTTGTTATCAATTTGTAATCTTCTTTTAGATTCAAAAATTTGTAACAATTCACGTAAAAAATGTCCCATGGGATTTATGGCAATCCTTAGAAGATCTTGAATCCCCCATAATTCTTTTTGGCTTACTCCCCCATGAAACAAATATGTCCGTTGTAAACGTTGTTTTAAAAAGAACCGGATTATATGATGAACCGATAAAATCAAAGGAACGATTAATTTTTCAATGTGGTTATAGAAGATTTATGGTGCAACCCATTTTTAGTCAACACACAAATGGAAATAAACACAAAGTAATTATTTATTTATTTAATTTTATTGATATTAAAAGTTTTTTTTGCAGTTTGAAAGATTTTTTCATCCTAACTCAACAGCGGTTGCAACATTTTTTGCCCCTATCCAATTTCCACCATCACCAGTTCTTTGTTACAAAGAAACCGATGGAAATTTAACGTTAATAGCCACCGGAAGTGTTTTATCTTGCAATCCGGATCGAATTATTTTAAAACGAATTGTTTTATCTGGTTACCCATTTAAAATTCATAAACGTTCCGCGGTTGTTAGATTTATGTTTTTTAATCGAGAAGATATAAATTATTTTAAACCTTGCAAACTGCATACGAAATACGGACGGGAAGGGCATATTAAGGAACCTTTGGGAACGCACGGACATATGAAATGCGTTTTTAAACACCAATTGAAATCTCAAGATACCGTTTTGATGACGTTGTATAAGAGAGTTTTTCCAAAATGGAAATATCAGGATTGTAGTCAACGTTGGATGAAAGAAAAGGATGAAAATAACGTTGAAATGACGGAAATAATGTAATTTTTGTTGTAAAAATAAAATTATATGGAAATTATATTTGATTTAATTTAATTATAAAGAATAAATTTGTATGGTTTGTTTGATTTAAATTTGTAATTTTCCTGTTTAAATAACCTAAAACTAATTTCGTTTGGAAAGTTGAATGTTTTTTTTAAAACAGATTAATAAAAATTTTACGTTTAATAATACAATAAAAAGATTAAAAGCTAATGTTTTGAATTGAAGGTCAATCGTTTTTTATATCTAATAAAATTTTTAAAATACAGGTGTTTCAGAATTATGTCGCTTATTTAGTTCTATTATTTTAGAGGCATTTTTTTTTCTGTTATGTTATATATTATATTTTTCACTAATATTTTAGAAATTTTAGTCTTAGATCATCACATTTGTACAGATTCATTTACATGATTTGAAAGAAACAACTCTAAACGGCAAGAATTAGTATGGAATTACACTGGCCAAACTCTAGATTTAAAGAAAACGTTTCGAATTACATTGGCAAAGCTTTAAAGTGCAAAAAAATGTCTGAATTGCAAGAAACCAGCTGGAATTATACTGCTAAAGCTCAGAAACCTGTCTGGCATCACACTGATAAAAGTCCAAATTACAAGAATAAGCGTGGTATGATACTGATCAAGTTCTAAATTGCAAGAAAATATCTGGAAACATACTGGCAAAACTCTAAACTACAAGAATTAGTACGGAATTACAGTGGCCAAACTCTAGATTTGAAGAAAAAGTCTGGAATTACACTGGTAAAGGTTTAAACTGCAGAAAAATGACTGAAGATACACTGGCGTAACTCTAAATTGCAAGAAACTTTCTGGAATTATACTACAAAAAATTTAAAGTTCAAAAACCTGCCTGGCATCACAGTTAGAAAAGTCTCAATAGGAAGAACAAGTTTGGAATTACACTGCCCCAACTCTAGATTTGATGAAAAAGTCTAGAATGACACTAGTAAAGGTTTTAATTATAAGAAAATGTCTGGCCTATTATTATTGCTGCTGGGCTGAGGGGAGCGGCCCCTCTTGTCACTTTATGTCAATAAGTGTCAGGCGTACTTCAACGAAAATTTTCCAGTCTCCATCCTTCTGTCCAGTTTTCTTCCTATTTTTTCAATGTCTAGAAAAATGACTAGTAATTTCTTCTAGTTTGCTTCATTTCTAATTCTTCCAGTCTGTTTCTTCCATTTCTGGTCTCCTTTCAGTGTCCATCTTATCTGCCAAATCTCCTTTCTATATTTCCAATGTCTATTTTATTTTCTCTTTCCAGACTTTGTTCAGTTTACTTCTTCCAATTTCTTCTAGTTCTTTTCATTTCTTCCCAGTCTTTCTACACAGTCTTATTCTTCTTTTTCCAATTTCTATCCAGTCTCTTTCTCCTTTTTTTGGTCTTTTTCCAACCTCCTTGCTCTCTGCCCAATCCCTTTCCGATTTACTTTTGAAATTTATTTAAAATGTTAATGTTTAAACAACATTTTTTTGAGACCCCCTATATATCAAGCTAATTTAAACTATCATAAAACCTACGTTAAATTTAAAATGTATCTGACTTTTTTTGAGATTATATTATTTAGATTCGAAGAGGAATATCGTGAAGATTACTATTATCAGATACCTGATAACAAATATTTTCTTAACCTTTTTCTGTTTTGCAAAGTGCAAATTAAACATAGTTTCGTTGTGCAATTTGCTCAGATAAAATGCCGTGCTTTAAAAGTCCAAGTTATAATTTAAATGAAACCGGGGAAAATAATCGAAATGATGGTAAAAAATTTTAATTCAATTTTATAATTATATCGAGGTTTATATTGTTATAAATTTAAATTATAGAAACAAATGGGAGACGTGAAGGGATTTATACTGGAACAAAAATGGTTAATTTAAGTGATTTTGATAATATTCAAAAACATGAAAAAACTGAAGAGTAAGTTTTTTTGCCATAACTAATTTTAGTTAATAATTTAATAAATTTTTTTAGGGAAATTAAAAACATAAAAAATGCTTTTTCTAATAATAACCTCCTAAAAACGGTTTTATTTGCTCACCACCCGCAAGTTTTAGACACAATAATCGATTCAATGCATTCAAAAGAATTAAACGACCAAGAAAATTTATTTTTTGAGCGCGCCGAAGGCAACGAAATGTTTATTTCTTCAAAAGGAATCTACAACGTGATTCAAAATGGAAAAAAGATTGGCATATTTAGCGATCAGAGAGTAATCGGAGAATTAGCAATGTTTTATAAATCAAAGCGACCATTTACTATAAGAAGCGTTGGGAAATCTTCCGTTTGGGTTATCGATCGATTTACGTTCCAAACAATTTTAGTCCATCATTCTTCCGGCCAAGAAAACGAGATGTTAACATATTTACAAAAAGTGCCCGAATTTAACAACCTTTCAATTGAGAACTTAATAAAATTGATGACACTTTTTGAGAAAGAAAGTATTCTCCCCGATACGGTTATCGTAGACGAAGAAAATGAAATAAACAAGTTTTACATGTTAAATCATGGTTGGGCAGTTTCAACGAAAAATAAACTTGGAAAAATTCGTGATTATCACCGCGGCGATTTTTTCGGCGAAAAAAGTTTAATACAAAAAGAAATTATTTCGAATACCATAACAGCTAAAGATAACGGAGCTGAATTTTACACTCTAACAAAAGCAATTTTCCAAAAATATTTTGCAAATAATTCCGGTGGGAATAAAAATTCATCTTCTTTAACATTAGAAAATTTACCCATCGAAGAAAACGTTCGAAATTTAACGCTGAATGATTTCGAGAAAGTTGAAACAATTGGAAAAGGTGGATTTGGAAAAGTCGATATCGTTTTTAACAAAAACAATAAAAAAGAATTTTTTGCTTTAAAATATATTAATAAAGCCGACGTCGTTGAATTTCAACAATTCGAAAATGTTTTTAACGAAAAAAACATACAACTTAGTCTTAAAAATAATTTTATTGTGCGAATGTTAAAAACATTTAAAGACAAAAAATATCTTTACTTTTTATTGGAACCTTGTATGGGAGGTGATTTGTATACGCTACTTCAAAAACAAAAAAATAAACAATTTCCGGAAAGTTCAGTAAAATTTTACACAGCATGCGTTATCGAAGCTTTCGATTATTTACATAAAAGAAATTGCATTTATAGAGATTTAAAACCTGAAAATTTACTCATCGATACAAAAGGTTACGTAAAATTAACCGACTTTGGTTTTAGCAAGAAATTAACCATGTCTAAAACATTCACTTTCGCCGGAACGCCGGAATATTTAGCGCCGGAAATCATTTTAAACACAGGCCACGACAAATCAATTGATTTCTGGGCACTCGGAGTTTTAATTTTCGAATTATTATCCGGAAAAACTCCGTTTGAAACAAACGATTCGACCCATTTAAAAACTTACGAGGCGATTTTAAAAGGTATTAAATCGATTGATTTCCCAAAACACTTTTCCATTGAAAGCGTCGATGTTATCAAAAATTTATGCGCCCAGAAACCCATCGAAAGATTATCTTCACCAGATGAAATTAAAACGCAACGATTTTTCGCCGGATTTAGTTGGATTAATTTACATAGTGAGAAGATGAGAGCGCCATTTGTACCACAATTAACTCATAGCTTAGATGTAAGAAACTTTGATGTTTGTAAAGATAGTTATGTTCCTCCGGATGAAAATGGTGATTGGGCCGAAAACTTTTAATATTTAAAAGTTTGTTATTATAGTAAAAACTCGATATAATGAACAAAATATTTTTAAGTTATGATATTGTTATTAAAAGGAAAACTAACACTAAAAATAGAACTAGAAACAATCGGGTTTAGCCAAATGTCTCTCAAGACTTCTAAACCCGAATGATTCTAGTTCTAGATAGAGTTTTAGTAGGAGTAACAGTGCTAGCGCGGAATTAGAACTAACACTATACCTAGAACTAGAAACATTCGGGTTTAGCCGCACGTCTCTCAAGACGGCTAAACCCGAATGATTCTAGTTCTAGATCTAGTGTTAGTTTTAGTAACAGTAGTAGTGTAAAACTAGAACTAAAACTAGACCTAGAACTAGAAAGTTTCGGGTTTAGCCGAGCCAAATATTTCTAGTTCTAGGTCTAGTGTTAGTTCTAGTTTTTGTTCAATACAAATTTGCAACAACCTGGCACAGATTAACAACTAGATCTAACACTAGTATTGTCACTAGAACAAACAGTAGACCTAGCTAGAAACGTTGAGGTTTAGCCGAACGTCTCTCAAGACGGCTAAACCCGAATGATTCTAGTTCTAGGTATAGTGTTAGTTCTAGTAACAGTGCTAGTGTAGAACTAGAACTAATACTAGAACTAACACTATACCTAGAACGTCTTCTAGCTTTAATTGTTATTCAGCGCTAGATTGTGGTATATTAACTACCTTGTATATATTTTGTAGGTCTACTGTTAGTTCTAATTATTCATTCAAACACTTTAAAGTGCAAATTTGTCATATAACGAAATTTTGGCTATATATCGAAGTTTTACTGTATCGTTTTTTTTTTTTATAAATAAACTAAAATCAGGAAATTTTATTTTTTTGTTTCATTTAATAGCAAAATTAATACAATTATGTAGCTGATTGCATAAGAAGTCTTTTCACCTGTAAAATTGGTATAACCTTGCATCAAACCCACACACTTACACAGGTGCGTTTGACATGTTCTTGTGAATACTACGGCAGCCCGTTATGATCAAAATAAGCGCAACAAACAAGGTTCTATTCTATAAAGGAAAAGCCATACAAGTTACTTCATAAACACGTTTATGTAATACGCAAAAAGATTTGTTTTTCTTTAATATTCAAGTGGTACTTTATTTTTATTAATTACCCAAATTCTAAGTTTTTTTTAAATCATAAGAATATTATCATTAAGATCTAATCTAGAGAATTTAAAGTCATAAAAAGGTTATCTCATTCTATTGAAAGACGTCACTTTCATTGTAATTTATATATTTACATTTTTTTTTAATTTCATTTAGCTGTGAAGGGATTAAAAAATTATCTTGGATTTTGCTGGCGTTTGGATAACAAAAAAAACTCTTTATTTTTAAATAATTTCTTTTTTATGTCTAGATATAGAATGTAATGATTAAAATCCCACTTAAAAAATACAATTGCGTATTTAAACTTTTAACTTTAATTATAAGTGAACAATGAACGACAATTTCAAGGTTCAGGCTACCAAATTTGCTTTGCCACTCATCACAACGTCGTTTATTCAAGAAACGCGCACAGAATCTTATAGATATGTAAACAGGAATCAATCAACGATTATTAATTTAAGATTTATTCCTCAAGGATAAATTTATAGTTAGTAGGAATGCCATAATTATTTTTCAATTTACCCGCACTAAAAAAAAAATATGTTGTACGAAAACATCTTTTGACCTTTAAGTTGTAAGAAATTACTTTTAAAAATAAAATCGTTATGTAAAATAATAAATTTGTCATTAACATTTTCCAAAATAAGAGTAAAAAAAAAAGAAAGTGTTTCTACACTTTTTAGAAAGCCGAGTAACAATCGGTTCTTTTATCCAATTCGAAACATATCATCCTTTCAATAACAATTTCAAAACTGGATGAATCCTTTCATTTTTCATTGTCAAAGAAAATCAAAGGAAATCAAGTCATATTATCGCCATTAATCCCACGCTTTTCATTTATTTACGATATTGTTATTGTCTTTAATAAAAAAAGTTAATGTAATCACTTTTCTTACGTGTTTCGCGATTACGTAACAATTTCTCAAATAATCTTCAGATCAAATACACTCAATTAAATCTCGAATAAATCAATTGCCGCACTACTATGGTAAATCGTTATTATACCAGTAGTGGTGGTAACTGTTGTCTATTGAACTTGAGATGACGTATTTTAACCGCGGGAGAAATGAATCCGAGTATATAAGATTGTGTTACACACCTGCCACCGGTACACTTGCAAGTTTATCTCGAAAAGAGAAGTTTTAATAAAGTGGTTTTGCTGAAGATTTTTGTTTAAGATGACAGCAATTGGATATGTAAGTTGAATTAGTAACTTTTTTTTTCTTGTATCATAAAAGTTATTTAATGTATGGTTGTAAACATTTTCTTGATTACTACAAGTAAACGTCGAATAGTAATTTATTGTATTAGTATTGAGGCTTATCCTTGGTTCTTTCTAATGGGAATTATGTTTTACCATCAAATACAAGGATAATGATCATTGTAAATGGGTGTGTTTTTGTAAAAAGTATCTAAAGAGTTGTTCTTAGATGTTAATGTTTTGCATCAAGATTTTATTGATTTAATTAATTTTATATAAACAAAGCTAAGATAGCCAAATTGACAAAAATGATAAAATTTTTTTAATATTGATCATATCTCAAAAATTAATACAGATTATACATAAAGGAGGTTAATTGCATAATCAATTCAAAACTAGTTGTAACCATTTTCTAAGTATAAAGCAAAAATTGCGAAGATATCTGATTTTTGTGGTTAACATTAATTATAAAGCTTTGAAGAAAATTTTAAGAAATGTTGAGAAAATGTTATGCATAAAAATTGTTCATAATAAAGTAAAAATACATAATCCATTAACATTTCAAACCCACATATGCCTGATATGCACATTTTCCATGTTAAAATGAAAAATCTGCAAAATAAATCTTTGCTTTTAACATTGATTTGATTGCAAGGCAAAAATTAAATTCGATGGAAGAAAAAATTATACATAAAAATGATTCATAAAGCTTCAAAGATACTTAATTCATTTGTACTTAGAACCCAGCTGTGATAGTTTTTGGGTATAAAGGAAAAATTTCCCAAATGCACGATTTTTATGTTTAACATCATTCCTTATTTGAAAGCATTACTTCAAAATCGATGGAGAAAACGAATATATAGCAACCATAACATTATTATACATAGAAAATTCTAACGTAGGTGTAGCCATATTTCAGGTACAAAGCAAAAATTACCTAAACCTCAAAATGGATGTTTTTTGCATTTATGCAACTTAAAAATTACAAGTAATGGAATCAAGGTTGTACATAAAAGTTGTTCATAAAAGATCATAAATATCATTTCCCAAATATCAGTAAAAAACCTTAATATGCCAAAATAGGCTATTATTAATAACGGTTCTAACTCTAAATTTAAAACCGATGGTAAACACGTTATACTTAAAATTTGTTCATAATACAGCAAATATGCAAAATCTATAACCAATACATGTATAAGTATAGCCATTCTTTAAGTGTGATTCAAGAATTGCAAAAACAACAAAATTGACGATTTTTATATTTAATCATAATTTAAAAATTACAACTGATGAAGGTAAGGTTGCATATAAAAAGTGTTCATAAAAGATCAGAAATACATAATCCATTACCATTTTAAACGTTGGTATGCCCATTTTGCAAGTATAAAGGAAAAATCTTCAAAAGTACAAAATAAGCGATTTTGATCATTAATAACGATGATAGCTCAAACATTAAAGCCGATTGAACACACATTATCTATAAAAATTGTTCATAATACCCCAAAAATACAAAATCCAATACATAATTAACAAAGTATACCTCAACATTTGCAAAAACTGCGAAATGGACGATGTTTGTATTTAACATCAATCATAATTTAAAAATTACAACTGATGGAGATAAGGTTGCACATAAAAGTTGTTCATAATAAATCAAAAATACATAATCCATTATCGTTTCAAATTTTGGTATGAATATTTTCCAAATATAAAGGAAAAATCTTCAAAACTACGAAATAGGTGATTTTGATCATTAATATCGATGATAACTCAAATATTAAAGCAGATGGAAGACACGTTATCCATAAAAATTGTTTATAATAGCCAAAATATACAAAATCCAATACATAAACCAATACATACCTAAACAAGTATACCTCAACATTTGCAAAAACTACGAAATGGACGATTTTTATATTTAACATCATTCATAATTTAAAAATTACAACTGATGAAGATAAGGTTGCACATAAAAGTTGTTCATAATAAATCAGAAATACATAATCCATTACCATTTCAAACCTTGGGATCCCTATTTTTCATATACAAAGGAAAAATCTTCAAAACTACGAAATAGGTGATTTTGATCATTAATATCGATGATAACTCAAATATTAAAGCAGATGGATGATACGTTATCCATAAAAATATAATAGCCCAAATATACAAAATCTAATACATAAACCAATACAATGACAAAATAAGCGATTTCTGTATTTGATATCATAACTCAAAAATCAAAACCAACAGAGAAAACATTACGTATAAAAACAGTTTATAATGAACCAAAAATACATAAATTATAAAGTATAATTTAAAAAAATTAACCGAGATTTTAAACGTAGTTTGAACAATTATTTTAGAAAACACGTAAATCTTTAATAATCACCTTTCGTACTTGCCACGTTTTTCAATAATAATCAATGCAATTTGTTTAGAATCTGCGCGTTAGGATAATTTGTAAACGAACAAAACGTAGATTATAACACAAAGACGTCCTAAGGTCACGAGACGACTAAAAAAATTGCAAATTACATTTACGATCATTGTCCAGAGGACAATGACAAACCAACAGGTGCAATCATGTCTACTTATCCCTAATAAATAATTTATAAAATAAAAAATGTTGCTAATATAAGTAACATTATTCGCTTTTACGTTCTTTAACTCGTAATTTGATAAAATGCCAACTCGGTTGTGTCATAATAGTTCAAGATTAACGTTAAAAACTTGAGATTAACGAATCCATTCACTTTCACTGGTTTGAAAAATAAGCGAGCGTACAACATTTCCTTTTAGCACTGAACTTGCCGAATCCGGCTCAAAACTCTTTGTGACTTTCACCGCATTTCTCACTTCCTTCCGGAAATTACGTAATATTCAGGTTAACTTGAGGAAGTTCGATCTTTTCTTTATTTTTTCTCGATTTAATCTTGCATTTAATCGCGATTATCTTCAGCTGGTCATAAATAATCTCGATTTAATATGGTAATTGTAGTGTATAATAAATTGTACAGACTCTTAATTAAATTTAAATTATACCGAGTACTTCATAATTTATGTTAATTTTTTTTATTTCAGTTAACTTTAGTTGCAGTTCTCTCAACAGCAACCGCTCAAAATCAACAACAAAACCGAGATCGCCCACAACCCATTCCAATTTATTACACATTACAACTTCCAAAGTTACAAGATCCTGTACCGTTTTATAACCCGGAAATTTCTTCAAATTTGCAACCCCCAAATAATTACAATAACGTTCCTGTTGTGTTTTATGAATATCCTACACCTTCCCAAGAATTACAACCTCCAAATCCAGAATTATGGAACCCAAACAATGAAGAAACCTATTATTATCCATCTGATTTAGATGTCGAACAACCAACTAATAGTCATCCGAAAAAATACAACAAAGACGTTCACGAAAAACTAAAACTTTCAAATCCAAAAGGACCAGAATTATCCAGAACGAATAATTTCGATGACTTGGAACAAAGAAGAAAAACGTTCGAGAGATTCTCAAAAGCGGAGAATAAGAAACAAATCGAGGAGGAAAAGGTAGTTGACTTAAACGATGAAAAAAATGATAAAAACGAATCTCCGCAAGAACCGATTGCGGAGGCTAGTGATCATTTTGATGACGTCGAAGATATAACGACGTCATTTACACATTCATTGGGGGTTCGATTTCCCGGTGAAAGGGTACAATTTCATATGCACGGTCACAAAGGTCCAAACAGTTACAAGTTTGGTTATGATACAGGAAAAGGGTAATCATTTATGTTCTTTGTTAACAACCATTATTATTTATTAATTAAATTACGTATTAATAAAAAGAAATTGGTGTGAGGTGATGACTAAGAATTTCACTCAGAAAATGTGAAGAATTGGAATTTCATTGGAATGTAAAAGGAGGTATTTAAATTGTTTTTTTGCTAATAGGAAGTAATTGAAATTAAATTAGATGCGGTTGGTTGATTTAAAACCAACACACAATTTTTTATATTTTTCTTTAATCATCAATCTCACAGTCAATTGCTTATACTAACAGGTTTGCACGAGCTGTAATTACATACATATCAATAACTGCACCTATTGAAAATGAAAGGTGTAAAACTCACACAACTGATGAAATTAAACTTTCACTAAGTCTCAATATCATCATAAAATATTACAACTTTTTATAAATATACATTTTCTGGTTATCTCAAATATCAGGTAAAATTTACTTTCATCTTGTTATGTAATTTTTATGTAGGTGTTGTATAACAATTTTAAAACATCCCAATATTACTTTTTATAGGCACAATCGTCAATTTAGAGTAGAAGAGCGCGACCAAAACGGATATGTGACAGGCCAATATGGATATCTTGATAAAAAGGGCAAGCTGCACATGTTTGATTATTTTTCAGACCCTAAAGGAGGATACACATCAAAGAAACATACAACAGAGGATAGAAAATAATATTTAAATCTTGTTTGTAATAAAATTTTTGTATTTGTACAAAGTAGGTGCCAAATATTTACGTTTTGAGATTGTTAACAAAGTCCCAATTTGTATTTATATACTCTTTTTTAAGAAAATCCTTTTATATTATCCTCCCTGTTGTTAGTTCTTTGTTGTTGTTACTTTTATAAGGTTTTATATTATATTAATATATATATTTTTTAATTTTTACATAATTATATACGTAATGTATCTTAATAATTTCTCTTTGTTTATTTTAATGTAAATAAATAAATTACTTTGATAATAAAAACATCTTCATTGCTTTTAACCTAAAACATTTCTAAAAAATAAAAGCGATATTAACTTATGAAATATGTTAATTTAATAATTAATATATTTATAACTATGAGTTTATTATTAAGAATAACACATCTATATATTTATTAATAATATTAAAGAAAATTACTTACTATAAATAAATAATAAAATTTGACACTTAACAGCCGGTAACTACTGCCATCTACTATAACAACACCACATTACAATGAAAAAGATTTAGTTTTATTAAAAACTGTTTAAAAATAATGAAAACGATGAATCAAAATTCTTCTTTAATTTATTGACTTTAAAATATTAAGAAATAATACCATTTTTAAATTATTCTTTAAAATAAGGCGATTCATCATTTTGCTGCCATCTATAATCGAAAACAAAAAACAAATTAATTTTATTTAAAGATTAAAAATGAAATGAATCATAATCCTTATCTGAGTTATTATCATTAAAATGAGTAATAATTAAAAGCTTCAGATTAAAGTAACGACAAAACATCTTCTAAAAGTAGTTCAGTAATAACGTTATAGTTTTCTAACCACACCACTTAGAAGGACGACGTTCTGGTTCTGTCAAATTTGACAGTTTGTGTTAAACACTGTGAAGAAGTGTGTTAAAATTTTTTTAATAAAATTGTCACAAAAATTGTGACCTTTTTCTTTAGTTGCAGTGGGGCCTTCAATAATATTGAAGGATAAGAGGTCAAGACGGGTAACGAAATGTCAGCCTCGGCCATGGAAAGTATCCTTTTTTATTGTAAAATCGTAGGAAACAATTTAGAAAGAAAGATGAGTCATTCCTTAATATTGTATTAGAACACCTTTTCAATTTAAAATTCGCCGTGAAAGAGTTGGAAAGAAACTCAAAACGATGTGTCAAAGAGGAGAAGCAAGAGAAAGCGAAAACAAAACAGGCTATACAGAAAGGAAACCATGAAGTCGCGCGAATACACGCTGAAAACGCTATTCGACAAAAAAATCAATCTATTAATTACTTAAGAATGTCGGCTAGAGTTGATGCTGTGGCTAGTAGGGTACAATCAGCTTTAACAACACGAAAAGTCACCAGTTCAATGGCCGGTGTGGTTAAAGCAATGGATGCTGCAATGAACAGTATGAATCTAGAAAAAGTATCTAGTTTAATGGATAAATTTGAACAACAGTTTGAAGATCTTGATGTTCAATCTGGTGTTATGGAGAATGCTATGTCTCAAACCACTACAACAACGATTCCTCAAAATGAAGTTGATAGCTTAATGCAAGAAGTTGCTGATGAAGCTGGGTAATTATAATTAAAAAAAAATTGTTTAATTTTAATAATAATCATACTTTTTTTTAGTTTGGAATTGAATTTGGAATTACCTCAAGGTTTACCAGCATCAAGCGTAAGCAGTGCTACGGCTATGTCTCAGGAACAAGATGAATTAACACAAAGATTAGCACGATTGAGACAAGCCGAATAGTAATTTAATCAGTTTCAGCAAAATGTTATGTGTAAGGCTATAAATAGGAACACAAAAAATGTTAAGAAGCCAAGAAAACAGCTTGAGGCTTTAATAGAACGTGTCAATCTATGGTAGTAGATGTAAATAATGGAATCAAAAAGATGTTAAAATGTTATTAATGATTTTAAAAATGTATTAATTTTAAGTTTTAAATATATTATGGATTATTTTGTAATATTAACAAAATCTTGTATTTTTCTGTATAAGTAAACATTTTTTGATTAAAGCTTTTTAAATCAATATGATTTTTTTATTTAAATGATTAATAAAAAGATGTGAGAAAAACATTTAACAAAATTCAAAAACAAAAGATAAGTTTTACTTAATATAGTATTTTATTAAATGTTTTGTAGGTAACTAACTCTGCTACTTAACAAATTAATAGTCAAACTATATCACTAAACAGTTATTCACTAGGTACAGTTGCTGGAGGAGCCAACAAAAATTGATAAACTATAGGAATAAGCTCTTTGTACTTTAATCTATTGTTGTACCACCATAACAAGGGATTTTCTGAAAGCTGTAGTTTTTTCTGCTTATTATAGTCGACTAAAAGAGACTTCAACTTTGTAGCATTCATAATCATTTCCTCTTCATCGTTTTCCTCACGAGTTGAGCCCAATAAATTTTTCAAAGTTCTGAATATGCGAATGATCTGATTTTGAAGTGGCAGTTGATGTATCATAATTTTTAATTTTTTTCAGAGGCGGTTCATTCTCATTACTAAATTCTGATGAACGTAAGTCATAGTAATTGGCTAAAATGGTAATAATTTCGATTTGTTCCTGAACTATTTCATTAAAAAATGTATATTTGTAACAAGGATCCAAATAAGTAGCAACTGAGAATAAGTTATTATTTTTTATATGCGCAAACTTTACGTTTACTTCTGAAATTAACTTTCTGAGTATTTCCTTGATTTGAGCAATTTTGTGTCTTTGTTCTTCCTCTTGTAGTGATGATTTAATTACGTATATTAGAGGGATGATGGATGAAATGTTGGAATTGGCATTATTTAATTCTTTAGTTAGTTCTTCAAATGGTTTCAATATATTTATATATTTTTTCATGATTTCCCAGTCTTCAGAAGATACCAATACTGATATTCTGTTGTTAGTACTTAAATAAAAAACAATAGAATCTTTTATTTTCGAAAAATCTGACAAAAATATACCCTAACTAATAAAAATAGTAATACATACTTCATTGGACGGTCTTGAATATACGCTAGTGTGGAGTATCGGCCAAGTCTGTTGGTTTGAATTTTATGTAGTTCGTCTTTCTCCAGTGTAGAATGATTAAAATGGGTTGCATTTTCGAATAAACCTGATTTGATGCATAATTGAAGTTGGTGAATTAAGCAATGTGAGACAGGTGTATAGCTCTAATCATGTTTAATTCTCTATCGTGAATAAAAAAAATGAACCTTTTCACTTATGTTCCACTTTTTAAGCTTAGTTTTTCAAGTGTGACATCACCTGTGTGAATGCCGTTCACATTTTAAAACCATGTCAACTTTTTTAAATCTTCTGTTATACCATGAGCTAGGCTTAGAAGTGAAACGCCTGCGCTGGGATCAGACCAAATATCTGGAGTGAATGTTAGCTTTTCAAATTCATCATACACAAGGTCTATAAAAAATTGGCGACGTCTTAATTTATACTTGGGTGACGTTGCTTGCTGTAAACGTTTAAAAAACAGACCTTCCGCAAAATTAAAGGGTAAATTTTGACCAACAATCATCTCTGCAACCAATTTATTGATTGCTTTTTCATCAGACGAATCCCAAAATTGTCTTAACTGAAGCGTTTTCGATAGCGTTAAGACTTTTTTATTAAACGTCCAAGAACAAGCAAATAAATGAAGATAAATCATTTATTTCCTTGGCTACAACTCATACATATTTTTTTTTGATGTTCACCACACAATAAATAACAAATTGTTGTGGTCATTCTCTTCTTCACTGTAGGACATAAACTGCAGTAATTTCTTATCTCTTTCCCTTAATGGTTTTCCTGTGATTCTCAATAGGCTCATCTTGTAAAAATTCAATTTCCATGACAGGGAGGGGCAATTTTGTAGCCTTTCTTGTTGCCATGGTGAAGTAAGTTGTTCTTAAAGTTTCAGAACAATTTCTTGCCTTGATAATGGTTTCTGTCCTTTTTTATTGCATTACGGTTATATACAGCATAGGAATCAACTGCTACAATGTTGAGACTATTGTAGCAAACACAAAGAGGCCATCTCCTGGTCTCTCTATTGACGCACATACTCTCCAGTAACTCCATCGGTATTTCTCACTTATACTTTTACAAAGAGTGACAACTATTGTTAGATTGTATGGTTTATTTAGTAGTTTCGTGGCCAAAGAATACTGGTAAAACAGTTATCCATTGTGATGTTGCGGGTTACTTTATCTTCTTTATTGTCACTCACATCACTAAAATAGATAAAGTATCTACGAAAATCAAGCCAAAATATAAAATAGTGATTAACAACTAATACTTAATCAGTTGAGCGGTATAAAACATTTAGTTCTGAACTTGTATAATACAGAGAATATTGGTATTGAGGTTACCATTTTATTTAATGGTTCTTCTCAGTGCCGTAGAGAAACGCTTTATATTAAACAAAGCCCTAGGGAGACCAGAATATGCAGGGACATACAAACCAACACCTCTCAAAATTGCTCCGTTATATCCGTCTGCTTATTATTAACGCCACGTCAAATATACGTCTCATGTACAAACATAATTACTAAGTACACGTAAATTTTACGTACAGTGCTCTAATCTCGCACCTACAAAAGCTAGATGCGAAATCAAAGCAAATTGTCGGCACATTTCCGTAGTAAAGGAAGACTGGGGGAAAGCACTTCTAACGCGACAAAGCGCTAGGTGCTAACTTTTGAATGAAACAATGGTTTGGGGATTATTATACGTAAATTTTACGTGGGTTATTATTCTAGGATTAAAGTAGTTCCATATACCACTCGACCTTGGCCTCATCTTTATCACAATTTGATCAAATTGTCATACAATTAATCTCCAAACGCGTATAGAATAGAAGCAATAGAGAACACTCAAAATACTAAATGCTATTCTGGTATCTCTCTAATCTCTACTAAACACGACCGTTCGGACAGTGGCGTCTCTCAGTCGCATGAACATGAATGTGTGAACTTATATATCTCACCAAATCTTTCGCATTCAAAGTTGGGAATGCAAACATTCGTTACAACCTTAGTTTCTAGTGTTTATGCGTGACGTCACGAACGGGCCTTTGAGCTGTACACCCATTCCAGAGATGTAGCAGTTCTCTTTGATTCTACAGTCCTTGGTATAAATACACTAGTGTGGGGATATTTTTGATAAACTAAATAGATTTATAACAAAATTATTTATTGATAAATTTTAAAACATCACTAAATTAATACTCAGTACATTAATAAACACAACAAAGCATATAATTATACAAATAGAAACATAAAATAAATAAATCACAATGAATATAACATTTAATAAGAAATATTTAATGAAGACCATGTTGTTATGTAGATATTACTTATACTAATAAGTTTTCACTGCTGGCACTTAAATTAGGCAACGACTTGAACACCCCTTTATTCTTAATTTTTTCGATATCTTTCGAACAATGAGCTAAACCCGACACGGACGAGTGCCTTTTGCTGTACTCAATGTCGAGAGCCAAAATTTCCTGTATGTTTAATTCGAGTGCATCACACGAATTTCGACCTATACTAACCGAATCCATTTTGTCTTTAACAAACAGTCCGGATTTTTTAGAGGACCTCTTGCTACTATCCGAGTTGCTTAAACTCGAATTTGAACTAATCGTTTGAACGTACATTTTTGAGCCACCATCAAACATGTAACTCGATTCAACCGGATTGCTAACTCTCGGTGGCGGTACGTTGCATTCAACGTTTGCAATAACTTGTGAAGAAGGTTCAACGCGATTTGGATGAATGGTAACGTTAAAATTTGGCGATGGCGGAGATATGACTTTCTCTGGAGCGTTTTGTACCAAAATAATTCTTTAAAAAACATTGTAATAAAATTAATTTATATAAACGAAATTCTTTTTTACCTATTATGAGCTTTCCACCTTGAAAATAATTGTAAGTACTGTCTGCATTGTATATACATAAATACAGCTCCTCCTGTAAAACCAACACCCACTACTACTAATTTCGTCCAAAAAGGCCAAGCTAAAATTAAAAATATAATTTTAGGAATTAAAATAATATCTACTTTTTGTATGATAATTTTGTTATCATTAAAAATATTTAAAGAATTTAACAAGTACCCGTCAAGTATTCTTGTACTGATTAGTTAACAAAAAATTTAACCTTGAGTTTTAAAATAATTTCATTTTGCTTTAACAATACACCTTAATTACAAATAAATAAAAAAATCTTTATAAAATAACTTATTTAAGCGACTTTTACCTATTACACCTTTTTGAACTTCTTCTGCAGCTCTGTCTATAAGTACAAAAAGAGACCAAATAACACAAACAGCTGCTACAAAATGAAATAAGATGGCACAGAGTAATCTACGTTTTTCAACTCCAGTCATCTCAAGTCTCCTCCACTAAAATAAAACAAGAATTAGCCACACCCTGAATTCACATTTAATCTTATTAATACTTACTTCTGCAATTGGTTTTATTTTCGTATGTAAAATAAAATTAAATTTACACAATTCACAAGACCTGGTATCGGAAGCAGCTAACCACTGTTGGAGACAAGCTTGATGGACATATTTAAGACTACCAGCACAATAACACGGCGATAATAAAGGATTTCCACTGTCGGCCTCGCAATGGCATATCCGACAAATATCACTGTTAGCGTTCGAGATGTTCGAACTGGACCCAAAACGTGTATAATCGACAATCTTCCCTTGATCGTACATTAACCCAGGTGGTGGCGGCGGTTGTTGTTGTTGTTGTTGCATTTCGCTTTGTTTAACATTTATGAAATGTTCGGGCATTGCTGTATTTTGATTTGTTTTTGTTGTTGGTTCTAAGTACATACGAGGAAAAAAACGTTTAAGTGTACCAATCTCTGTCTAATTCCACACTTCGCACGGCGCAAAAGTCGCGAAACCGTGGCCCACACATTGGTGTAAGTGAATTATCAATCTACAGTTAAAAATATACACTTATGCAATTAGTTTCTAAAGGTATTTAATCCTAAAAAACACAAATGTCAAAACAATGCTAAAGGTAGCGTAGGAAGTTTTAACGCAAGTTTTAGTTTTATCACTAAAGGTTGGCAGTTCTGAAATTTAAATTTTTTCAATTTATTTGACGTTAATGACAATTTGAAGAGTTTTAAGATTAAAAGTTATTGTTTTATAATATTTATCTGATTTTATCTCAGAATGTAAGTAGAAATAGATTTATTATCGTTTTTTGTATGTGATAAGACTTATTTATTTTTATATATTTAAATTTAAAAAATTAACCTAAAAATTTTTGAATTAACCCCTTTTTTCCTTCTTTTTTAGCTCTAGCAATTTTTAAATCATTATCTTTATGTACTTCGCACATAAGTAAGAGGAAAAGTAAACATGGAGATTAAATTATTTTTCCTCGGCCAATATTTATACATAACTCATCCATTCTTCTATTCACCACCTTTTCCAGTTATAAGAATAATTTTTTGTGCCCTTTTGATCGAATCGAATGAATATACAGACACACTTTTCAGAATTAAAGTGATGGCACAAGCCAGACGCTGCTATCACACAGCTGTTCTTTCCTGGCGAGGCAGCAGCAACGTCTGATTGACAAAGGGCCTTAGGTAGGTACAAAAAAAGGAACAAAATTACAATAAGGTCATTAAACCTTGAACCGACGACCCGAGAGGTTTTGCGCCCTTGGGCCCTTTTCGCGTTCGTAACGGCCATTTCTTAAGCGCACCTTAGAAAAATGCCAAAAAAAGAAATGTTACCGTGGTGACCATCATTTTGGTTATGACGACAGCTGATCGGATCTTGGACAATCTCCATGGAAGGAAGATTAAAAACTAGGAGGGTGGATTTTTTTCTTGGAGGGGTTGAAGATGAAAGAATGATACGTTTTGGGCACGTGCGAAGAAGTCCTTTAAATAAGGAGTTAAATTTTAATTAAGTCCTATAAAGAATGAATGGATTGATTTGTTTCTTGGAAGAGATGTTAAAACAAAAATTAACTGGAATAAATTTGTTGGAGTTTTGATTAGAATTATGAGAATACTATTGAATTAGAATTAATAACACAATTTTTTTTGTAGAAATTTAAAAGATGTTATAACTAAATAAGCAGAAGTATATAAATGGCTAGGTGCGTTATGGTGGCGCGAAGAAGGCTTCCCGTGTTACACAGGGCCTTTTAACGTGGCTTCTTATGTCCTTTTCTAAAGGAGAATAGCGTCAAGCGCTGCCTCTTCCTCGGCCGTACGGTAGTTGTGCAATTCGAAATGGTCTCCCTTCCAGGCCCGAAAGCTGAATCGAATGCAAGTTGCTGATTGGCGCAAAGCTCGGCAGCTGGAGCCGCTATGCACGAAAGAAACTCGGTGCGTAGCGTCAGTCAGTCTCTAAAATACTTTATGCGTGCGGTGGTGTGCGTGTTTTTTTATTTTTGAAGTGCACGTTTTGTTCGAACCGACTCTTCCTCACCCACCGACGACCGTACATACGACGACACTCCCGGTATACGTTCGCCAATACGAAGAAAATCAAGGTAAATAAATTATGATTCATTAAAAAGCGAAAATATTGCTTGTCTTGAGCTTTTAGTAGAAATAACCACCACGTCAAAAAAATAATATTTATTCATCGGGTCCAAATGAAAAAGGAAAGCTTTCGATCTCATCATCATAAAGATTTTCATTGAAGAAAAAAAATTGTTTACGTTTTCGAAACGATGATAATTCGAAATTAACCCGATTGAAATTGAAAGTGAATCCCGAAAGCTTTTCGCACCCCGCGGGCTTCGGGGCCAGCGAGAGCGATAGTTTCACTTTCATTAATCGAACGCCCGAATATTTGTTTACCAAAAGCTCGGAGCTTTTCGCTGGTGGCGGGATGAAATTTCCATTTCGTTCGCGATTGTTCCGTGTTGACGAATTGAATCGTATCCCAACACCGACGTGCACTGAACTTTTACCGTACGTGAGGAGCTTTTAAGATGATGAGATCCAAACAAAAGCTTTCCTTTTCTTCTTTAGTTTTCAGCTTTATTTTTATTTCTAATTTGCAGCTTTTTCTTGCATGAATCTTTAATATTATTATCTTTATTATTGATGATTTTCAGAAATTAATTAGTACTGCTTTGTAGATGCTTGTAGAAATAACAAAATTAATATTGTTTAATTTAAATTTTAATGTATTTTAGAAAAACTGTTTCCTTTTAACCTTTAACTTTTAATTTGATCTGAAATTTAACGAATAACTTTATTAATTTATTAATATGATTCGTGCATAAACAAATTTTAACAATATTAACAAATAATTTATAGATTTTGATGCTTTAAATTGTTATTTTATGATTCAATATATGAGCGATAAAATTACAATATTTTTCTTGAACACAATGAAATCGATTTTGTATAATGTGGTCACCGAGTTCGCAAAAGCTGCGGAGCGCATTCACGCAGGGACATAAAACTTGCACGTATAAAAGTGCCGTGTGTAAAATCTATTGGCGGCACTGTATCTAACCCCGAGTGAATGACTCATCGCATCCCTTACTGCATACACATTGCACCCGGCAATACGCATGTGTGTGTATATAAAGCCGAATCGAAATCAAAGTTATATGTATAAAAAGACTAATGTTCCAAAAATAATTATAAAATATTTAAATATTATTAATTTGTTTCTAAATAAGTAATAATTTAAGAATTCTTTGTAAACTCGCGTGTCTGAGGGTTTCTTGCATCGATAATTCATTGGGTTCGGGTCGAAGGTGCGAAAGCTCACCGCCGAGGGGGTAGAGCTTTCGGGTGAAAACTCGAATTCTGCGTAACGCATTTCCTAGTTAGCTGAAAGGTCACGGTCATGTCCCGGAGGTGATAAGGCGCAAGCGCGCCTTCCCGGTCGATTCGAGCTTTCGCTGAAAGCTCCGGCGCTCCAATAACGTTCGCTCGAACTTCTGTACGAACCGAACTCGCACGTACGTAAAGGCCGGAAGAAGATTTCTTCTTCTTCCTGTGGCGACAAACTTACTCACGTGTAAGAGCGATAATGGTTGTTATAATGATGACGAAACTGCGGGACAAAGTTGGTTCCGTGCTTTAGTTATGCCCCTGGAGTAATGTAGGAGCTCTAATTTTGATCTATTGTTATTGTTATTGTTTGGGGACGTGTTGTTGAATACGGAAAGGACAAATAAACATTATTATAATAATTTTATGATGCCGCAAACTAAAATATTATCAGTTTCTTAGCGATAAAAGGAAACATTTTAGAGTTTAGAATCAAATTGCATGAAGTAGAAAATGTAGTACTTTCAAAGACAATGTATGCAAAATTCATTTAGCTTGTAATGTTTGTAGCGTAGTAGATTTAAAGTTATTTTGCTGTGTGTAGTATTTTTGAATTACAGTGATCATATTTTTTAAAATAACTAAAATCAACAATTATGGCCACTGAAGCGTTAAAGTGATATAGAGAATTAGTGCATGGCATTGCAAGTATGAAAGGATAAAACTTCCTGACCGTTTTGTATTTCGTTCCGTTTCAGATATTTTTGTAAAAATAAAACAAAACGTACGAATAGCGTAAGAGAAGATTCTATAAAGCGCAAACAAAACAAAAAATAGAAACTATCAAATAAACTAAACCTATAAAAGAAACGTCGCGATTATTTTTTATACAAAGCAACCCAATAGTACAAATTCCGCAGAGTACAAAACGCAAACCTTTGAACGCTTGGCACATAAACCGAACGAACAATATACGAATGAAAATAAGTGTACGAGAGGAAGTGAAGATGACAATAAATTGAGAAAATTTAAAGCTATAGTGTATCATCGGGACAAGATGGCCTGGTGGAAGATGAGCGGCCGCAGGCGATGACACTATGAGCGAGACATTAAGCCAGGATCCGGAAGCGCTGGGTTCCGGATACAGCCTGGCTCCTAACTACCCACCAACCCCAGCCACGCCAAGTTCCACGGTGCAAGACCCTCCAGGATCAAATCTGCCACCGTTCTCCACGTTTTCGAACGAAATGGACACCACCGGATTCGCCACGGACCGATTTCTGGGCGATACCCGGCTCCTGGACATTTCCAACTGGGACTATTATACGGAAACGCGATTATTGGACCGCACCGAAAACGGTCACCTAATAATAACCTCGCAACCACAATATCGTCCGTGGGAGTCAAAACCGGTGGATTCAACGAGTCAACACGGCTTCGGACCTGCAACGGTAATAGCCGACACCTTAACGCAGAATGGTCCCTCAAAGTTACCATCGTTTCAGTCCCAGTTTCAGAGCTATAACGAACCCGCAACCACCAGTGATCAGCCGACGCTGACGACGCTCACGAACCTGACGCCGCTGTCACCGTCGTCCTCCAGTCCAACCCTCACCACACTCAACTCGAACTTCCATACTCTAAGTGCTGTGAACCCGAGGAACTACCCCTTAGTGCCCGCACCGATCCAGGCCCGGGAAATACCGTCGATACAGCAACAATTCCTGGACGAGCGTCACATCCAGCTGTATACACACCCCACAAACATCACCACCCTCAATACCGGAGGTATCTTCCAACCCCAAAATGGGACCGCCCTCATTCAAAATAGCCAACTCCTCGGATCCCCAACGGTGGTCACTGTGATAAAGTCCGAACCGGAACTAAAGCTCACCTCCAACCTCGCCACTTTGGTCCCGCAGGATACCGGCCTGAAAATCCAAAACCTCCACCCCAATCACTTCCAAAACCCCATGCCTACCATGCTCGATAACGGCATCTACAACGGACTCGACAAGAAATTGAACGGAATCGATGCCACCGCGAACTCGCCGACGAGAAACGACTTCAGAAAAAAGGAGCGAAGAAAAATCCGCGCCTCAAGCCTCGAAAGTTCCGCGGAAAGCGACGGCGCCTCCAGCAATATGGACCTGGGGGTGGAAAATTCCGGCCAAGTAGCCGCCGTTTCAAGTACCGCTAACTTTAAGGCCCACCATGCCATGCAGAATAGCGCGCTGGACGTGGACATGGACATGGGCGGCGTCCACGAAGGAAAACAGGTGAAGAAGAAACGGAAACGGTGTGGCGAGTGTATCGGATGCCAACGGAAGGACAACTGTGGCGATTGTGCGCCTTGTAGAAACGACAAGAGCCATCAGATCTGTAAGCAACGGCGCTGTGAAAAATTAACCGAAAAAAAGGTGAGTGCGTTTATATCTCTATTAGCAAGCGAAATTCTTCATTTCAAATCTATCATTTTGTATCTATTATTTCAATTAAAATTATTAGATTTAAATTTTTAGCACCGCTATAACTATATTATTATTATAAATATAAATACAGTTAAATTCCGATATGACGGACAAAATTTTTTTAAGTCAAGTTTAATTAATATTATCTATCATAGATAAACTTGGGGTATTCCCCGAGATGTCTATACTATGTATAAATCAAGGACGGTAATTCTAATTTTAATTGATACTCAGTGCTAGATAGTAACTAAACTAGTTTACACTATCACTGTTACTGGAACTAACACTATACATAGAACTAGAATCATTCGGGTTTAGCCGTCTTGAGAGACGTGCGGCTAAACCCGAATGTTTTTAGTTCTAGGTATAATGTTAGTTCTAGTTTTACACTAACACTGTCACTAGAACTAACACTAGACCTAAAACTAGGAACATTTGGATTTAGCTATCTTGGGAGACGTTCGGCAGAAGTTTTACACTAGCACTGTTACCAGAACTAACAGTAGACCTAGAACTAGAAAGTTTCGGGTTTAGCCGTGCATCTTCAGACGTTCCCACGTTTAACTTTTGGCTATAACAAACCGTTATATCGAAATTTTACTATACTTTCGTGAGAAATGATAACATATCTGCAAACTTATTATCATATTACAATTAATTTTTGGTTATGACACAGATTTTTGCATATCTCTTGGGTATAATTTCGAACGAATTATCTACCTCCGGAATGAAATCATTAATTCACCGGAATTTTACTATAAATTAGAACCTAACGCTCGTAAATGCGAAGTCTGACACGTTTTAATTACAATGAGTCAACGGTGGTAGTGTGTGTTGGAGGTGGTGGAAGCGGTGGCGGCAACAAAACGGAATTAGTTCCTCGGTTGCTTTTGAATTTTTTTTTAATTCTCCGCAGCATCGCACGCGTTCTCTCCGTGTGTGTACCAGTTTATAATCCCCTTTTCACCCCGCCCCCGCCACCTCACAACACCGCACTACCCCCTTGCGACACGCACACGTCGGCGCTGCCGTAATTGGGTCGGTCCATGTACGCGCTTAGGGTAGGTTGGATCAGGGTTGGCGTATAAACAACGACATGGCAACGTCGCAACGCCATCGCGCCGCCATAGACGCCCCGGGATTAATGCTCCCGATAAATTCGCACCGCGTCTAACCGTATATAATGGGAATAATAGATTTTTAGGGACTCTCGGGATGGCAACAAAATTTATGTAGGTAATTTCACAAACGGGAAAAATAAATTTAGATAATTAAAATTGTATGAATGTAAAATTTTATGAATAGAAAGTTTAAAGAATGGAATTGCGAATGAGAATTTTTGTATGTATTCCTATTTAAATTACGCGATACATTGGATTCTTTTTAAGTTTTCTATTTTCGCTTTGAATTCTACTACCCTCGAAGAGGAAGTGCAAATGAATTCCGCGTAACGTAACCCAGCTTAGGGCTTCACCACCGTTCATTATCGATCTCTGTACGAAGAAATGAACTGATGCGACATATGGCGGTATAGGAAATATAATAGTATATCTTTGTTAAGGGAAACGAGGTCATTGTACAAGGAAAATTGAGGCACCAAGCAAATTAATTATAATGAAACAAAATAGTATTTAAAAAATTTCTTTGAATTACCATAATACAAAAATAGACATTTTATGATAAAATAATTTTATTTTTATTACTTTGAAAAGAACTATATGCTTCAAGTTGAACTGTGAGTATCTGTAACTGACAACCACTTTTGCTGGGCATAACATATGCCATATTATATGGCGCTGCCAGGTATAAGAACCAAATCCAACAGCTGCGCCTGGAGAATAAACTTTTGCCAGCTGTTTGTGTAGAGCGGACCAAGTAAATACAGCCCTTGGCGACCGAAGCTTTGTTATGCCCTTGTGACAATATAGGTTCGATTTACCGCGAATAAAACCGGAAAACGAAGAATAAAAAAAATGAAACACTATCTACTAAAATAAATAGATTACAATACGAAATATTTTTAAATAAAAACTGGGATATAAACCAACTACTTTTTATTCTTATTTGGTCAACTTCAACAGTCGTCGCCCGACAGACAGGAAGCTATATAGAAATAACGTCGCAGTGAAAAACTGAGTAATTTTACATTGCGTTCTAACGAACTCGACCATAATTTTTCTTTTCGTTCGAATTGTTATGACGAGGCATTCTCAAACGACCTTATGACCCCGTAGGATAGACCGGTCCAAATCTGTCTCTTCGTTTCTCTAGGGACTAGTGTGGTGAATAAGATGCACTTCGGCATAGTTTAGCATAGAATGGCCGGATAGTGGTCGTAAACAGAGAGATCTGTCAAATAGAGTAGGAAAACCTGTTTGAGTAGGTTTCGGGCTCTGAGTATGAGAACCGAAGCCCTTGGTCCAACCATGAGAAAAGTCATTTCTTTTTGTATACCGGAATCAGACCTTTGAGAGGGCAAATCCGTCGGCAAAACCGTTAGAGGCAAGCTGTCTCGATGTAAATTTATGGAGATGCGGGCTTCGTTAACGTTTTAAGGAAATTTTAATGGCAGGTATTGTTAATGGAGAGGATTTATTATTACCGTTATTAATACATGTTGATTATTTTAAATTGAAACAATTTTCTATGGATTTTGCGCAACCCAACTGTTTATCCCACCTGGAAATGTCTAAAACGTTTTTTGCTATAAATAAATATTAATCTCGGTTAATTAATCTTTATTATATTATTCCACGTTCCCGGGAACATGTGTTGTTCGGGTGTCGGGCGGAGTCTTTTTAAAACGATGATATATCACTCACCGATGTAATCGTATACCCTAAAAGAAAAGGCACAAAAAAACAAACGTGAAACATAAAAGGGTTGCGGCATATGTCTTACGGGAAAAGAGCACACCACAGGTAGAAAGTTGATCGCGCACTTGGCTCGAATTGCTCTCAATCTTTATACTCCAGTATTGGATATTTCGAGGGTAAACGAGATTGGGGAAGATAATTTTTTTTTAATATCAACCAGAGGCAATCCGCGTCCCTCGGATTATTAAAAAGAAGGGGTGAGAAAACAACTTTGATCGGATAATTTCCTCATTAACGAAATTGAGGGCGAATAAATTAATTTGCTGTCGTGATGATGAGGAATTCTTTCTTCTTTTTTTTTTGGTGAACGAACGGTGACGCGGCGGTTGCATTCAATCTTTGTGATCGAAAAAACAAGAAAGAAAAAGCAAAGTACGCGGAGCGGCAGATGAAATAACAAGTCACAATTGACATAGATAAAGTCGCGTGCTGCCACCAGCTGTCGCCCGTTCGTGTAACAACGGACGGGCTTGCCGAGCCATCTTCAAGCTTCGAGTGTAAACGGTCGTTGGCATAATTAAATAAACACGACGCTTATAGGTGCTTGGAAGCTTGTAGGTGGTTTCTATAAGATTACGAACACCAATTACCAAACATCAAGACGGTTTAATAATATACATAACATCAACCAATGTTTAACATGATTTGTATCAACAGAAATTCATTATTTTGATAAGTTTTGTTCTAGGTCTAGTGTTAGTTCTAGTTTTAATTATTATTCAGCGTATATTTTTATTGAACTAAAAGTGGACATTAAAAGTTGAACACTAGCACTGTCTCTAGTACAAACAGTAGACCTAGAATTAGAAACATTCGGGTTTAGCCATCTTAAAAGATGTATGGCTAAATCCGAATGTTTCTAGTTCTTCTAGGTCTAGTGTTAGTTCTAATGCTACTGTTAGTTCTAATTTTAGTTATTATTCAGCTTTACATTATATATTTTCCATTGAACTAAAACTAGAACTAACACTAGACCTAGAATTAGAAAGTTTAGCCACACGTCTCTCAAGACGGCTAAACCCAAATGTTACTGGAACTAACACTATATCTGGAACTAGAATCATTTGGGTTTAGCCGTCTTGAGAGACGTGTGGCTAAACCCGAATGTTTCTAGTTCTAGGTCTAGTGTTAGTTCTAGTTTTACACTAGCACTGTTACTAGAACTAACACTATACCTAGAACTAGAATCATTCGGGTTTAGCCGTCTTGAGAGACGTTCGGCTAAACCCGAATGTTTCTAGTTCTAGGTCTACTGTTTGTTCTAGTGACAGTGCTAGTATTCTAGTTGTTAATCAGCGCCAGGTTGTCGCAAATTTGTATTGAAGTAAAACTAGACCTAAAACTAGAAAGTTTCGGGTTTAGCCGTGCATCTTCAAGGTTCGTAAGGTTCTTCTTATAATATACATAACATGAAGCAATGTTTAACATGATTGATATCAACACAACTTCATATTTTGATAAATTTTGTCTATAATAACAAATGGGTGTTTAAAAAGGAAATAAAAAAATGCTCGTTCTTTAAAGAATACATTTCAAGCCCCCTTGATTTTAAAACAACGACTAAATCCGATTGAAATTCGGCAACATTTGACATTTACACCCTTCTCGAAACACGGTTCTCTTTTTCTCTCTCTCTTCGACGATTGATTTTTTCGAATCCTGGTACGAACTGAAAGAAGAGCAATGTCTGCGTTGCATCGGGGAGGGTTTTGGTGGTGGCGTCGGGACGGTTTGGGACGCGGGGAGAGGCGTCCGCGTGACTCATCATTGCACCGCTCGCTCGTATTCTTATCGATTGACGGACGGACGATGAAGTTGGAGTCGGCGAGCGTCGTTGAACGAGGGCGGCGTTTTGGTGGCAGCACCGGTGCGTAGGTTAGTGAATCCTGCGAGAACGACAACGACGCACCTCCAACTTGAGGAGGAGAAAGAGGGGATTGAGAGAACGAAAAGTTTGTCGGATAGGGACGTCGCGGAGGGAGAGGAAAACTATGAGCAGCAGCTTTAAAGTTCGAGCAGATCGATAGGACTGTGCGAAAACAAACGTGGTTAGCGATGAAGGTGTACGTGAGT